GGGGGGGGGGTCTCGGCCTGGGCCCCCCCCCCACCGTGGTTTGGGGCTCCCGGACCGAAGCCGCCACCCACGGGCGCCGCGGGGCCCGGCACCGAGCCGTGACGCGGCCCCGGGGCCCCCAAACCGCACGGGGGGAGGGGGAGGCGGTGCGGGAGGGGGCTCGGGGGGGCTCCTGGAGGCTCAGAGCGGGAGCAGCCGCCTCCCTCTGCCGCCTCCCTCTGCCGCAGCCGTGGGCACGAATCGCACCCCCGGGGGCGGGCTGCGGCTTAACCGGCCCCCAGCGGCCCCCGGTGCCCCGGGGTCGGGACGGGGCAGGGGAACCGGCACCGAGCGGCCTCGGGAGCTGTCCGGGGAGCCGGGCCCGGGGGGTGCGGACAGGCCGAACGCCATCCAAGCAGCCAGTGGAACGCTGCGGGTTTGCTGAAGGACACCGCTGGCTCCGTGCCATCAAAGTTTCCTGTGCTGTCAGGCCGACAGATCTCATCAGTGCCTGCGTTTCTCCCTAGCATAAATTCAAATGGTTTATATCTTTAATAATAGGGTTATTATTGTGGATAATGTAGTAAGGATGGGCCACGTGGCTTCGAGCTGCACGCAGTACACACCAAACTCTGAAGACAGTACAGTGAAAACTGATAAAACGTGTTTTTACTGGCAGTTAACGTATTTGACACTTGTATAAGTACACGCTTTATAGCTGCTAACGTATCTTCAGCCCACTTTGAAATGTTATTTTATTTATTCTTGAAAACGCTCGCACAATTCGATAAGTAGCATGCTTCCCAAATGGACCCCCTTGCTGTGATGCCCATGTGATGCTGAAATGTGATTTATTATTCTGTGGTTCATTAAACAAGCACATTAATTTTCTTCTGATGGTCTTCATGAGTTACCAGTCATTCTTCCTAGTTTGCACAATGCACCAGACTACTCCACCTCATACTGGAGGGAAGTGTTTTCACTTACTGTCGGTCTGTCACCTATAAATCATGTAGATGTGCAATACAAAGGGCTGCGCTTTCTGCTGTGGTTATGCCGCTGATACTAATAAAGAACAACATTATCACTAGCTCCGCGCTTGTATTCCTGATTGTGCTTCACAGCTGCTGCCTTAGAGGCACTTTTATTTAATTATTTAAGGTAATACCAGCAAGTTTCACTTGATTTTTTTTTTCAAAAATATAGTCTGGAAACAGAAGCTATGAGTAAAAATGATTTTTTTTCCTTAAATGGCAAGGAAAATGGGCTCTCACACTGGCACTGCAAGTGATGGGAAAAGTTAAAAGTTTACAAATGGAATTGGGATGTCTGTAGCAGGAAGGGTTTCCAATAGATTTCTGTATTACTGACTGATGACTAATGATTGTATCTACTCCTTGTCCTGGTTTCAGTTAGGACAGAGTTAATTTTCTTCCTAGCAGCTGGTAGGGTGCTATGTTGTGGCTTAGGATGAGCAGAGTGCTGATAACACGCTGGTGTTTTAATTGCTGCAGAGCAGTGCTTACACCAAGCCAAGGATGTTTCTGCTTCACCCTGCCCTGCCAACGGGCAGGCTGGGGGTGCAGCAGGAGCTGGGAGGGGACAGAGCCAGGACAGCTGACCCCAACTGCCCAAAGGGGTATTCCAGCCCATCTGGGGTCATGCTGAGCAATAGATAGGGGTGGGTAGCCGAGGTGGGGGGGCTGGACTGCTCGGGGTTAGGCTGGGCATCGGTCAGCAGGGTGGTGAGCAATTGCATTGTGCATCACTTGTTTGTACACATTATTAGTAGTAGTACTATTAGCATCATTATTGTTATTATTATTGTTGTTGTTGTTATTATTATTGTTATTATTATTGTTATTATTATTTACCTGTCCTAATAAACTGTCTGAACCTAAATGTTTCTCTTAAAAAGGCACCAAATACTCAACTCTATCAAACAGGTTAACTGAAGTGTGTTACGGTCCAGCTCTCCAGCTACGACAGGTCTCTGTTCTTGAGAGAGCCTGGCTGAGCAATAAAGGTACAAGTAAGAGACGTTCCTTTTGTTAGAAGCTGCTAAGACACAGCAATTTTTTACTGGCAACTGATATTACTAGTCCTGAAAGAACGGCAGTATTTTCCACAAAAAGGAAAGCTAATTACTTAGGCAAATAACCTACCAGTGCAGAAGGAACCTACTCAAGAGAGGGCTTAATAAAAATAGAGTTGGAGGCCTGTAGCCTACAGGACTCTGGGAGTTGGCCCAGGATCAAGATACTTCTCTGCAGGAAAGCTGTTGTGGCTATAAAAATGTCTGTCCTTTTAATCATTGGGTTTGTTTGTCTTCTCAAGTCCCAGCTGAGATTTCCCTTTGCAGCCTCTCTAAACATCTGGTTGTTGTCATTTCATTATTACCAACCTTGAAGTAAAAGATCAGACTCTCCAAGATTATGCAATTTCTTTAAACATTATGAAATTATTTAACAGTAATAAATATGTGGAGTTTCGTACTAGTCTCAGCTTTTCATTTCCAAGCTTTCATTCGGTTCATATTCAAGCCATGAGCTCTCTGAAAGCGTGAGGCTTAGAATGTTGCTTCCTAGAAATAGTGATTCCTTCAAACAGTATGACTGTGGGGCTTAACAGAAATCTTGATTGTAAGCTTTGTGATAAAATCAAAAGTTGTCAGAAGCATCATTTATTACTACATGTGTAGATATTTATTTTGACTCTGGTTGCCAGTGGAATTGCCATATAGATGCAGTGTTTTATACAACAAAGAACGATGATGGGGTTTGCAAATGTGAACGAAGTCTGAAGAAGGCTGCCAGCATTTGTGCTGCAGACGATGGCTTTGCCAGTTCGTCTTCAGTTACCGCACAGAGGCCTGCGTCCACGCTGTTTTAAGCCAAATTTACACTAATGCTTTTCAGCCTTCCTCTGAATTCAGGTAGAGGTGGGAACACGTATTCAAATAAATAAACATTTATTAGACATTTCTACCTTCCAGGCTAATTATAACAACTTATCCTTGGCGTTGTCTCCAGGCATATCAAGGACAAAAGGGTCATTAGGGGCAGTCAACACGGCTTCAGCAAGGGGAAGTCGTGCTTGACCAACCTGTCAGCCTTCTATGAGGATATAGCGGGGTGGATAGATGATGGAAAGGCAGCATTTAGTAAAGAATGTATGACTTTGCAAACACGATACTCTCTTAATATCATAATTCTGTACAGGGTCTTACTCTGCCTTCATCTCTGTAGGTTTTGCCAGCTGACCATTGAACGATCTGGCTGTTGTTTGCCATGTGTGTTTTTCTTCTTTCTCATCCTCTTTAGAAGTGAATGAAACTGTCTCCGGTGGGTTGCTCTGCTTTGCTGAGCTTTTGATTTGGATTTTTTTTTTTTATGTTGTATCTGTCTGTATTTCTTTCCTTTTGTTCTTTTCTCTAATACACTACACAATCAAGAGGAGAAAGAAATAACATTGCTCATCGAAATGCAATAGTCCTCACTCGAGCAGCATTCTCTATGATGGTTTTGCCTGAGCTTTGCAAGATTTTGCCTGTTTTGTAAAGATTCACTTAAATTGACATAGTGTTTTCATAAACATTAAGTGGATGAAACCCTGGTATTCAGCTGTCAACCAAGCCAAACGCACCACAGGGAACTCTTCGTTGCTGTACTGTGACAATGACGTTAAATGTTTTTGCTCTCATATTCCTGTTTTAGAGAGGGGGGTCAAAACATGTTGTTTGTATTAGAAGTTACATGACTAGAGTGAAGCTATGAGTGCAACGGCTCCACTCCTGAAGAGCTTTTGTACTTTGTATGATTGTGGGACACACTGCACAAACAAAACACATAACTTCTGGTTGCTTAATTCTGTACACACATTACTGAGTTCAAAAAGTCATCAGTAATAAGGTAGACAAAGGGGTTGAGCAATCTGAATCTTGTCCAGGGCAGTGAAGGAAAGAATCACGCAAGGGAACAGCACACAGCTGTGCCGGGGGGGGTCAGACTAAACCTTAGGAAAAACTGCTTAACGGTGAGGGTGGACGAACACCGGGGCAGGCTTCCTAGCAAGGCGGTTGATGCCCCTTGCTCGTCAGTGTTCAAGGGGCATTTGGACAATGTCCTCAATAATCTTTAACTTCTGGTTAGCCCTGAAGTGGTCGGGCAGTGGGACTGGATGTGTGGTGATGTGCTGCAACCATCTCTCGAGACACGGCGTGCAGATGTGCTGATCGAGTGTTGTGCCTTGGTACAAGTGTGTCTGCGAACCTCAGTTCTGACACTTCAATGAGTTTCGTTTGTGGATTGATGTAGGATGGAAAAATGATGCGTGTGTTTGCCAGAAGCGCTGCAGAGGCTGTGGGTATGGAAGTAGTAAGGGCTGTACAGAAGCTGCGGAGGAGCTGCGTCGTAATGGGCTGGGAAGGAAGAGTCGAAAGTGTTTGTGGCTACCCTTGTGGGTCTGTTTATAATACAGTCTTACTTCACTTAATGGGCTTTATCTCATGAGCTGTTTGTAGCATTTTCACCACGCTGTTCCTGACTGCTCCCTCTGGCATGCAGTTCTTCTAATCTCAAGTGCCTCTTCTACAACTTCCCTGCTTCAGGCTGCCTCTGAGTGCTGTTCCAAAGTCTCCATTCGTGTTCAGAGTTTTCTTGGCCTTTCTCTACTTTTGTGGTTGTCGTAGACACACCCCGAGGTGTGCTGCAGATCCCACTTCATTCTCAGTGGCCTGAGAAAACTACTGACCTTTAAAAGAACAGGAAAACGATAGACTGCTTCTCAGCAGGGGCAGTTAGCAGAATCCCAGGTAGGCTAACGAGTGAAACCGAGATTTTCACATGCTCAGGGCAGCTGTCAGTCCTGAAAGAAGCTGCTCTGAGCAGTGATGCTGTGAAGTTTTCAGCAGGCCAGGTCCCTCTTTGTGGTTGCGTTGTTTCAGGGACCGAAGGGCCGTGAAGTGTTAAAAACACAGCTGCTGCGAGCCAAGCTGGACGCGGTTCAGAGCTGCGCTCTGGTCTCACATGCGTCTGCTCCTGGAGAACTTGAAACGCTGCCCACAGCCAGGAGCTTTGGAGCACAACTGCTTCCCCCTTTGCTGTTAGAAAGCGTACAGGCTTTCTCTGTGCAAGGGCAGCTACTTGGGCACAAGGCACACAGATAAATACATCTGGAATATAAAGAGGAGCAAGTGGAAAGGCAACCAGAGCCAGCTGCAGCTCCAGGTACAACTCTGCTACGTCGGGCAGTGCGCTCCAAAAGCTTCCTCCTCTGCTTCCCAGGAGGTAGGTGCTGGGTTTCTGTTCCTCACCTCTGTGTTCTGCCGCGCTGGGTCCTCCCCTGGGCAGCTTCTCTCTCGTCCTGCCCACCCCGTCAGGCTTGCATTTATTGCCTTCTAGGTGCAGCTTCTGCTTCACAAAAATCCCGTCCAGGCGGCTGCACTTCCTGCTGTGCACACCGAGCACTTGGGATCGCCTGGTCCAGCATGGGTAAGAGACCCCTGGGACCTGCAGGGGGGTCTGCTGCTTTTTTCTGCAGTTCTGCACCGTGTGAAGTTTGTGAGCGTGTTTGTTAGTGGGGTGGACTGGTAAGGAGAGGCACAGCACGGGCGTGCGTTTCCTCTATTAAAGGGTTTGCTTCTTTAAGCTACTGAAAGCTCCCGTGGTTGTAAATAAACAGCTGTAATGCTATCAGTGGCTGCTCTTTACGCTGTCATTAAATGTGTGTCCTAGTACCTCAGCGTTTAGAAACTGAAATAAGTATCTGGATTTACTGCCGTAGTTGAATGTGGTTGTGATTGCCCCTTTCTGGAAGGTGGTAAACTGAGGACCCGAACTCCCTTTCTGGTTATATAATTTTTACTTTTATTTCTGGATACCAGGAAATGAAGAGGACTGAAGTAGAAAAGTTACTTTGTATGTGGATATATTGTTGTATAATTTACAAAGCGGACACTGTTACCTTGTGATTTCACAAAAAAAAAAAAAAGAAAAAAAAGTTGTAGAACTTAGAAAAACACCCATAACTGCACAGACAAAAACAATGCTTCTGACTCAGCAAAAGAGACTGGTTTGGGTTATCAGTTATCTCCCTGCGGTGAATGCTTATCTTTTTGTGCTTTTGTAAGTACTAATAGCACAAAGTAAACTGTGTTCGTTTTACTTCAGTTCCTAAAAACTGCAAGTTTCAATTTGCAACCCATGATAATGACGGTTTTGTCTAAATGGCAGTGGCAGCCTGTAAGAAGTAACCAGGCAGCATATAAAGAGTAAGTTAAATGCTGTACTGTGAAGCTTAAAGCAGCCTGGTGGTGATTAATTGGTTACAAGGTTTGGAAAAGTATGCACTTGGCAGTGTATAAGATGAAGTCTTAGACTGCTCTTCAAAAATTTAACAGATCATTAAAGTCTCCTTGCGTAATTTGTTACTTGGAAAAAGATTCGGATTCTAGAAAGAATGTGCTTCTTTTGTAAGTTCTGTAAGGCCTGTTTCTTGGCATGCACATACTATAGCTGATAAACTCATTTCTTTTTTTGCCACTTGGGTGTTTATTTCAGCAGCGTAACCTGGCACAGTCATACCATGCACCAGATTTGCCTACCTTTGTTTTTTAATGTCAGCATTTAATCAATGCACACACTGAGGCTGAGTGAAGTTTCTATTTCCTCAGGCTCTGTGAAAAGCGCAGTTTGGCCTAGATTTATTCTACCTAACTTTAAGCTCTCAACAGAGGTGCCTAATCTATTGCCATGTTTCTCCTAAACTCCCTCTTTCACATAGGCACCTTTACAGTTTGTCTTAAGTGGGCTGAAGAACTCTGTTGCCATAAAATAATACGAATAAAAAGGCAAAGTCTTTGATGCTCCCTTCCTTCATTTCAAGCTGTTAAACCCAAACTGTGAAAGAAAGTACTTCTTCCTTGTGTAAATAGTTGCCCGGCTTACTATGAAACTGTGCTTTATCAGGTAGGATATTTTTTACAACACTATTACCTCTTGTTGTATATCTATAAACGTCATTATACAAGACTACAAGTAACTCCAGGTTAATCTGGGTATAGCGCACCTGTGGCTTCCTCAGAGGCTTTGCATGTCACCTAGGAACATTAACACACGTTACATAAGTATAAACAGATTGGCCTTTTAGTTGTTTGAAGTGTAGCAAAATATCCCCAATCCTTGTGGTTAATTAGCACAGAGTTTTCCAGAGTGGCTTGTGGATTTGTGGTGGTGGTCCACGAAGGATCCCAGTTTTGTTGAGTTTACTGGTCCACTTGGTCTCCAGCGAGAGGAACAGGACAGGTAGAAAGACATGAAAAAATACAGAGCAAATGGAAACTAGATTGGATTCCTCAGTTCTCTTTGCTCTCCAGAAGTGAGAATTGCTGTAAACAATGGTAAAAAAAATAAATAAAAATTGCATTTTTATCAGTTCTTAGTGCATATACACAAAAAGCTGCATAGGAATGAGGAGAAGCTGGACTCATAGTACCTCCATTTGTGAGGAAAAAAAGGAAAATTGTACAATGAAGCAATTAAAGTTAAATGCGTGTGTTCTTCCTATTAAATTAGCGTGAGCAATTGGTGGTAGAGAAATGTTGTTTTATTAGGAAGACGAGGAAGGTGGGCTTTGTGAATGAGGAGCTATCCATAAGGGAATTTGTCTGCAAAGGTGTAAGATACAGGAAAAAAAAAAGTGTTTTTGTCGTAGCTGGAGCATGCAAACCACATGTATGTGATAACGATGTCCCACTTCCTGGTGTTCAAAATACTTAGCCAGCTGCCAGATTGATGGGGGCTCCGGAATGTAATGATTTATATTAATTTGTTTGCTGTGTAAATATCCGCAGTTACTGTACATAGCATGTTGCTACAAGATGGTACAAATCAGTCTCATGACAAAAACCTTATTTTGTACTCACAAATGAGCTTGGCATCATATAACAGAAAGACTTTGAGCTTGGCATCATATAACAGAAAGACTTGCATCATCCTCAGATATCTTGAGGCAGTTAGATACAATGGTTTAGAATAAAAGAGTGTTTGAACAAGATCAGAGGGAAAGCAGAAACAAACAAATGTAAGAGGAAATGTTCCTCATCTTGCTGTATGTTTTCTCTGGAAAACAATTTTGCACAAATCTTTTTTCTCAAAGTAATCTGCAGAACGCTGCATTTGCAATGCTAATTACACTGTGGTCTAATGCATACTGAGTGCCTGCTAATTTAGGTGATTGAGAAAATTGGAATAAAGTTTAAATTATGGCTTTTTGTAAAACTTAGACATAAGTGGAACAAAGCAAACTTTCTATTTTGCGTTTTCAGATAAAAATGTTTCACAAAGAATGTGAAATTAAACCTAAAGTACTAAATAGCTCTTTTTGAGAAGATCTTGTTTTTAAAATTATGAGCCTCCAAATGCAATGAGTGGATTGCTTGAAGCATTTTGCCTCTCTTAGGCCTGCAGCATTCAGGACAAAACAAAAACAAAAACAAAAACACTTTTGTATTTAAATGTGGCGGTGTCAGAGAATGGCAAACAATTAGCTGGTTATTTTTATAAGGTGGGGTCTCATGAGAGCAGAGGGGGAATAACCTGAGAATACTTCAGGGTAATATTTTCTTAATTCTAGCCAACAGTTTATTGATACAGTCCTCAGCATACATGTTCTAGTGACTGTGCTTGAGTAGAAATTGCTGTGTATGAAGCTGTTTGAATATTATTTTAGATGTTGATATGGATCCAAGCTTGTACAAAGGGAAATAAGCAAGTTAGAAATAAGCTGGAACAGTTATGAAATGTTACATGTAAGCAGTGAGCAGTGCTTCATCAAGATCAAGCTCTTAATTCTGAATGAGCCTAAAACAGGAGTCGTGTCTTTTTGACAGTGAACGCATCACTTTCCAGATAGAGAATCTGTGACAACTGCTGCAGTCCCATTCCCCATTGAAGTTTTGAGGGTTTATCATTGGTTTTGACTGTCAGAAAACAGGAGCATTGCTTCTCAGTCTTACATGCTCAGCTTCTATAAAACGTTGTCTTCCCTCCTGACACAGAGCCCAGCTTTCCACCAGACTCGGTCTTTTTGTCTGCTTTTGTGGGGTTCTTCTAAAGTTATGGTTTCCCCACTAAGCTGTTTTCCTTCTGCTGATTCATGCTGTAGATGAGGAGCTAGAAAGGGTAAATATGGAATTGCCAGTTCAAGGAACAGAGGTGGGGAGCTGAGTTTCAAATAGAGAAAATGTGTAATGGTTCATAATTCCCCTTTCTCTTCTCCTTTCTGGTTGCCTGCAGTATCACCTCTTACCCAGGTCATAAATCCTTAAAAGTCACCACTTCTTCAGCATTTATATGCAGAGGAAGACTGGAGGCTTTCCAATAATAATAAAATGGGTTGTTCAAACTGGGCAATCTGGCTACTTACTCATCTGGCAGTGATTCAGCAGCTATCTCTAAAACATTTAACACAATTTTCTTTAAATCCATAGACCATTGTCATATATGAATGTGGTTTAAAATAGTGAGGTTGAACTCTTTGAAATGAAGGCCAAAATTTGCCATCATTTTTGAGTGTGGAGTGTCATATTCAGTATATTTTCAGAAACTGAAGTAACTTCACCACTAACTGGAGTCAGTGAGACTTACAGGTGTTTGGTAATGTAAAAATCAATCTAAGATTCATCAATCTTTGAATTCAAAGCCAATATTATTTTATAGGTAAATTTTAAAATAATTTAGAGACTTAAACTTCTTTGTTTTCCTCTAATCAGCAAAATGTGGAGCATGTGGTCCAGGATATGCAACTCCTCTGGATGCCATGAAAGGCAAGTAGTGGGATCTTTTCTTAAATCCAAGCCATCAGTAAAGGAATTGATTTCAAATTCAGTGAAGATTAGTTAGATGCCTTCCAGAGTGGCTAATTAGCAAGGCCAAGTAGACTTCAAATATCAGAAGAGATTTGATTTCATTTTGGACCCAGCTGCACAAAGCATGCAAGCTCTGTTACCATGAGTTCACTGAATCATAGTGCTGAAACAAAGCAGATCAGGGTTTAGATAAGTGTGCAGATATAGGATATAGGATGCTAATATGCTGCAAAATAGAGCTTATCCATAAGAATATGAGGTGCAAGTTACCATAATTTAGCTTACAAAAATGATTCTTCTGTATTTTTGGGTGGAGAGCTTTACAGACTGCACTCAGACTCTCTCATAAAAGCAAGTGATTTTTCTATGAGAGAAGACAAGGAAAACTGGAGAAGGGACTGTGTGACATAGTTCAATGGGAAGCTTCTCATCCACTCGTAGCTGTACTAAAGTCATGTTCTGATCTTCCCAGCACTGTTGGGTTAAATCCTGAACCTTACCAAAGCCCTTGAAGCATTTTGCTGTAGCCTCCATACAATGGAAATGTTACCTCCATACAACGGAAATGCTGAGGTCTGGCTTCCTAGTTACCAGTGAGGAAGAATCACAGTTCGTAGACTTGGAGATTAAAAAAAAAAAAAAAAAAAAAAAAAAAAAAGAGTATTTCAATATTAACCTCATTTTTTATAAAGTGGTTTGTTCCAACACATTAAACAAGACTTCTACCTTGAAAGGTCCCCGGGAGGAGATCTTGTACCTGCCCTGCATCTACCGAAACACTGGGATAGAGAAGCCTGACTACCTGGCCACTGTGGATGTTGACCCCAAGTCTCCCCACTACTGTCAGGTACCCATGTGTAGAAGGGCTCTAGTGCTCCATTTTCTAGGGTGATGAATAGTTGGGTTTGCATTCACTGCTTCTAGTCTTACTTCTTACTTCTTATATGATTTGTGAACTTTCCTTCTCGGCTCTGTAACTGACTTCATGTTTTGTTTCTCTTTTTTCATAACTTTCAAATAGGCATTTGCGTTGAGAATCAATTAAATCCTCTGCTGTTTTTCTTACTAGGTTAGTCAAAATAACATTTACCTTGCTAGTCTCATGACATGTTCAGAGCAATGCTTTTGTGCTAAGTGTTGTAATAGTCCTCTTTGTAGCACTGTTGCTGATTTATACTGAGCATAAGCATTAAACTCTAGAAGGTCTTATTTCCCTGGGGTGTGCCAATAGCGTGGACAGAGTTTATAGTATAGGATCCCTGATATCATGGGAAATTGTACACATTAGAAATCTAATCCATCTGCTTTGTGAATGGAAAGCTGTAGGTAGCCATCTACCAGCACTACCAGATCCCAATTATTGTTAAGACTGATTAGTCTGTTGCTGCAAACAGTATGCTCTAAACTGTATTTAAACATTCAGTGCTCATATGACTGAAATTACCAAAGATGTTTGGACTCTGATCTCCATATCTTGAAGGAGCAGTGAATCTAGTTTTACAATGTAGATTTTCATAATTTGTTCTTTTTTCTTTTTTTTATAACTACTGCTTAGGTTTTTATTGTAGAGGAGTGGAGGAAACAAATAGCCTGAACATTTGACAGACTTAGCTATTATCTTCAACTTTTCTCAGTTATACAGGGGAAAGGTAAAAAACAGAAGCAAGAGTGCAAATTAACAAGTCAGTTTGCAACAGTCAGCCCCAGCTGTAATCAGGTAAATCTTGTAAAGTGTAAGACTTGCAGCACGTAGACAATTGATGGTTTGTTTTTTATTTTGTCTTTTTTTTTTTTTTCCATATTATTATTCCACGTCTCCTTAATTAGCTGGAACCTTTAAAAGATTGGGATGAATTTAATAGCATACAACATTTAACAAATGCTATGCAATTGTGATGTCCAACTTTCTTCTCCTGCTTTACTGTTTCAGCTCTGCATATCTCGCACTGAATCTGCTTCCTGAATAACAAATAGCAGTTTTCTTCTGCTCTTTATTAATTTATGCTTTGACATAAAGACCCATTTCTTTGCCTAGGGGAAAAACTATCCTAGACTGAATCTTAAGTATGCCTCTGACTTTGTAGGTCATCCACCGCCTGCCCATGCCCAATCTTAAAGATGAGCTCCATCATTCAGGGTGGAACGCCTGTAGCAGCTGCTATGGGGATGCTTCAAAGAGAAGAAATCGTCTCATTCTACCAAGTCTGATCTCGTCTCGCATTTATGTGGTGGATGTGGGAACGGACCCGAAGGCTCCTAGAATCCATAAGGTATATTTTGGTTATTTCTTTTATATATATATATATATATTTATTTATTTATTATTATTATTTTTTGACCAAGAGATGGTAATTTTATGGATCCCAACTTAAAATTAGAATAGTGGAGTCAGAACAGATTTAGATGCTTTTGCCAAATATTAGGAACTTGTGGGGGTTCTGAAACTCCTACAGTTTATTGATAAATTGCACACAAAAATCTTGCAAGTACATGTGTATACAATGTCAAACACTCAGAAGTTAGGAAGTTTCAGAATTCAGCCTGCCTCTGCAATACTAATTTCAGTCAATGTGTTTGCACGCTGTAATATCGTTTCTGACTAGCAGATCACAAGGCAAATTCATATCTGACACAGTCAACACATTCAACTGAGCATATGTTTTTCAGAGATCCTGATGAGTTCAAATTTGATGGGATTTCTACTGAGCAAAACCAGATCTTCTCCATAAAGGACACCTCCTCCTTGATTTATAATCCTTGTTCCTAAACTTACAATATATAGATTTTTAAAAAGAAAAATCTAGTAAATTATTTAGTATGGAGAAAATAACATTTTTTGTTATCTCTTGTTATTTGAAACAAATCGTTTTTTTATTTTTATTTTTATTTTTAAAGCTTCCACTTCAATAGAACTCATTTGGCTTAGGTTTGGTTTGGATACAGGCTTTTTACTTTGTACACACCTGTTCAGATTCCCTTCTCTGACAGTGGAAAAATACACATTGCTGGAGTCAGATTTGTCTAACCTAGTTTAGACAACTGTATTAGGATAAGGGAATTATGTCCTGAAAGTGTCTATATCTCTATTGATTATAAAATAAGCATAGAGGACTAGCTTTGATGTAAATATGTACACTGTCAGAATCGATACTTGTGTCCTGGCTTCAGCTGGGATAGCATTAATTTGGGTGAATCCTACACCAATGGGTAAAACTTCAGTACAGAGTGCCAGAGACAAATTTAGTGTACTTATCAAACATGGCTTTTGAAGACAGGTCATAATGTGTAATGAACGAAAATGTTAAGTGATCCTACAAATGCTCTCATTCATAATCTTACAATTTTGAGATCTTTAGAACATTGCCAGACTTTAAGTGTTAATACAGTGGAATAAAACATCCCAAGGGTCTTTTCCTATACAGTGGATTTTGTTTCAAACTGTGTCTGGCAAGTCTCAAAGATTTTCTTTCCTCTGAACTCCAAATGAGAGCTGACATCTGAAAATCGCACAGTGGTGTTTCTGCCACTAATACTAATTAAAACAAATTCAGATGCACGTGTCTCAGTGGTGCATGAATTAGACTGTTGCTGTTTATGTTTTTGAAAAGAACAAACATATCTATAATGTCATGGATGGTAGTGTATTATTGGCTAGAGTAGAAAGCAAGAGGTGTCAAGTACTCAAAAAGCAAAGTAGCAAAAGAAACTGCTGCCCTGAGGCACACACCATTCCCACTCTGAAACTTCTGCTCTTACTGGTAAAATTGGTATTCCATAATCTTAACAAAGGTCTGGTTATATGTATACTCATTTTAGGTTGTGGAACCAGTGGAGCTGTTCTGGAAGGGTAATGTGGCTAATCCTCACACCTCTCACTGTCTGGGCAATGGTGACATCTTAATCAGCTGTTTGGGAGATCCTTCTGGCAATGGAAAAGGTATTAATCCCCTTTGTTATTTTATGGAATGGAATCACAATATTTTTGTTAAGCATAAGATCACATTTACAGAGTGCTTAGCAAATAGATATTTAAGTATTAATATATTATTTATCTTTTTTAACACTTTGTGTCTTCTTCCATTTTGTATCAGGTGGCTTTCTTTTGCTCGATGGAGAGACCTTTGAAGTGAAAGGAAACTGGGAGAAAGGGGAGAAGGTCCCCCCCTTTGGTTATGACTTCTGGTATCAGCCACGGCACAATGTCCTGATGAGCACTGAGTGGGGAGCCCCAAAAGTCTTGGCAAATGGGTTTAACCCCGCTGATGTAGAGAAAGGTGAGGGATCGTGTGTTTAAACTCTCAAAAGTAAAAGTGGTTTTTCATTAAAGTTAAAATAATCTCTTCTGTGCTTCTTTTTGTCTGACCTGATCCCTTAGGGCATTATGGCCGTCATATTAATGTGTGGGACTGGAACTCTCATACTTACATTCAGAAAATTGACTTGGGGAAGGACTCCATTCCTCTGGAAATCCGATTCCTCCACAATCCGGATGCTGCAGAAGGGTTTGTTGGATGTGCTCTGAATAGTACAGTACATCGGTTTTACAAGACGGAGGTAAGCAATCGAAGAAGCCATGGCAAACCTAGCTGCTTCAGAAATCCACCAATCACTTAGGAAATAGTGGAATTTGATTAAAAAGAGAGAGAGCTCCTAATTCCAGTCCAATTCTAGCCAAGCAATACCATCATGTCAGAGAGAAAACCATCTAATGATGGTGAGGATAAAAGCAGTACCATGGATTTCATGAAGTTACCATTCAGGTCCTTCGTGGCTGAGCAGTTGCAGTTGGCAGACTTTCTGAGTATCTCTGCAGCTGACGTGTGACTTGTCACCAGTGACAACCTGTGCTGCCTACTGCTCAGCCACTATTTGGGAGCACAGGGAAGACCTGAAGTTAGAGCTAGGACAGTGTCATGAACAGGGGAGCAGAACTATTGTCATTTTGGAGGGCAAGCTGGAGGAGATAGGATGACAGTCTATAGGACGTTAGCAGTCTGCTGCTGTTAGAGCAGTCGGAGATGTTGTTTCATTACTAACACAGCTCATCCTCAGTGGTGGTGTACTTACTGTCCTCACCCCTTGGTAACACTTCACTGCAGCGTGTGTATCACCTCCGTACAGGACCTGTTAAATAAAAAGTACTGTTTGCTTTTCCTCCCTCTATCATGCAAGCTTCTTGGCTAACATCAAGGCACTAATAATGCTGTGTTTTCTCCTGTGCCTTTTGCAGAAAGGAAACTGGGCAGCAGAGAAGGTGATTGAAGTACCCAGCAAGAAGGTGCAAGGATGGCTTCTCCCTGACATGCCTGGTTAGTATGAGCATGTTTGGAGAAGCAATGGGGTGTTCTTCCCTTCTGCAGTGTAGCTTTTTGGGAAATCTTTAAGTGTTCAAACACTTTCCTTGTAAAATACTAAGTTTCTGCTTGGATTCTTTGTATAACACGATGTAACCAATTTAGCTTTGTTTATGAGCCACCAAGTGGGAGATCTTGTCAGGCCTCTGCTCTCACATTGCTCAATGATTGAGGTTAGATTCTATAGAAAAATACTTTGTGTTTGGGTCTTGTATATGAACTCACAGTAGTTCCACAACAGAACTATAGAATAGTCCTGGAAATGCTGGTAGGGTCTAAACCTCCATTTGAGTAAGCACAGAGTTTCCAAGGATGGTTGTGTTTGTTCAGCCCATTTCTTAACATATTTTTCTGAGGCTAATATGACTGGAATTTCAAAAGATCATAGGCTTGTGGTTTTGATTGTTGCTCGTCTAGTCCATTTTGTGACTGCTACTGCATCTTTTCTTGAAGGTCTTATTACCGATGTCCTCATCTCACTGGATGACAGGTTCCTGTATTTCAGCAACTGGCTGCACGGAGACATCCGTCAGTATGATATCTCCAACACTCGCAAACCCAAGCTGGTGGGTCAGGTAAGCCAGCCTCAGAAAATCTGTCACATACAAGGGCAGTACAACCTTATTTCCTTCTTTTTAGAAAGGAGGAAATGGCAATTTACCCTTGCTTGAGAATGATCACTATATTGCTTTCATGTTCCTTTGATATCCAGCACCTGTTCTCACACCCTCCCTTGGTTACAGGTATTTCTGGGAGGCAGTATCATAAAAGGTGGACCTGTAACTGTAGTGGAAGACAAGGAGCTGCAGTGTCAGCCAGAGCCATTTGTGATCAAAGTAGGTTTTCTTTTTCTTAACATGCATGTTGTAATTTGTCAGCGCGCTGCTAATTATAATCTGTTTTGAAATATCCCTACACTGCAGTCAAAGGTGCAACATATAAAGCAGTATCTGAGCAAGTTTATATCCTGGCTTACAGCCTGGGTTGCAGGTATCACATTTCAGCATGGGCTGGAGCTAGTAAATCCTGGTAAGTGTTCTGGGTCCCCGATGGAATTGTACAAGTTGTTTGACTGTACCAAAGGCTGTGTAATTACATCTTCCCTGCTGTTGTTAGCTAGCTAATTTAAAGCTAATTCAATGTGTATACATCACACTGCTACCATTCCTTCTGATAATCATTCAACAACTGAAAAACTAAACCAGGTCATGTAGTATTCCTCAGCATCCCTTGTGTGTGTGTGTGTATATATAAGTTTTCAGATAAAGAGTTTTATAAAACTAGTCAATGTGATATAAAAATGAAAAAATATTAACTGTCTCTGGCCATGATTAGTGTGCATTAATATTATCACTGCCAAGGCAGCCATGTATGCAAAGTGTTATTGGATGTGCAAGATCTGAACGTACTCATGACTGGATCTGTTGCCTGCTGAAGATGGTTTGAGGAAGCTCCACATACTCCTTTTATTCATAGTGCAGTTTGTAACCTAGCTGCTGTATAGGCATGTTCTTATTTGCAACTGTGTTATGCCACCCATCTCTTGCTTGATTTTTTTATGCTTTCATCTAAGCACAGCATCGTGATCCATTCAGCCCTTACTTTCTTACATTGCTAGTTCTGTGAAGTAAGCAAGACCCATCTGAGTTGGCTTTGAGGCTACCTCTTAATAAGAAATAAGGCTCCCAATAAAAACTGTTCTCTCTCCAAAAAAGGAAGATTTGTTACTCCAGTGTCAGGGATTTCAGAATGCTGGATGGTTCTCTAAGTAGCAGGCCTGTCATGTTTTGTTTCTCCTTGCTGTTGCATTTCTTTTGCTCAGCCTCTCTGGCTGCTTGTCTTGACTGCCTTGTTCTCTGTTACAATTTTAGGGGAAGAGAGTGCAAGGTGGACCTCAGATGATTCAGCTTAGTTTGGATGGGAAGAGATTGTATGTCACCAGCTCTCTCTACAGTGGATGGGACAAGCAGTTCTACCCAGATCTTGTCAAGTAAGTACACCTCAGTGAAAGGGATGACTGTACAGGCCCGTGTTCAAGATTTTACTACTATTACTTAAATAATAGTGTGCCTATACCAGCTGGTCTACACAGGCAAGGAGACGGAATACAGTAACTTTTTACGCACAGATCTCCAATCTGGGTATTTCACTCACAAGCCAGAATCCATCCCCCTCCTTAACAGGCACAAAACTCTGGGTCTGTACACACTGGTAAATAACAATAGGAAGAAACCAGTAAACATAGCCTAGCCTTCTGTATTACTTCCAAACTACCTTTAAGCACATCAGCATGACTATATTTTTTTGTTAATCAAGAGTGGAAAAGATGATCTTCCAGGTGTCCACAGGAGGGCATAGTGCAGCTTGCCTTTTCCTTGTTAATTAACAACAATTCACTCATTCACTGCTATGAATGAACTATTTCACTCATTAATTGCTAATATGAGGTTGCAGATTTCACTGAGGCAGTGTAACTCACTTTTTAGGCCTGCTAAGGCCTAGTTTGAATCTGGAATTTAATTTCTTTCTATATTAAACAAAGACAATTCCTGCCCAGCAAATATGAGTCCTTTTCCCAATGTCTGTTTTCTTGTCCCTTTTTTCAGGGAAGGCTCTGTTATGCTGCAGGTTGATGTGGATACTGAAAGAGGTGGATTGAAAGTGAACAAAAACTTCCTAGTGGATTTTGGGAAGGAGCCTGATGGGCCTGTTCTAGCTCATGAAATTCGTTATCCTGGAGGAGACAATACCTCCGACATCTGGATTTAACTGTTGTATGGAGCTTTTTTCTTTTTTTCTTTCTTTCTTTCTTTCTTTCTTTCTTTCTTTCTTTCTTTCTTTCTTTCTTTCTTTCTTTCTTTCTTTCTTTCTTTCTTTCTTTCTTTCTTTCTTTCTTTCTTTCTTTCTTTCTTTCTTTCTTTCTTTTTTTTTTCACCATGTTTGTTTTGTTTGATTGTTTCTCCCTCTCTCTCCTCCCTACCCCCACTTCTGATTTTATATAGGTGAATCAGTTCAGCCAGGACTTTGTCCGCTGTCTAAATTTAGAATTCCATTAGGGTGAGCCACAGAAGCTCCATTTTCTTCTCATTCTCTGAGGCAGCCAAGTGAATCTTTCTGAAACATGATATACATCTCATTTATTTCTCTAATCTTTGCCTTAAGTCCTGTGTAATCACTATTGACTGCAGGTTTTGAGGCCAAGCACATTGATCTTTTAAGGATTGTTTGCCAGGTGGTGGTGGTGAAGCTGTTAAGAAGTGTACATTTCATGGGCTTGTCCCAGAGCACAAGTGTCCTTTCCCTGCAAAGCTTAATTTACTCATAAATTGATCGGTGTTATACAGCAGACACAGCATAAAAATAATGCGTATCTAATCTGAAGCCATGTGTTTCCAGAGCTGGGTTATATTTTAACATCTATGTATGTATGTGATATTATAAAACATCAGCAATAAAATTGTTCTTCGAGTCAGATGGAGCTTCACTTTTTTTTCTTCTCTTTAGTATTTCATCTTTTTCTGTTTCAGAGAACATAAAATGTAACATCATCTCAGAAAGTAGCAATGACATTTGTTTAGAAATTCTTAGGTAAGGAATTTATTTTTGCTGAAGTCACTTTTGTTCCCATTATTACAAGCAGAGCTTCTCTTCCATTTTGTACAACTGGAGAAAGAGATACTCAAATGTTCATTTAATACTGTTGCAGAAGATTTACCCACTGGCTAAAACCCATCCTTACTCACATGCACATAAAACTCTTGGTCTGCATACAGTATTTGATGTTGTTTGTTGAAATCATCATCTCTTGGGAAGCAGGTAGGAATGTGAAGAAACCAGCTAGTGTGACCTAGGCTCGTGGAGCTGATGGTACTTCCAAACTGCTGAGTATCCTCAGCATGACTTCGTTTGCTGGAAGTTAAAGTAATCTTCTAGATGGCCACAGGAGGGCATGGTGCAGCTTTCCTATTCCTTGCTAACAATATTTCCTGTTTTTCTCTCATTTATTGTTAATTTAAGGTTACAGATTCATTTACGTTTTTGCAGCCAAAACACATATAAGACAAATAAATACCTATATATATAAAAGGTCTTTACCCAGCGTGTTCAGTGTGCAATACAACTCCACAACACGTTGCATAACCCCGTCATGCCCATGATCACAATGACAGCATGTTCGTCCCTATCAGGGTTGGAAGTGATGGGCAGGAGGAGGGACGGAGCTGCCACCACGGTCTGGGCTGCACCGGGAAGCCCCCAGTTGCTTTTCCATGTCACAGCTTCCTACCCGTGCCTGCCACAGGGAGCTCTTCTTGGGCTGGGAGCAGGCTGTAGCGATGTTGTTCCCCACCAACCATTGCTTGCGTTCCTGTTGGTGTTGCTGAGCCTGCTCTTATCCTTCTTCCTATCAGCTTTAATTAGAAAACTCTACGCCCTACAGCTTGGTTTTGTGAGGGATGCCAAAGACGTCACCGAGGAAAGCCAACTAGGATGACCAGCACACTGTTAATGAGCAGCAGACTAATGAAGTTTTTAATTAGCAGGTGTACGGGTACAAGAAGGTGCATTGAGACATGCACATGGTGACTGCAAAAGCACTCTGTCAGGGGCAGCAGCCAAGCCCCTGACGTTGCCTCTGATGGAGCAGCCGCTGCAGCTGCACCCTGCCATCAGGCCTGAGTGTCCTTCAGTGGGCAGCATCCCCTGGTGCCCATTTTCTGGAGCACATCTTCAGGCCGTGCCAGCCTGAAAATCAAATTCTGTGGAAAAAATGAGCGTGAGCCTGTGTGCCAGTCATTTTGCCTTTGCTGCCACCTGACCCAAAAGCGTTTGGCAAGCCCAATCACATGGAAGGTGATTCCAGTGCGTTTCACTGCCGTGCATGTATTTCCCCCCACTCCTACGTGTTACTCGCAGGTCATCGAGGCAGAAGGGCAGTCCTGGGCTTGGATCTTGATGGCATTTCTTGACCCCTCCTGGTGTTGGCAGAGGACGTAACTTCTTTCACAGGAGCCGCTCTTGCCTTGAGTAGGACTCCACTTCTCTGGCAGCTAATCAAACAAGGTTTTGTGCCACTGCTATGCGTGCTTTCTGCTCTCCTCCGTGATAGTCTTTTACCAACTTCTTCTCATCTTACAGAGAAACTTGGCGTAGCTGGGCAGCAACAGTGGCAGCACGAACTGTCCATTGATGGTTTGTGTGGAAGGGTCCAGCTGTGGCAGGTAACAACCCCCCTCCAGCCTGCCTTTGCCCTTGGCAGTGAAAATGATGAGGCGCATTTGTGCTGAACAGATCACACGAGTTCTTGTAAGAATCCTTTGGCAATGGTGTCAGCTTGATGCTCCTCTCTCACAGAAAAGACCAAGAGTTTGGCTGCTCCCGTGTCCCCCCCGTCACCTGTTTAGAGAGCTGTGCTGAAGCCAGAGCCATTAATTAGAGCCTGGGCGAGATGTCCTCTCTTCTGATAGGGATCTCCCGAGGGCTTCTTTAGTGGCTCTGTCAGATGTTTCTGCATTCCTACGTGGAGCAATTACTTACCCGATGTAATTTGCCCACTGATTGAGGAGTTCTTCCGCGAGATATGGTACTCGTTCACGTTCCACGGCGCTTGGTGGATTGTAGGGCTTTGTGCCACCCAACAGGGCCCTGTCCCAAGAACCCATGGAGCTGTGCAGTGGGGTGTCCAAGCAGGTGGACATGGAGACACCTCCAGCATCAGTTTTCCTTGGCATCGTTCTGCTTCAGGGAGGTGCGGAGAGGATGTGGCCACTGCTGCAGTGCCGTGTTGTGATGCCGACCTGCCCCAAAACCTTGAGGTCCCTATTTTTCACAGGTTGACTGACTCTCCCGTGTGCAGGTGCAAGCCTGAGAGGCAGCTGGCATGCCTTGATCCTCAGATGTGCTGGGTCAAGACTGGCACAGAGTGTACGTCCTGAGGCATCCGTCCCTGGCCATAGTTATCTTCTGAGTGCTTGGGAGCTGGCGGCAACTCCTCAGGGCTCCTGTGAGCTCAGTACTGGTGGAGCCCCTGCCTCTCGGAATCCCTGGATCCCCGTTCTTCCGAGCTCAGGAAGTCTTCTTCACGGGTTGCGGAACCTGTGGGCCTGGCTTTCTGAGCTGGTGGCAGGGAGCCCGTGTCTTCCTCTGAGCCCTCAAACAGAGACGTGCCTTGTGTCAGGGTCCAGATTTTGGAGGTGCCTTTGGTGGCCTCCATGAGTTCAAGCCTCGTAATTTCCAGGAGGCTGCTGGTGGGGCCAATTATCTAGCTGGGCTTCTCATCCCTCGTCTGGAATTTGCAATCGCTGCACATTTCTATTGCAAGAAGCTGGGCACTGGGGATGGCTTTAATTAGCCTGTGTCTTGGCTGGGCCATGGAGGCCTCCAGAGCCCGAAGAAGTCCCAGTGGAGATGAGCAGGGCCCCAGGATCAGATAGGGGTGGCTTGTGCTTCAGGAAAGGACCTGCATGGACTAGCAGATTTTTCCTCTAGATTGGTGGTTAGCAAGGCGGAAACAAGCCACAGCGCTGGTCTGGCACCTCCCAAACGCTTGGGAACATTCGCTCCTCCCTTGGCAGCTTGCTTTCTGCCCCCCACCCCTTAGTCGTGTATATAAGGGCCCTCCGAGCAGCCCTGGCACTACACGACCCACTCCAGCAAGGCAGACAGCAAGCTGCTCCTCCAGCCCCAGCACCTCTGCTCTTGAGGACAGTGAACCAGAAGGCCTTCAGCATGGGTAAGAAACGCTCTGCAGCCTCCCCACAGCAGCTCCATGCCCTCTCGCTCCGTCCTGGCCCTGGCTCCAGCCTCTGCCTGGGGCTGCAGACATCCCACCTTGAAGCCGAGTCCCACTTGTGGACTGGGAGCTTTGTTGCTCTGCAGCGCTGCTGGAAGGTGGGACTGAAGCCTGGGACACAAGGGTTTCTTTCATCTTGCTACTGGTCTGCTTCCAGGGGCTTAGCTTTGCTCATCCCAGCCCCCCTGCCTTGGGCAGGGACACCTCCCACCACACCAGCTTGCTCAAGGCTTCATCCAACCTGGCCTTGAGCGCTTCAGGGATGGGGCATCCACAGCTGCTCTGGGCAACCTGTGCCAGTGCCTCACAGCCCTCATAGTGAAGAATTTCTGCCTTATATCTAGTCTAAATCTACGCAAGTAGATGCTGGTCAGAGGTCCCCACTGATGACGAGGGTGGGCGAAGGTCCACTGGGTGGGATGGAGCCTTTTGAACTGGCACCATTTAAGGACGTGGATGTTTCTCCTTTCATTCTTCTCTTCTTCTCAATTCAGACAGATGCAAACTTCAGTGCTACGACTACCCCGTCTGCCCGGACGTTGTGAAAGGCAAGTCCTCTCGGGAATGTTTGGAAAGGGGGGCATTTGTGAAAGGGGGGTGTTAGCTTCAGACTGGATGATGACAAAGCCTGAGTCTTTTAGAGACCACCGTTAATTAATTGCATGTGCTGAGTCCCTTCCCTTGGTGGGAGAAAACTGGAGCTGTGCAGTGATCTGCTTGTGTTGTGTTCTCAGCTCTGGGCCAGGAGTGAGCCAGGGCTGGGCAGTTGTCATTGACCAAGGAGGGAGGTTGTAGCTGCAGAAAGCGTAGCTTAGTCTTATCTGAGTCTGCTGAAACTTTTTTTTTTCTTTTATGGACATTTTATGTCTCTTTGTAACACAAGTTTTCTTTATTTGAAGCTCCTAGGGAAGAGGTTGCTTATGTGACCTGTACTTACCGAGAAACTTGCATCGACCAACCTGACTTCTTGGCCACTGTTGATCTCAACCCCAGATCTCCGTATTACGGCCAGGTACCTGTGCCTAGACTGTTTCTACTGAGCTGATGACTAGCTGCTGTCTTTGTGCTTCCTGATTCATGCCGTTTACTCTTTTCTGCTATGGAAATTCAGAGTGCTTTCCAGCCACTCTGTCATGCTTGTTGGTTTTTTTATGCCTTGCACCTTCTTGTCTTTCCACATCTTCATGTCTGTCTCTGGGTTGATTCTTTTATCCTGCCTCCTATTTGTTTTTCATGTCCTCTTCATGACTGTCTGGACAACCAATAATTTTGCCATGACAGGCCTATTTCTTGCTTCTCCACTGGTGATACACACCAGCCTGGGATGTTGTCTGCTATGAATGTTAACTCCCTGCTGCTTTTCTGCTGTCCCCTGTGTACCTGGCTCCAGTTGAATCATCAGCATCTCTTTGTCTCAGGGGACAAGCCAGTAGGGATTCACTTCCCAACTCATTTCCATAGCATCTTGGTGCTACTAGTGAACTTTTGAGCACATGCTCTGAATCACCCTGCCACTGGCTGCTCAGCAGGGAATATGTTCACTAGTAACCCAGATGGTTTAGGGTATCCTGCACTTTTGCAGATTTCATCTTTTTTCTGTACTGCAATTTCAGAATGCTCTGAACCAACCTGTCTGCTGTCATCCTAAACGCGAAATCCTTCAGAAACAAGTAAATACTAGGCATATTGTCTACATCAGGGTTGTATATATATTACCTGATTACTCCGTTAGTGCAAGAGATTAGGAGAAAATGCACTTTAAAGAAAATACAGACTTCTGAGAGTCCAGTGTTCGGAGAAGCTTCCAGAGTGAATCACCTGACATGTCAAGATGATAATCATCATTTCTTCATATGTAATTTTCTGAATTTTAGTGGCATGGGGTGAGGAATTCTTGAATGAATCTTTGATATCTCCACATTTCCCAGCTGCACACAGTCACCTGTCAAAGGGCAATGGCTAGTGTAAGGAGCAATGTTCTCCTTTCTGCGTCTCTAGAGGCATTCCCAGCTCTAGTCACATGGAGGCTACAAAGATAGAAGTATCTGCCTGTATTAATGTCCCCTTTTGTCCCTGCCTCCCTGACTGAACCCTAACTTTGCCTTTGACTGCCTAGGTGATCCACCGCCTGCCCATGCCCAACCTCAAAGACGAGCTGCATTCCTCAGGCTGGAGCGCTGGCTGCGTCTGCTTTGACAATATCACAACAAAAAGGAACAAGCTGATTCTCCCCTGTTTGATTTCTTCCCGTATTTACGTGGTGGATGTGGGTTCACAGTGCCGGGCTCCCAAGCTCTGTAAGGTATGCCTGAGCTGATTCAAAGGCAACTTTCTGGGAAGGACTTGGGAACTGGTGCTTCTGGAATAATGCACAGGGAAGAAGGTTCTCCTCCTCTTCTTTTCTTCCCCCTGATTTTAGAGACCTGGGTCATGCTTCCCCCTCAGCTTTCTCCTTCTCAGGCTGGGGGGAGGCTCCGACCCCCATTTTCTTGCCTTCCCTGTGCCTGTTGCATTCAGGGAGTGTCTAGTAACTGGAAGCCATGTAGCACCCCATGCCTGGCCCCCATCCCAAAGAGTAAGGTGGGCAAACAAGCTCTTACAAGTTGCTGCATTCATGTTGTCCTTGTAAAGGAGAGCTCAGTGGCTTCTTCGCTTCTTTCCAAGGATGAGCAAGGCCTAGCAGGTGTGATTTCTTCGAAAGAAAACTCCTGTGAACACCAGAAACCTCAGATGGCAAAGACTCTGCTCTGCCAGGTAGTGTGAAATGAGCAGATCAGTCAGACTTACTCGTGTATACACTTCTTTCAGATGATTGAGCCAGTGGATGTCTTCTGGAAGTGCAACAAGGGATACCTCAGTGTACCTCATAGCCTGCCTAATGGTGATATACTGATTGCCAACATGGGAGATCCAGCTGGCAATGGAAAAGGTATTTTTCCCTACAATAAGACCATGAACAACATGACTGGTTGGAAAGATGAGTATTCGATCTATTGTGCATGCCCTCTTGCATCACAGGAGGATTTATTGTGCTGGATGGAGAGACCTTTGAGCTGAAAGGTAACTGGGAAAACGAGTGCGAGGCCCCCCCAACTGGCTATGACTTCTGGTACCAGCCCCGCCACAACGTTCTCATCAGCTCTGCCGGACTGGTTCCAAAACGTGCGGGGCGTGGATTTAATCCTGATGATTTGAAGAAAGGTGAGAATGGGGATGCAAGCACTGAGCCAGAACTGACCAGGCTCATGGGAGGATGTTGATGCGGTTGCTGAACGGTCCAGAACCGGGGAGAGGGGGCAGGCAGAGTTGTCCCAAAATGGCCCATTTTACGGGCATTGCCCCAGGACGCTCATCGTCTCTCCTCAAGACAGGCTGGTTCCTGTTCTCTCCCTCTGCTCCCAAAGGCACTGCATTTTGCTGCTGCTAATCCTGGGTAGCCGCTGCCGTGGCTGTCCCTGCCAGGGAGCGTCTTTAGGTGTGAGCGATCTCCGTAGCTCCCCTGCCCTCTCCTGACTCTCGCCTTTCCTCTTCCTCAGGGGTCTTTGGGCGCCGCCTGAACGTGTGGAACTTGTCCTGCCGCACCCTGACCCAGTGCTTTGACCTGGGGGAGGACTCGTTGCCCTTGAGCGTTAAGTTCCTCCACAACCCCGATGCTGCTGAGGGCTATGTCAGCTGTGCCCTGAGTGGCATCATCTACCGCTTCTACAAGGCTTGTTGTGAGGCAAGTATTCTGCCCGCAGCCACCAGAAACCCAGGCACTGCACCCAGACTCTCTGAATTTAAGAAGTGATTGGACTGTGCGCTTAGGCACATGCTCTAAAAGTTTGGGGAGGGCTGTGCGGTGCCAGGAGTTGGACTCAGTGATCCTTAGGGGTCCCTTCCAGCTCGAGATATTCTATGATTCTATGATTTGCCTGGCTGTGCAAGCGGGCAAGCGCAGGGGAGGGCTCTGTCCTGAGCAGCCAGGAATGCTCACGGCACGGTGTTTGTGCTCCTTTGCAGAGAGATACCTGGTCAGTAGAGGAGGCGATTCAGATACCAGCCAAGGAGGTGTCGGGATGGATTCTCTGCAAGATGCCAGGTTGGTGAGCCCTGAGGTGGAGTTGCCCTTTTCCTCTCGGAGCGTTGCATTGTGCAGCCTGGCAAAGCCCAGCGGCTGTGCCCTGTAAACCCAATGCATGCCATGCCAGAGGGGCTGAGTTTTCTGCTGACGCCGCCTCCTCCAGAGTTCTTTTTTCTGTGCCCTAGCTTTCACAGCCGACATGGTCATCTCCTTGGATGACAAATACCTGTATCTCAGCAACTGGCTGCACGGAGACATCCGCCAGTATGACATCTCCAAAACCTGCAAGCCCAGGCTGGTGGGACAGGTAAGGACGGGCAGAGGGGCTTGCAGCGTTGCTTCCTTATCAGTACCTGGTGGTGGTTACAAGACAAGCCACACATCTCCCACTGCCTTGCTTCCAGGTGTTTGTGGGAGGCAGCATCCTCAGAGGCGGGCCCGTGACTGTGTGTAGAGATGAAGAGCTGAAGTGCCAGCCGGAGCCCTTGGTGATCAAGGTGAGCTGTGTTAGGAGGGGAGGCAGCCATTGTGCTCTGCTTCTCTGCTCTGCTGCCTCTGCTTTTGCTTGTCTGCTGAGAGAAAGAGGCCCTGACATCCCTGCTCTCTGTTGTGCCTCCAGTGCAAGAGGGTGTACGGTGGCCCTTGTAAGATGCAGCTCAGCTTGGATGGCAAGAGGCTGTACGTCACCAACTCCTTCTACAGCACGTGGGACAAGCAGTTCTACCCGAACGTGGTCAGGTAAGAAATCTGGGGGAGGAAAGGGGCCTCTTTTGCAAGGCCTCAGTGCTAGAAGTGGGGAAGGTGCCTCACCCAGGGGACTGCGAGGAATCCCTTGCGGTTGCTGTGCTTGCTCTTGTTGAATTGCACACGCAATTGTCTCAATGCACCTCTGAACCTGCTCCCTGTGTGGAGCTGCAGTGGCAGGGCTTGGCTTGGGAGCGCGTACGTTGATCGGCCTTGCAGGTGGAGTGAGTCCACCTGTGGGTCTCTCAGAGCCAGGCCACGGCTCTGCTCCACCAGAGGCGTTTTCGTTCAGTAACGATGACCTCCAACACAAAGGCAAGCTCCAGGCTGTCTGTCACATCATGCCTGGCGGTTTACTCGCCTCCAGTGAGAATTCAGCACAGAGCCATGGGTGCTGGTGTTAGACACTGCTGGGAGTGGGCCTCTGCTGTCTTCTCTGTGGAGAAGACAAGATGTCAGGGAGAATGCCTCCACCTCATGAAGGGCAGGAAGGGCCCTGTGTGCTTGTCTGTAATGCCTGCTCTCTCGCCCCCCTGCAGGGAAGGCTCTGTCATGCTGCAGATTGATGTGGACACTGAGAAAGGAGGCCTGACGGTGAACAAGAACTTCCTGGTGGATTTCGGAAAGGAACCCAATGGGCCTTGCCTTGCCCATTCTATCCGCTTCCCTTGTGGAGATTCCACCTCCGACATCTTGGCCTAGACGCCATTGCCTAGACTCCCTTCTTCTCTCTAGTCTTCGGTGCAGCTGTTAAAACAGAGTGTAGGGTAATTGGGTCTGGGGGTCCCCATTCATTGCTGGAATCTAGGTTTCTGCTAATGTGAGCTACAGCTCAGCTGTCCTGTTGGAGGCTTTGGTTCGGGCACACCAGTGGTGAGCACAGACACATGGCATGGTATTCACCTTGTGGCACCGTGTGTCTGCCTTTGGTTTCAGTGCAAAGAAACCCCTGGGCACGCTTCACAGAGCAGGGTTAAGGGTGCTTGCTACTTATCGTGTAGAGATTTGCAGTATGCACAGCACCATTTCACAGATGTCTGCATACCCACCGTGCTGTTTGTCATTGCTGAGGACCTGTTGGGCACCTTTCTTGCTGGCCCTAGCCTGATAGCAATTGCTGTGGCGTAGCAGGGCCTGGTGGGAAGTTGTTGAACTCTGTTATGATTCAGAGCTCATTCACACTTGGAAATGAAGGGCAAAGAAGGCAAACCATCCATTTTGTCCAAATTGCTGTTCTTCATCCAGGTCATTCCTGGACAGTCTTTCCCTGGTGCAAGAGCACTTGAGGCTTGCTTGTGGCATGCTTGGGTCAGTATTGTATTACAGCCAAAGGAGCGAGTAGTGCTTTAATCTGAAAAGAGGTGCCTGATTCCTGACACTGGTTTGCTCTTGTGTTCTGCTTTAAACACAAATAAAATTGTTCTTTGCATCACCTAGATCTTCACGTGTCTTATTTCATTGAACCTTTCTATAATGTTTTCAGCAGTGGCTAATGATAAGGTTGATGTTTGGGAAATCACCTCTACATAGTCACCGATAGTGCAAGAGTGCCTGTTTGTCTCTGTGAGATGCAAAGGTTGCAAAAATGTCAATATATTGTGGATCATTACAAATTTTAGCTTTTTACTTATCTACATTGGAAGAGTAACTTCATTTCCTTCCTTCACCCCTTCCATCAGCAAACTTATTGCTGGGTTCTTCTGTGCACCCTTATTGGTCCTAGAGAAAATCCAGCCTTTCTGGAGATTGCTTCCATAGCTTCCTGAATGAGGTGTCCAAGAAGTCTGGAAGGAATTGCCCTTTGTGGAAGGGATAGGGGGTTTCCTCTCCCCACGGAGCAGAGAGGATGAGGCTAGATGAGGGCCCAAGTTGCAGTGGTGAACCTTGGGTGGGAAGCATCCCTGGGGTACTGCTCTTCAGCCCCACAATCGCTTGTGAGTGCGTGACCCCTTGCTGAGGTCCTGCAGAGCTTCCCTATCAGAGGAGCCTTTCAGGTGATGTCCCTGCTGGTGGGGTGGCTCTGGAATGAGCTCTCCCCTTCCTTCAGACCCCTGCCAAGCCCGGGTCTCTCCAGAGGCGCCGCCTCCTCTCCATCGGCTGCAGGGAGGGTCTGGGCAGCAGGCACCCTGTGCCAGGCTGCAGGCCAGGTGAGGTGAATCTGCTCTGGAGACCTGCCCTTGGGACGGGCCAGGCTCCATCCCCATTCGCAGAATCACAGAATTGGAGAGGGGTTGGAAGGGACCTCAAGAGATCATCAGGTCCAACCCTCCTGCCAAAGCACATTCCCTAGAACTGGTTGCCCAGGTAGGCATCCAAACAGGTCTCAAATATCTCCAGAGAAGGAGACTCCACACAAACCCTGGGCAGCCTGTTCCATGTTCTGTCGACCTCACTCTAAAAAAAAAGTTTTGCCTCGCATTTAAGCAGAACCTCCTATGTTCCAGCTTGTACCCATTGCTCCTTGTCCTGTCATGGGGTGTCACCGAGAAGAGCCTGGCCCCGTCCTCCTGACACTCCCCCTTTACATATTTATAAGCATTAATAAGGTCACCCCTCGGTCTCCTCTTCCCCAAGCTAAAGAGACCCTGCTCCCTCAGCCTTTCCTCTTAAGGAAGATGCTTCGCTCCCTTAATCTGAAGCTGGATGCTTTGTTTGTTCCCTCTAGTGGTGGTTCGGAAGATACGCTTCGCCCTGCTGCCTGTGCCTGTCAAGTCATCCTCGTGTTTTGGTAGCTCCAAAATGCTTTTTTTTTTTTTTTTTTCCCTTGGGCACAAGCTTCAAGGGTGGATGGAGTTGCATGTGTAGCTGAGGATACTTTCGGACTGCACAATTCATTCACGCACAAGGTTAAGACAAAGCTTGTAGATACAGGACTGAAAACTAGTGTCCCGAAAAATCCTGTTGACCATGCAGCCATTGTGAATGCTCCATTCTGCCCTTGGTCTTCTTTTCAGACGAACCTTTCTTTAAGGGATGTTGCCAGGGACATAAGGATGCTAGTGTAACTTTATGACTTCTATTATGATTAAATGTTTCTCAAAGAATTTTGCAGAGGAACCATGGATATTGCAGAGGACGGAAAAGTGGATTGATTAGGTCATTTTACTATACATAAAAATAATCTCTAATAGAAGACACTAACCTGTTTTCTGCCTTCATGTTTGCTACCACGATACGTAGACACTCACCAGAAACTCATATGAAGAAGTATAAAATGGTTCCTTGGAGTGAAACCTGAAATGTTTAAGTAAATTGCTCAGTATATGAGTTGAGTTGCATATATTAGCCGAGTTGCTAATGCCTGTCTTCAGGTAGAGACACGGAAGACACGGGGCTCGCAATGCATCCACTGCTGTCGTGTAGCTTGGATGCCAGGAAAAAAGGCAGGTGCTGCTTGTCCGTGCTCCCCAGCTGCATGGTGCTGCCACTCCTCTGGTGCCAGGTGGAGTGATTGTGGGGCTGTGGGAGAAGTCAGTTCAACAACCTGATCCGGCAGAAACCTGAGCCACCAGAAACGTGACTCACTGTCCATTGGTGTGGACAATTTCCCTGTGGCTGCACGTGGCAGGGCTGTTCGATGGCAGCCTGAAGTGGCTGCTCATTAGCTGGTGCCTGAAATCACAACCTAAGGATGTGGGTTTCAGATGGGTTTATCCTGTCATAGCTGTGGGACATAGTGGGGAGGAGTGAGCCCACTCTTCCCATGCTTCTGGTCAGATATTTCTGCCCCCTCTCCTGTGACTCTTGCTCCAAAAGCAAACAGCTGATTTGTAGGGGAAAGGGTGGCTGGAGTAATAATGGAAAAAAGAGTCAGGTGCCTTGAGGGAGGAGAAACGCAGTCTTGCTATGCTGCAGTGCTGTCCCTCTGCAGGAGGTGAGCTCGGCTGACTTTGCTCTGGGCTGGGCTGAGCCTCCAGCCTCTCCGTAGCTGAGACTGGGGGAAGCATCCACTGAGCCAGGTTCATGAAGCCCGATGGCTTGGCTGCACAGGGCACCCAGCAGCTTTGGCAGAGCAGAGCATGCCCGATAAGAGCCAAGCTGTTGTGTTGTGCACTCTGCTCACAACCCACTCCCACAGTACACGAGGAATCAGATTTGATCTCCTTCATGAGGCTGCAAATCCAGTTTATCTTCTGAAACAACTAGTCTGGTCAGCCTGCTCTTGCAAAGGGTGTTCTGTGAACCCCTGTGTCTGTGGTGCGATCCATCTCGCCCAGCCTTACAGCAGGACATTCTGGAGGAGGACGCGTGCGTAGTTGCCTTCATTGCCTTTATGCCCATGGAGAGGGAAAATGGCATACTGGCAGGGTGTTTCAAGTCACTCAGAGTTGGCCATTTCAAACAGGTCAGATGAATGAGAGCCAGAAAAATCATCTCCTGATTTCTTTTGCCTCACGGACTTTGTGCCTGACATGCTTCAAAGCATGGTGAACTTTTCATAGAATCATAGATTCAGACTCGTAGAATCATTATGTTGGAAAAGACTTTCAAGATCGTCAAGTCCAACCATCAACCTGGCCTAGATCCAGTGTCAATGCAGTCTTGAGAGCACTAGCAGACTCTTATCTCTGTCTTCAAAAGGAACATTTTCAGCTATCTTATTTTTTTTAGGTAAATGTTTTTAAGGCATTCATTGGCATGGGCTGTGTAATCCAGTTCCTGAAAGAATGTCGGACTTCAGCTTTGATCTCTCCACCTGTCCCAGCCAGAGATGTGCTACCAAAAAGCAGCATCAAGGCCAGTACTACCCTCACGGCATCCCTATAGGCAGTCCCAGCAGCAGCAAGGCCTAAGTGACTGCTTGCATTAAGGTCCCTTTTTTTCTCTGCTTCTCTGAGTGAAATATTTTTGCCTTTGGCTATGTGATCCACTGCCTGTCCAACCTGAAAGATGAGCATCATCACTTCAGGATGGAATGGAAGCATCACATGTTTTGATGATGTGTCATCAGGGAAAAAGAACAAACTGATACTTCTGAGTTTAATCTTTTTTCCTGATTTTATGTCACGGATATGAGAACAAACTTACGGGCTCCCAAGCTGTGCACACTATGCCTGAGGTGGCATGCTTCTGGGAAGTAGATGGGATCTGGAGCTTTTGGAAGAAGATACAAGGAAAAGGATTTTTGGATTACCCCTCAATGCTTGTGTAGGCAAATATGGAACTGGGACCCATCCCTAGTCACTTAAAATGCAAGTCATTAAAAACGAGATCTTAACCTAGATACAGAAAGAATTGCAAAATGTGAGAGACACTTATATTAGAACACAGTTCCTTTGTCCATAATACCAGCTTTCTTTTTCTTTTTCAGAGGAGATGGTTGGATTTTAGAAGGAACTCAATGAGCCTTGCACGCTCATGATAGGAGCTTCTCTCCTGAAGACAGCACATCTGATGTCAGGTTGTAGCAATTCAAGGAAAAGCACATATTTATTTCTGCGTTCTCAGGTTAGAGAAGGACATAAAGTGTCTTTTTTCAGCAGAGACTTTATCCAACAACTTGAACCACTGTAGCTTAAAATATATTGTTTCTCCATTGGCTTATATCTGCAAATAACAGGCAAGTGCCAGTGAGGTGACCTCCTGTTGTCACATTCCTTTCCATCAGCAGTGCAGTTTCACATTTGCTATACATTTTTCCTCATGCACAAGAAGGTTTCAGGTGAGCATATATCAGTCTGCTTCAAAAATCGTCTTCGTTTTCCTCTCTATTTCATGTTCACTGCTGCTGGTAGAGTTGGAACATGGGGACCACTCATTCCACACATTGGCTGCGATTTCTGTGTACCTTGCTGCTGGTGAAATGTCAGGCCCCACTGAAGTTCAGGTAGAAAAGACAAAAACGAATTGGGCCTCACTCTGTGAGTATAAATTGGCCAGCCAAGATCTGCTTCATAACATCAGCAAGACAGACTGGCAGCTGCTTATAATCAGACTCCCTGTGGGTTAGGATCATTAGTCAGTAAACACTGATGTGTGGAGCTGTGAGAGCTCCAAGCTGACACACTCTAAGCCACATCTTGAAGAAGTTAACAGTGAACTTTGTTAAGCTTCCTGTGCCACATAAACAGGTTGCAAATTAACCACCAACACCTGTGTTGCCCCTGCTGTTTGAAGGGAAAATCATGGTTGTTTTAACACAAGCAGTGGATGGTGTGCTTCCCTTCCTGAAGGGGGAAAGGGACTGCAACAGAGACCTGCAGCATGGTGAGGTCTTAGATAACATAGCTCTGCTGGCATTTTTTGCTGGGGCACTGGTGATAATGGGAGTCCTTCCACACTCTGCTGCTCCTTTCGTGCACAGTGCCTACCTGAAGTATGTGAATCTGGTAGAAGGCTGTAAGAAGAGTAAGGGGGCAGGCCAAAAGGACAGGAAAAGGGGATTTCAGAATGCAGGATCGTGAGCAACGCTGAGATACACCAGGGCACCTCCAGGGTTATATTCGAGGATCAGGTGGGAAGAAACAGGGTCTCCACCCTGGAGAGCTGGGGAAAGGTCACAGGACGGTCACATCATTGGGGGAGTTGTTACTTGGGTGCTAAGAGAAGCCTCAGTGTCCTCAGTGAAGCAGGGTCTTCTCCCAGCGCATTCGGTGTGCAGTGCCAGTCCACGCCAGAATGCTTCACTCCATCATGCCCATGATCACAATGACAGCATGTTCGTCCCTATCAGGGTTGGAAGTGATGGGCAGGAGGAGGGACGGAGCTGCCACCATGGTCTGGGCTGTCCCTGGTTGCTTTTCCATGTCACAGCTTCCTACCCGTGCCTGCCACAGGGAGCTCTTCTTGGGCTGGGAGCAGGCTGTAGCGATGTTGTTCCCCACCAACCATTGCTTGCGTTCCTGTTGGTGTTGCTGAGCCTGCTCTTATCCTTCTTCCTATCAGCTTTAATTAGAAAACTCTACGCCCCACAGCTTGGTTTTGTGAGGGATGCCAAAGACGTCACCGAGGAAAGCCAACTAGGATGACCAGCACACTGTTAATGAGCAGCAGACTAATGAAGTTTTTAATTAGCAGGTGTACGGGTACAAGAAGGTGCATTGAGACATGCACATGGTGACTGCAAAAGCACTCTGTCAGGGGCAGCAGCCAAGCCCCTGACGTTGCCTCTGATGGAGCAGCCGCTGCAGCTGCACCCTGCCATCAGGCCTGAGTGTCCTTCAGTGGGCAGCATCCCCTGGTGCCCATTTTCTGGAGCACATCTTCAGGCCGTGCCAGCCTGAAAGGCAAATCCTGTGGAAAAAATGAGCGTGAGCCTGTGTGCCAGTCATTTTGCCTTTGCTGCCACCTGACCCAAAAGCGTTTGGCAAGCCCAATCACACGGAAGGTGATTCCAGTGTGTTTCACTGCCGTGCATGTATTTCCCCCCACTCCTACAGTGTTACTCGCAGGTCATCGAGGCAGAAGGGCAGTCCTGGGCTTGGATCTTGATGGCATTTCTTGACCCCTCCTGGTGTTGGCAGAGGACTGTAATTTCTTTCACAGGAGCCGCTCTTGCCTTGAGTAGGACTCCACTTCTCTGGCAGCTAATCAAACAAGGTTTTGTGCCACTGCTTTGCGTGCTTTCTGCTCTCCTCCGTGATGGTCTTTTACCAACTTCTTCTCATCTTACAGAGAAACTTGCGTAGCTGGGCAGCAACAGTGGCAGCACGAACTGTCCATTGATGGTTTGTGTGGAAGGGTCCAGCTGTGGCAGGTAACAACCCCCTCTCCAGCCTGCCTTTGCCCTTGGCAGTGAAACCTGATGAGGCGCATTTGTGCTGAACAGATCACACGAGTTCTTGTAAGAATCCTTTGGCAATGGTGTCAGCTTGATGCTCCTCTCTCACAGAAAAGACCAAGAGTTTGGCTGCTCCCGTGTCCCCCCCGTCACCTGTTTAGAGAGCTGTGCTGAAGCCAGAGCCATTAATTAGAGCCTGGGCGAGATGTCCTCTCTTCTGATAGGGATCTCCCGAGGGCTTCTTTAGTGGCTCTGTCAGATGTTTCTGCATTCCTACGTGGAGCAATTACTTACCCGATGTAATTTGCCCGCTGATTGAGGACTTCTTCCGCGAGATATGGTACTCGTTCACGTTCCACGGCGCTTGGTGGATTGTAGGGCTTTGTGCCACCCAGCAGGGCCCTGTACCCAAGAACCCATGGAGCTGTGCAGTGGGGTGTCCAAGCAGGTGGACATGGAGACACCTCCAGCATCAGTTTTCCTTGGCATCGTTCTGCTTCAGGGAGGTGCGGAGAGGATGTGGCCACTGCTGCAGTGCCGTGTTGTGATGCTGACCTGCCCTGAATCCTCGAGGTCCCTATTTTACACAGGTTGACTGACTCTCCCGTGTGCAGGTGCAAGCCTGAGAGGCAGCTGGCATGCCTTGATCCTCAGATGTGCTGGGTCAAGACTGGCACAGAGTGTACGTCCTGAGGCATCCGTCCCTGGCCATAGTTATCTTCTGAGTGCTTGGGAGCTGGCAGGCAACTCCTCAGGGCTCCTGTGAGCTCAGTACTGGTGGAGCCCCTGCCTCTCGGAATCCCTGGATCCCCGTTCTTCCGAGCTCAGGAAGTCTTCTTCACGGGTGGAGGAACCTGTGGGCCTGGCTTTCTGAGCTGGTGGCAGGGAGCCCGTGTCTTCCTCTGAGCCCTCAAACAGAGACGTGCCTTGTGTCAGGGTCCAGATTTTGGAGGTGCCTTTGGTGGCCTCCATGAGTTCAAGCCTCGTAATCTCCAGGAGGCTGCTGGTGGGGCCAATTATCTAGCTGGGCTTCTCATCCCTCGTCTGGAATTTGCAATCGCTGCACATTTCTATTGCAAGAAGCTGGGCACTGGGGATGGCTTTAATTAGCCTGTGTCTTGGCTGGGCCATGGAGGCCTCCAGAGCCCGAAGAAGTCCCAGTGGAGATGAGCAGGGCCCCAGGATCAGATAGGGGTGGCTTGTGCTTCAGGAAAGGACCTGCATGGACTAGCAGATTTTTCCTCTAGATTGGTGGTTAGCAAGGCGGAAACAAGCCACAGCGCTGGTCTGGCACCTCCCAAACGCTTGGGAACATTCGCTCCTCCCTTGGCAGCTTGCTTTCTGCCCCCCACCCCTTAGTCGTGTATATAAGGGCCCTCCGAGCAGCCCTGGCACTACACGACCCACTCCAGCAAGGCAGACAGCAAGCTGCTCCTCCAGCCCCAGCACCTCTGCTCTTGAGGACAGTGAACCAGAAGGCCTTCAGCATGGGTAAGAAACGCTCTGCAGCCTCCCCACAGCAGCTCCATGCCCTCTCGCTCCGTCCTGGCCCTGGCTCCAGCCTCTGCCTGGGGCTGCAGACATCCCACCTTGAAGCCGAGTCCCACTTGTGGACTGGCAGCTTTGTTGCTCTGCAGCGCTGCTGGAAGGTGGGACTGAAGCCTGGGACACAAGGGTTTCTTTCATCTTGCTACTGGTCTGCTTCCAGGGGCTTAGCTTTGCTCATCCCAGCCCCCCTGCCTTGGGCAGGGACACCTCCCACCACACCAGCTTGCTCAAGGCTTCATCCAACCTGGCCTTGAGCGCTTCAGGGATGGGGCATCCACAGCTGCTCTGGGCAACCTGTGCCAGTGCCTCACAGCCCTCATAGTGAAGAATTTCTGCCTTATATCTAGTCTAAATCTACGCAAGTAGATGCTGGTCAGAGGTCCCCACTGATGACGAGGGTGGGCGAAGGTCCACTGGGTGGGATGGAGCCTTTTGAACTGGCACCATTTAAGGACGTGGACGTTTCTCCTTTCATTCTTCTCTCCTTCTCAATTCAGACAGATGCAAACTTCAGTGCTACGACTACCCCGTCTGCCCGGACGTTGTGAAAGGCAAGTCCTCTCGGGAATGTTTGGAAAGGGGGGCATTTGTGAAAGGGGGGTGTTAGCTTCAGACTGGATGATGACAAAGCCTGAGTCTTTTAGAGACCACCGTTAATTAATTGCATGTGCTGAGTCCCTTCCCTTGGTGGGAGAAAACTGGAGCTGTGCAGTGATCTGCTTGTGTTGTGTTCTCAGCTCTGGGCCAGGAGTGAGCCAGGGCTGGGCAGTTGTCATTGACCAAGGAGGAAGGTTGTAGCTGCAGAAAGCGTAGCTTAGTCTTATCTGAGAGTCTGCTGAAGTTTTTTATTTACCTTTACTCTTATTTCGTGGCACATTTTAACACAAGTTTTCCATATACTTAGCTCCTAGAGAGGAGCTTGCATATGTGACCTGTACTTACCGAGAAACATGCACCAACCAACCTGACTTCTTGGCCACTGTTGATCTCAACCCCAGATCTCCGTATTACTGCCAGGTACCTGTGCCTACACTGCTTTATTTGCAGTGATGACCAGACGTTTACTCCATGCTTCACAACATGTACTCTATTCTGCTGTCCCGTGTGCCTGACTCTAGCTGAATCTTCTGCATCTCTGTGTCCCAACTCATTTCCAGAGCATCTTTGTGCTGCTATTCAACTTCTGGTTTGAATCTCCTGCCTATGACTGTTCAACAGGGAAAATAGTCCCTAGTGACCCAGGAGGATGAGAGTATCCAGCGCTTTCAGCATGTTTCTATTGTACTGCAATTTCAGAGATGCTATAAGGCACTGAACCAAGCAGTCTGATGTCATGCTGAATGGGAAATCAGCAATTATCTGTCTCTGAAAGATACTAGGCAGATTCTCTACATCCACTCTTCTTCTTTGAAATGACCTTTCCACAGATCTTCTTTGGTGCAGGGGACAGTATTATCACCTCTAAGTTGTTGGATGCATTAATGTCCCCTTTTGTCCCTGCCTCCCTGACTGAACCCTAACTTTGCCTTTGACTGCCTAGGTGATCCACCGCCTGCCCATGCCAAACCTCAAAGACGAGCTGCATTCCTCAGGGTGGGGCGCCGGCTGCGTCTGCTTTGACAATATCACAACAAAAAGGAACAAGCTGATTCTCCCCTGTTTGATTTCTTCCCGTATTTACGTGGTGGATGTGGGTTCACAGTGCCGGGCTCCCAAGCTCTGTAAGGTATGCCTGAGCTGATTCAAAGGCAACTTTCTGGGAAGGACTTGGGAATCTGGTGCTTCTGGAATAATGCACAGGGAAGAAGGTTCTCCTCCTCTTCTTTTCTTCCCCCTGATTTTAGAGACCTGGGTCATGCTTCCCTCTCGCCTTTCTCCTTCTCAGGCTGAGGGGAGGCTTCCATCCCCATTTTCTTGCCTTCCCTGTGCCTGTTGCATTCAGGGAGTGTCTAGTAACTGGAAGCCATGTAGCACCCCATGCCTGGCCCCCATCCCAAAGAGTAAGGTGGGCAAACAAGCTCTTACAAGTTGCTGCATTCATGTTGTCCTTGTAAAGGAGAGCTCAGTGGCTTCTTCACTTCTTTCCAAGGATGAGCAAGGCCTAGCAGGTGTGATTTCTTCGAAAGAAAACTCCTGTGAACACCAGAAACCTCAGATGGCAAAGACTCTGCTATATAGTGTGAAATGAGGCTTACATCTGTGTGTCCTCTTTTTCCAGATGATTGAGCCAGTGGATGTCTTCTGGAAGTGCAACAAGGGATACCTTAGTATAGTTCATAGCCTGCCTAATGGTGATATACTGATTGCCAACATGGGAGATCCAGCTGGCAATGGAAAAGGTACTTTTTCCTACAATAAGACCATGAACAACATGACTGGTTGGAAAGATGAGTATTTGATCTGTTGTGCATGCCCTCTTGCATCACAGGAGGATTTATTGTGCTGGATGGAGAGACCTTTGAGTTGAAAGGTAACTGGGAAAACGAGTGCGAGGCCCCCCCAACTGGCTATGACTTCTGGTACCAGCCCCGCCACAACGTTCTCATCAGCTCTGCTGGACTGGTTCCAAAACGTGCGGGGCGTGGATTTAATCCTGATGATTTGAAGAAAGGTGAGAATGGGGATGCAAGCACTGAGCCAGAACTGACCAGGCTCATGGGAGGATGTTGATGCGGTTGCTGAACAGTCCAGAACCGGGGAGAGGGGGCAGGCAGAGTTGTCCCCAAATGGCCCATTTTACGGGCACTGCCCCAGGACGCTCATCGTCTCTCCTCAAGACAGGCTGGTTCCTGTTCTCTCCCTCTGCTCCCAAAGCCACTGCATTTTGCTGCTGCTAATCCTGGGTAGCCGCTGCCGTGGCTGTCCCTGCCAGGGAGCGTCTTTAGGTGTGAGCGATCTCCGTAGCTCTCCTGCCCTCTCCTGACTCTCGCCTTTCCTCTTCCTCAGGGGTCTTTGGGCGCCGCCTGAACGTGTGGAACTTGTCCTGCCGCACCCTGACCCAGTGCTTTGACCTGGGGGAGGACTCGTTGCCCTTGAGCGTTAAGTTCCTCCACAACCCCGATGCTGCTGAGGGCTATGTCAGCTGTGCCCTGAGTGGCATCATCTACCGCTTCTACAAGGCTTGTTGTGAGGCAAGTATTCTGCCCGCAGCCACCAGAAACCCAGGCACTGCACACAGGCTCTCTGAATTTAAGAAGCGATTGGACTGTGCGCTTAGGCACATGCTCTAAAAGTTTGGGGAGGGCTGTGCGGTGCCAGGAGTTGGACTCAGTGATCCTTAGGGGTCCCTTCCAGCTCGAGATATCCTATGATTCTATGATTTGCCTGGCTGTGCAAGCGGGCGAGCGCAGGGGAGGGCTCTGTCCTGAGCAGACAGGAATGCCCACGGCACGGTGTTTGTGCTCCTTTGCAGAGAGATACCTGGTCAGTAGAGGAGGCGATTCAGATACCAGCCAAGGAGGTGTCGGGATGGATTCTCTGCAAGATGCCAGGTTGGTGAGCCCTGAGGTGGAGTTGCCCTTTTCCTCTCGGAGCGCTGCGTTGTGCAGCCTGGCAAAGCCCAGCGGCCGTGCCCTGTAAACCCAATGCACGCCATGCCAGAGGGGCTGAGTTTTCTGCTGACACCGCCTCCTCCAGAGTTCTTTTTTCTGTGCCCTAGCCTTCACAGCCGACATGGTCATCTCCTTGGATGACAAATACCTGTATCTCAGCAACTGGCTGCACGGAGACATCCGCCAGTATGACATCTCCAAAACCTGCAAGCCCAGGCTGGTGGGACAGGTAAGGACGGGCAGAGGGGCTTGCAGCGTTGCTTCCTTATCAGTACCTGGTGGTGGTTACAAGACAAGCCACACATCTCCCACTGCCTTGCTTCCAGGTGTTTGTAGGAGGCAGCATCCTCAGAGGAGGGCCCGTGACTGTGTGTAGAGATGAAGAGCTGAAGTGCCAGCCGGAGCCCTTGGTGATCAAGGTGAGCTGTGTTAGGAGGGGAGGCAGCCATTGTGCTCTGCTTCTCTGCTCTGCTGCCTCTGCTTTTGCTTGTCTGCTGAGAGAAAGAGGCCCTGACATCCCTGCTCTCTGTTGTGCCTCCAGTGCAAGAGGGTGTACGGTGGCCCTTGTAAGATGCAGCTCAGCTTGGATGGCAAGAGGCTGTACGTCACCAACTCCTTCTACAGCACGTGGGACAAGCAGTTCTACCCGAACGTGGTCAGGTAAGAAATCTGGGGGAGGAAAGGGGCCTCTTTTGCAAGGCCTCATTGCTAGAAGTGGGGAAGGTGCCTCACCCAGGGGACTGCGAGGAATCCCTTGCAGCTGCTGCGCTTGCTCTTGTTGAATTGCACACGCAATTGTCTCCGATGCACCTCTGAACCTGCTCCCTGTGTGGAGCTGCAGTGGCAGGGCTTGGCTTGGGAGCGCGTACGTTGATCGGCCTTGCAGGTGGAGTGAGTCCATCTGTGGGTCTCTCAGAGCCAGGCCACGGCTCTGCTCCACCAGAGGCGTTTTCGTTCAGTAACGATGACCTCCAACACAAAGGCAAGCTCCAGCCTGTCTGTCACATCATGCCTGGCGGTTTACTCGCCTCCGGTGAGAATTCAGCACGGAGCCATGGGTGCTGGTGTTAGCCACTGCTAGGAGTGGGCCTCTGCTGTCTTCTCTGTGGAGAAGACAAGATGTCAGGGAGAATGCCTCCACCTCATGAAGGGCAGGAAGGGCCCCGCGTGCTTGTCTGTAATGCCTGCTCTCTCGCCCCCCTGCAGGGAAGGCTCTGTCATGCTGCAGATTGATGTGGACACTGAGAAAGGAGGCCTGACGGTGAACAAGAACTTCCTGGTGGATTTCGGAAAGGAACCCAATGGGCCTTGCCTTGCCCGTTCTATCCGCTTCCCTTGTGGAGATTCCACCTCCGACATCTTGGCCTAGACGCCATCGCCTAGCCTCCCTTCTCGCTGATCTGAGTTGCTGTTCTTCATCCAGGTGATTCCTGGACAGTTTTTCTTTGGTGCAAGAGCATTTGAGGCTTGCTTGTGGCATGCTTGGGTCAGTATTGTATTACAGCCAAAGGAGTGAGTAGTGCTTTAATCTGAAAAGAGGTGCCTGTTTCCTGACACTGGTTTGCTCATGTTCTGCTTTAAACACAAATAAAATTGTTCTTTGCATCACCTAGATCTTCACGTGTCTTACTTCATCTTTCTATAAGATTTTCAGCAGTGGTTAATGATTAGGTTGACATCTGGGAAATCACTTCTACAGGATCACTGGGTCACCTTTTGGTGCCAGTTCTCAGGAACTGTGGGCCAGCAGCCTTCCATGAGAGAGGGCATTAGTGTTAGAGCTTGCTGATTTTCTGGTCTGCACCTGGGGTGAGCACTGGCAGGGACAGGGCAGCAACTTGCTGCTAAAGATGTGCCTGTAGAGGCTGAGAGCCTGCTGCACTGCCCGTGAGACCGAGCCTGCAGACACTCAGCTTTGCAGCCAGAAGCAGCAGCAGACACTGACTAAGTTAGATGTGTCATGGGGAAAACTGTTACTCTGCTCCTGCCCTCCTTCCAGCCTGCAAATTAACATCCCACAGTAAACATTCGTCCTGCAATTAAAAGAAACCCAGTCCTCATTTTTCATTTTTCCTAGTGATTAACATCTGCAACCTCGTAAAATTATTTCTGTGGTTGGAAATGCAAGCACTTGCCCATCTCTCATGAGGGGCGCCCCATGGGGAAACTCAGGACAGTGCTTCTAGCAGAGAATCAGAGGAGAGGAGCTGCCTGCTTTCTCTCTGTGGCTAAAAGCCCTTGTTTTGAATTTCACAAGAACATATGTACTACAGAGCGCAGCCACAGCCATGTCCTCTTCCCCGTGGGAAGGGAGGAGATTCTGGTAGCTCTGAAATAGCTTCCCTGCACGATCCCAGTGCTGAAAGACGCTGAAGGCTGCCCCAGTACCTCCCACACCCCGGGGCATGTGGATCCTCCCCTTGGTGTCCTTTTCACACCGTGCTGCTCCCCATCCCACTCCCTATATATTTGAACCCTGCAGAGCTGCGTCTCCTCACTCGACTGGCTCCTACCAGGCAGCATGCAGGCAGCATCACCTCCTTCTGCTTCTCACCAGCAGGTGAAACCCTCCAGCACGACCTCCAGCACCGGTAAGAGATCTCTCGCTTGGCTGCAGCTTGCTCTCAAGAGGAGCAGGCTTGGGGCTGTTTGGTGGCCGGCTGCCTACTGGCTGTGGGCTCAGCTCTGGAGCCTCCAAAACTTATCCTGAGCTGGGTCTTGAGGGTTTATTACTGTGACACCCGGACAGCATAAAGTAGAAAGACGTGTGGGGATGAGCGTGGTGTCTTCTCTGCCAGGAGAGTGTTTTTTTTTTCAAGCTACTATAAGTGCCAGAAAGTGTTTAGGCAGATTGATAATTAAATGCCTTCTAACTATTTTTATTTAATTTATTCCCATTATATTCACCTGCAACACACTGTGCTCGTTACAATCAGCCATACCATGACAGGGAGTCCTCAGTGCAAAGTTTGGGTTTAATGGGGCTTTTCCTGCAGGGCTAATATGAGGGGAAGGGGGAAGAAAGGCAGCATGGTGGTTCCACAGTGCTTCAGGTAGGAGCAGGGACCTGCATGCTGGTGTCCTGTGCTCTCTGCAGAACGTGATGTCCTCAGGGACTGCAGGAGAAAACCTTAAAAAACAAACAAGAAACCGAGTCAGCAAAGCTGAGTAGTAGAGTTTAGCTGCAGGTTTCCTCCCTCTCCTCAGGCTTGCCATCATAAATGGGGAAAAGGGATCCTTTTGGAGGTGGTGGTTGTTTCCTAACAAGCTCTCGTCCCCCTGCACTAAGGGCGCTTTCCTTAACTGTTTTGAAGTCTGTTGGAGGGTGAGGCTGGATGGGTTCGAAGCACCCAGAGACCAGCAGCAGGACGGGGCTGGGGCTGGCTGATGTCTCCAGCCCTAAATGCTGTGGGAGCAGGGGCTTCGTGTGGGAAGCTCAGCACTCACACCCCCAGGCAAGGCACTGCAGAGGGGAGCAGAGTGGAGAGAAGCAGCTTTGAGCCCCGTAGCTTTCTGCACTAGATTTGTATGGCACCTCTCCTATGGAGGCAGGCTGAGGGAGCTGGGGGTGCTGAGCCTGGAGAAGAGAAGGCTCCGGGGAGACTCAGAGCAGCCTGCCAGTCCCTAAAGGGGGCTACAGGAAAGCTGGGGAGAGACTCTGTCAGGGAGTGCAGTGGGGACATCGGGATAGCAGCTTGAAGCAGAAGAGGGCAGGTTTGGCTCAGATACCAGGAAGAAATTCTTTACTCCGAGGGTGCTGAGGCACTGGAGCAAATTGCTGAGAGAAGCTGTGGGTGCCCCATCCCTGGGGGGGCCCAAGGCCAGCTGAATGGGGCTTTGGGCAGCCTGGTTTGGGGGAGGTGTCCCTGCCCGTGGCAGGAGGGGTGAATATTAGGTGATCTTTAAGGTCCCTTCCAACCCAAACCATTCTGATTCTGTGATCTAATTGCTGTTTGTTTCTGTTCTTCTCGATTCAGAAAGGTGTGGAGCGTGTGGCCCTGGCTTCGCCTCTCCTCTGGATGCGATGAAAGGCAAGTCCAAAATCCAGGGCTCTCAGGGAAGAGCCCTGTGCTGTCTGTGATTTAGGTAAAGATTAGAATAATGCCTTCAAAGAGGCGTTATCAATTAACTCCATCCGCCAAAGAGGCTCCCCAGCAAGCGTTGGGGAAGCAAAGAAGTGAAAGTTTTGCATCTGGCCTGTCCCAGGGCCAAACTCCAATTGCATAATGACAGCTTGGTCTCAGAACAAACCTTCTTAGGCTTCATAGTGGCTTGGGATGGGTCATAACTTGCATCAAAGTCACCCGTGGCTTCACTGTTCAAAACCAAATGGGATTTAATTTTCTCAGAGGCAACCACACCATATAGGCCCATGACACCACTGCTGGGAGCTCAATGCTCTTGGATTTCCAGGGAGTAGAGAAGGCTGGGGAAGAAGGGAGCACCCTTCCTCTTTCTTTTTTTCCAGGCACCCTCAGGAACACAGCACCACGCTCTGCTCCTGATGGCTTGCATTCTGACAGGACAGAGCCTCCTGTAGCGAAAACCAGCCTCACAGGCTTGCAGGCTGCTTGCTCAGGCACTTTGCCTTTTGTTCGCATTGCCAAAACACTAGTGCTCTCATGTGAAGGGACCGATGAAAGCATTGACTGCTGCTATCCTTCCCTTAATCCTCCTCTCCAGTGCTTAGCAAGCACATCTTTGAAACCTTAGACAGCTCTGGAGCTTGATCCTGGTCTGTGATTCCTGTCCCTGAAACATCTTTGAACAAAGCAAACACCAGTGAAGAGCTGAGTCTTTAAAACATGCCTGGATGTTGGCAGGGCTGGATGGTGATTTGAGTTAATAGTAAATAACATAAATCCCACTGACTCTGCTACTCCAGCAGATTCCCTCGGGACTTTTGATACCCAGGTTCTGTCTGGTTGCTGAGTAACCCTGGCACCAAAAATCTCTTCAATGTGGACATCAAGCTGGTCAGGCTCACAGGCAGGTGATGAAAAGCTCCTTGGGATGCCTGGGGAGGTGAATTAGGCTCTGCGCTCTGCCTGTGCCCTGAACCCTGGCTTTTGGTTCCCTGGCAGCTGCAGGGATGGGGTCCCTGGGTGCCTGGCAGCTGCCCTCGAACCCAAGGCCGATGCAGACACCACTGTTACGAAAGCTCATAAAGGTGTCATGTTGAAAAGGCGGCTGTTGTCTGCTTTGGATCAGTGACAGAGGTTCCAGGTCACCTCTCCCTGTCCCCACCTCCTCTTCCTCAGCATTTCTCAGACCTGTTCTTCCTCCTGCTTTGCTTTGGCAGCACTTTCTGACACGGCGCAGCGCCCGTACCACCCCTGCGGCTGTGAGGAGGCTGCAGGGTCGGGGTGCTGCTGCTGCTGGAGGCCTGGGGTCCGTGGGTGCAGCCATCCCAGCACCACGCTCGCCCCACTGTGCCTGGGAGCCAGCAGACCTTGGCAGCACCTTTGAGCCTCATGGAGGCATGGGGGAATTGTGCCCTTGGCCTCAGCCCTGCAAGCATTTTGCCTTTGTGCTTCTCATGTATTTTCAAGGCTTCTCCTGTGATGGAGATGAGACACAGAGTGGTTTGTTTTGTGTGACTGGTGGGGTTGGCATGTCTGAGCAGGGATGGGAGATCCCACTGCCCCACAGGGCAGCCCGATCCAGCCAGAGACTCCTGCAGGGTGTTCATTCTGCCCAGTGCTTCCTGCTGACACTCGTGCAACATTTCTGTCTTGAAAGGGCCCCGGGAGGAGATATTATACGTGCCCTGCATCTACAGGAACACCGGCAGGAACAAACCTGACTTTCTGGCCACTGTGGATGTCAATCCCAAATCTCCAAACTATTGCCAGGTACCGAGCGCCTCATCTCTGTGCTAAGCTGGTGGCCGCACACCAGCCAAGGGAAACAGCTCAGTGCAAGCCCTCCCTCACATTCCCCAAAGCTGCGGGCCCGGTACCGAAGGCTGGTGCCTACCCAGCTCGTCCTCAGACTCTGAGCCTTCCTGAGCTTAGGAGATGTAAGGAAAACCCCCTTCGTGTACCATCCTTGGGCTCCCTTGTGCACCAGCACACCCCAGCTGCAGAGTTAGGCTTGCCTGAGGCTTCCTGACCCCATCCACGGCAGTCTGCAATGCTCTGAGCTCCCGGGTCCGATCCATTGGAGTCCTGCGTCCCGGTGTGAGCAGGAATGGCCCTTTGCAGGTGATCCACCGCCTGCCTATGCCCAACCTGGGGGACGAGCTGCACCACTCCGGCTGGAACACCTGCAGCAGCTGCTTCGGGGACACCACCAAGAAGAGGAACCGCCTGATCCTCCCCAGCCTGATCTCCTCCCGCATCTACGTGGTGGATGTAGGAACCGACCCGCGAGCTCCCAGGCTTTTTAAGGTAACCTGGAGGTGGTGCCACGTGCTGGCTCGCCTGCTCAGCATGTGCAGCAGGACAGTGGGGCAGCTCCCACCTGTCCGCAGTTGCACCAGCCCCCTGCACCCCTGTGCAGCAGGCACCATCTCGCCCGCACAGGGGAGGTGACGGAGCCTGTGAACTCCCGCAGGTTGTCAACCCAGAGGACGTCTTCTGGAAGTGTAACCTGGGCTACCCCCACACCTCCCACTGCCTGGGCAGCGGTGAAATCATGATCAGCACCCTGGGAGACCCGGCTGGCAATGGGAAAGGTATGGGTCGTGCCAGTGCCCCGGGAGAGGGTGCCAGGACAGGAGGAGCAGCGCTGGCATCCAGCGCTGTCCTGGAGCCTCCACCAGGCTGGTCTGCAATGCCTTGATCTGCCTATTGCTGTTTGTCTTACAGCACTCCAAGGGGTACTCCAGGGTGATTTCCCCACCGCCAGTGCATGTTTGTTTTTGCTTCAGGTGGCTTTATTCTGCTGGATGGAGAGACCTTTGAGATCAAGGGGAACTGGGAGAAGGGGGACAAGAGCCCCCCAATGGGTTATGACTTCTGGTACCAGCCGCGCCACAATGTCTTGATCAGCACTGAATGGGGAGTCCCGAAATGCCTGGGATATGGGTTTGACCCAAACGATCTGAAGAAAGGTGAGGAAACTTCTGTTTAGGCACTCCAGGAGCGAGATGCTGAGCAGGGCTGCAGTGAAGCCCCATTTCAACTCTGTCATGAGTGAGCGCTGACCATCTAACAGACCCGGATAAGATTGTCCAAACAGTTTGCTTGCAAAACTGATTTCACACCAGTTCCCAGAGGTCACACTGATTTTACAAAGCCTCAAAAGAGAGCCCCAAAAGCGACCACTGCTGCTGGTGCAGAGCCCACGGGGCCGCCTCTGCACTGAGGTGGGGCTGAGCCCCCTGGGGCTGTGGCACCTCAGCCGGAGTCCCTGCGCCTCACAGTGTCCCCTCTGCCCCCCCCTTGCCCCCTCGCAGGGCGCTATGGACGCCGCCTCAACGTGTGGGACTGGACCACTCACACCTACGTCCAGGCCATCGACGTGGGCGAGGACGCGGCGCCCCTGGAGATCCGCTTCCTCCACAACCCGGACGCCGCCGAGGGCTTCGTGGGGTGCACCATCAGCAGCGCCATCCACCGCTTCTACAGGACCGAGGTACCGCTGCCCTGGGAGGGCGAGGGGCGGCGGGCAGGGGGTGCTGGGTACGTGGCAATCTCACCGGAGGACCTGTTCTGACTGGCAGTAGTTTATGCTGAGGTGATTTAATTCAGAGGAGGTTTATTTATACCTTTGTTGTGGATTTACAATAGCTCGAGCAATGTTCCTTCTCGGTGTCTGTTGTGTGTAAAAACAATCCGGGTGAGGAGAACCTCTGCCACCAGACCAGTTAATCCAGCTGGAAGGTCGGACAGGTTTTTGGCCCCCAAAACCCTTCCTCATGCCCCAGAGCCCGTCCTTGCGGTGGCTCCGCAGAGCCAGAGATGAGGTTTCCTGCAGCCCACCAAGCAGCCCCAGAGACGGGAGCTGGTGGACGTGCACACGGCATCTGCCCCCGGTCGGGCCTTATCCTGCCTCTGCCCTGCGCACCGAGCCCTCAGGCCGTGCTTTGTCCCGCAGCGAGGAGGCTGGGCGGCCGAGAAGGTGATCCAAGTCCCCAGCAAGAAGGTGGAGGGGTGGCTGCTCCCGGACATGCCAAGTGAGTGTGTCCCCGTCAGCCGCGGTGCAGCCACCTGCCCGGGGCTGCCACAGGTGTACAACTCTGCCGTCCCCTTCCCAAGGCTTCATCACCGACATCCTCATCTCGCTGGACGACAGGTTCCTCTACTTCAGCAACTGGCTGCACGGAGACGTCCGCCAGTACGACATCTCCGACACCCACAGGCCCAGGCTGGTGGGACAGGTGAGGCAGCGCCGGCGTGCCCCGCCACTTCTGCCCCAGCTCGGGGTGGGAGCAGCCCCACTTCCCCAACTCGGCCACCCTGAGCTCCACTCTCCTGCAGGTCTTTGTGGGTGGCAGCATCACCAAGGGAGGGACCGTGACCGTGTGTGGGGACGAGGAGCTGCAGAGCCAGCCGGAGCCCTTTGTCATCCAGGTGAGCTCGGCTTCGCTCCGTCCCACCTCCGCCCTCAGCCTCCAGGCACGCGGGGCGGTGGGGGCAAGCCCGGGGAGCAGGTCCCAGTGCTTCTGCTCCTCCGGCCCGGCCCGAAGCAGGTGGAGGCGTCCCCTGCTCACCTCGTCCTCCCCTCCACCTGCTGCAGGGCAGGAGGGTGTCTGGGGGGCCCCAGATGATCCAGCTCAGCCTGGACGGGAAGCGGCTGTACGTCACCACGTCCCTCTACAGCGCCTGGGACCGGCAGTTCTACCCGCAGCTCATCAGGTGGGGGAATCTGGGTGAATTTCGGCAGCCACAGGGATGGGGGAGGCAAGGATCCCCCCTGACCCCGCTCCCACCCCTCCACAGGGACGGCTCTGTCATGCTGCAGCTCGATGTGGACACAGAGAAGGGCGGCCTGACCGTCAACCAGAACTTCTTGGTGGATTTCGGGAAGGAGCCGGGCGGGCCCTGCCTGGCACACGAGATCCGCTACCCCGGCGGGGACTGCACCTCCGACATCTGGGTGTAGCAGCCCCAGGGCTGGCACGCAGCCGCCCTTCACTTCCTTCCCCTCTCATGGATGCTCTCCCCAAATCTCGGCTTTGCCATTGGCCTGACCTCCCGCAGTGCCTTCGACACTTAGGGCACAATGGGATGGCAAACCTGGAGATCCCGCTGCTGTCCGTGTTCAAAAGCCCTCCTCCCTGCCAGTGCCACCGAAATCCCACATCCTGCACCCTGCACCCTGCATCCCCTGTTCTGCATCCTGCATCTCACATCTCTCACCCTGCATCCCACATCCCCTATCCTGCATTTCACATCCCACATCTGACATCCTGCACCCCCTATCTTGCATGCAGCTTCCCACACCCTGCATCCTGTATCCTGCATCCCAAATCCTGCATCCTGCCAGCAGCCCGTTCCTGGAGCACGACAGACACTTGCACGCTGCGCTGCTGCCCCCAGAACGCCTCAGTGCCAAAAATCCCAGGGCACAGGAGAGGATGAAGTGCTCATCCCCTCAGTGCCCCATGGCTGGGCACTGCTGAAATAAAACAGACGTCTCTGCGCTGCAGCTCGCCTCATCTCGAATTGCTTTAAGTCACTGTTTTCGGGAGCGTGAGGGCGTCAGGGCTGCTCCCAGGTAACCTTTCCTGAACAGGGAGCAGGAGCCCCTGGGCAGCTCCTTCCCCAGGGCCAGCGTGCACAGCTTGCACAGCCGCTGCTGTGTGTCCAGTGCTGCACACACTGCTCACACACTGCTCACACACTGCTCACACACTGCTCACACACTGCTCACACACTGCTCACACTGCATTGTGTGCACGCTGCACCCAGTGCCCAGCACACGCGCAGCTCACACACGTTGCAAACTCACAAACATGGTGCACGCAGGCGCTTTGTGCACACGTGCATACATTGCATGTACATATGCTCTGTGCGCACTGCACACCAGTGCATGCACACGCACTACCTGCACGCACACACAGTGCACGCGCACGGTGCATGCACGCGCCCCACCTGCACGCACACACCCACACTGCGCGCGGACTGCACGCGCCCCAACTCCTTTACCCTCGTGCTTCCTCCCCCGGCCCCGCCAATCAGGAGCCTGTTACTAGGCAGACTTCACCTCGCGCTGCCACTCAGGAGACCGGGCCCGCTTGTATCCGGGTAGGAAAGCCGGATCGCCCAATCGCATTTCAAGCGGGCGCAGTATCCGGGCAGACCTGCCGGGCCGCAGCCAATCGGAAAAAAGCGGCCGGCGGGCGCGGCGGGCGCGGCCCGGCGGGGCGCAGCGCAGCACTTTCGGTTCCTGTTGCGCGCGGGGCCGCGGCACGTGGCGGGGGCGGCCCCGGGAGCGGAGCGGGCCCGGAGCGCCCCGAGGTGGGTGGGGGGGGACGGGACGGGACGGGCCGGGCGCTGCCCCCCGGTGTCGCTGTGCCCGGGGACCTCCCCTCGCCGTGTCCCCGGACCCTGGGGTGCTGCCCGCCAGGGGGCTCCCGGTGCGCCGGGTCCCCGGGTGCCCGGCCCCGGTCCCCGCGTCCCTGTCCCCTGGGGTCCCCTGGGGTCCCCTGGCCCCGGGACCTGCCCTTCCCGCTGTCCCCTGACCCCGGGTGCTGCCCTCCTCGCGTCCCCTCTCGCTCCCTGTCCCCGTGTCCCCGTCCCCTGGGGTCCCCCACCCTTGGGACCCTGCGGGGCGAGGGGGGCTCCTGGTGTCCCCCCCGGGCATCCCTGACCCCTGCCAGGCCGGGGGGCCTGGGGACAGCCGCTGCCCCTGCAGCCCCCCCGGGGCCCTTGCCCGGACGGGGCCCGGCACCTTCAGAGCAGGACGGGGGCACCGAGGGTGCCGGGGGGGGCGCGTGGTTCTGGAGGGGCTTCCTTCCCTCACTGAGTTTCTGGTTGCCCCCCTGCAGGAGCCCGATGCCATGGCTGACGAGGAGCCGAGCGCCCCAGCTGCCAGGAGGGGAAGTTCCTCGCCCAGCAGCTCCCGGAGCAGGCACCACGGAGCCCAGCACGCTGCTGCAGAAGCTGCGGAGCACCATCTCGTAAGGGCCAGGCTTGCTTGTACCCGGGCAGCTCGTCCCGTTAGTCCGACCCTTCCCACGGCGGTGCCATTTAATCAGGCTGATTAATTGGCAGCCCCAGGCACCAGAGGGACGAGGGGTGCGGTGCCAGGCAGCTCCCTGCCTTAGCGCTGCGGGCGGCACGGCCCCAGGCACGCGCTGCTCGGTCCCGGCGCTGCTGGCGGTGTTTGTGCCTGGTTCGGGTGGAAAAACCAACGTGGAATTTCACAGTAGCACAGGCTGGTCTGCTAGGAGCGCGCGGGCCGTGGGTTTATGCCCACTCTGCCCACAGGAGCTGGGTGGGAGCAGGCGGGTTGAGGAAGGGGCTGGGGTTCGGTGGTGGTGTCGGGCCCTGCCCTAACATCTTCTGTCTCTGTCCCGTGCAGCAAATCCGTGCAGAACAAAGTGGACTCCATCCTGGTGAGTGCCTCTGCGGGATGTGGCACTGAGGGTGGGCGAAGGCTGTGCCCCCCATTCTCTGGTGGGCTCCCACCCCTCTTCTGGCTGGGCTGGACCCTGGGTTCTGCCGGATCCCCCATCCCCTTGGGTCGGGATCTGCCTGCAGGGAGCTGCACGGGTTGACCCCTTCCAGTCCCCGGAGTTCTGCCCTGCTCCATGCGGCTTCACTCATCCCGCTGCCTCGTGGGCAGGCTGCATCCACCCTCACCAGATGCTTGGGTTTAAACCCCCCATGAGTTACTGCCAGGAAGGGTAACGAGAGCACTGCCTGCATCAGCTGGTCCCTGTTCTGGATCCCCAACCTCTCTTTGTCTCCGGTCCGTTTTCCCCTCCCTCCGGACCCTTTGACCGTAGCAAGATGTCCAGAAGTTTTCAGACAACGACAAACTCTACCTCTACCTCCAGCTGCCGTCTGGGCCCAGCCTGGGGGAGAAAAGGTGGGTGCTGGAGCGAGCTGGGGCTGTGTTTGGGGCTTGGCTGGGAGTGCAGGGGCTGGAGGACTGGCAGGTGGGAGGTGGCCGCAGCTCTGCCTTCTCCTGGCCTGCTTCTGCTGCTTTTGTGCTAATTCGGCGCTCGTCTCGTGTTCCCCGGGGAGCAGCAGTAGCTTGGACCTGAGCTCGCTGAGCACGGCCGAGTACATGCACGCGTGCAACTGGATCCGGAACCACCTGGAGGAGCACACGGACACCTGCCTGCCCAAGCAGGACGTCTACGATGCCTACAAGTGAGCGCGGGGACGGGCCTGGCACAAGGAGCGGCTGGCCCTGTGGCCGCAGAGCCCCACAGGGGGGTTCGGAGGGCAGCGGGTACCCGGGTGTGTTTGGGACCAGCCCTGCCCAGCACTGAGCAGGGGAGGAGTGGACGTGTGGGGAGGGCAGCGAGGGCTCGGGGACGTTCCCCTGCAGCTCTGTCTCTGCCTGTCCCTTAGGCAATACTGCGATAACCTCTGCTGCCGCCCTCTGAGCACCGCCAATTTTGGGAAGATCATCCGGGAAATCTTCCCAAACATCAAAGCCAGAAGGCTGGGAGGCCGAGGACAATCAAAATATCCTTCCATGTGTCCCGCTGGCCGGGGAGGCCCTGGGAACCGGTCCCCGTGGCAGCAGCAGTCGAACTGGTGGCAAGAGCTGCTTGGTCTCCAGTCACTCCCATTTACGAGTGCGTGCACAAGATGGTGTTCTGTAGCTTCTGAGAGGGGCTGGTTCCTGTTTTTTCAGCTCCTGAAGTTTCAGCTTGGTTACCCGAGGGCAGCTTGGAGCTGCCGCGTCCCTTCCATGCACCCCGCTGGACTGGGAGCAGCGCGGGTTGGCGCGGGGCCGGACGCTGCCCCGAGTCAGAGACGAGCCCAGACCCTTTCGGCAGTGCCAGGCGGCGATGGCGTGAGCCCTGCAGCCGCATCCCTCCGAGCCGTAACCCGTGGCCTCTCGCGGCTGTGTTGTGTGGCTGACAGCCCTTAACCTTGCCAAACGTACTGCTACAGCGGGATCCGGAGGAAGACGGTGGTCAGCCTGCCGCCCCTGCCCAGCCTGGATCTCAAAGTTACGGAGACTGTAAGTCCTCGGGCGCCTCGGCTCGAGCTTTGCCAGCCCCGTTCAGGCAGGGGAGCGAACCCCGCTCGTTAGATCTAACGAAGGCAAGGGGCAGAGGGGTGCCCTCTGTGTTCCCATGGGCTGTGGGGCGAGCGAGGCCGGGAGGAGGTTCTGCTCTGTCCCCTGAGCCTCCCAAAGGCCGGACGAGGTACGTGCCTGCCCGTGCAGGCTTGTGACCTGCTGGGGTGTCCGGATCAGGCCCTGTGTGCACCTGGGGAGTCCTGGCCTGGGCCGGGGAGGCTCACGGCTTGTCCTGCCGGCAGCAGTCGGAGCTGACGGACCTGGTGCAGTCCTACAACAGCGAGGTGATGGAGGCGGCCTGCGCCCTGACCTGCGACTGGGCCGAGAAGATCCTCAAGCGCTCGTTCAACAACATCGTGGAGGTGGCGCAGTTCCTCATCCAGCAGCACATCATCAGCTCGCGCTCAGCCCGGGCCGACCTGGTCATGGCCATGGTGGTCTCAGGTGGGTCTGCGGGGGGGCAGGGAGCCCCTGGCACCCCCCCAGAGCCCCCTAGGGACCCCCAAGGGGCACCGGTGGCCCAGGGAATGGGTTTCCCCCACGGTTGTGGGGGAGCACAGAGGTGGCTGGGTGCTGTCCCCCTCATCCCCTGCTGTGTGTCTGCAGAGAGCACGGAGAAGCTGCACCGTGACGGTCGGTCCCCGCTGGCGGCCAAGAAGAACGGCCTGGAAGCTTCAGAGAGCAGTGACAGGAGCCAGGGGCAGGTGAGGGCCTGAGGGTGCCCGTTGGGAGCCAGGGGTGCTCAGTGTCAGGAAGCAGTGGGGACACCTTGGGAGCAGCCCAGCCCTGCACGAGGCTGCTGCCACATCCCTGGCTCACGCCTCTTTCCTGCTTGCAGAGTAAGAAGGAGAGCAGCCCCAAGGCCTCCGTCCCGCCACGGCCCGAGAAGAAGAAGCTTCCAGAGCCCCCCCGGCCAGCGAGCAGCCCCCAGGTGAACGCCCTGGTCGCCCGCCTGCCCCTGCTCCTGCCCCGCATCCAGCCCGGGGACAGACTGGTGGCTCCCGGGCCCACGGCCGTGCGCTCCTCCCCGCCCGTGCTGGCCCCCAAGCTCACGGCCGCCCCCCTGGCGGGCACGGTCAAGGTGGCCCTGCCGCTGCCGGTGGGCTCGGTGGGCTCAGCATCCCCGGCGCTGCCCCTGGGGCTGGCCCCGGGGGCCAACGGGGCGGCGGGGCTGCTGAGCCAGCAGGCGGCCGTGCCCGTGCTCAACATGCTGCTGCCCGGCGTGGGGGGCCCCAGCTGCCGAGACCCCCCCAGCGCCCCGCAGCGCGGGGACCGACGGCCCCGGCCCGCAGGACTCGCAGCGCCCCAAGGTCGCCAAGCGGCCCCCGGAGCCCCCGGGGGCTGCGGCCGGGGCCACGCCGCAGAAGCGGAGACGGGGGCGGCCCCGCAAGAGGCCGGAGGAGGGGGGCGCGGGGGGGGCCCCGGCGGAGCAGGAGCAGGCGCGGGGGGGCCCGGGGGCGGCGGAGGAGGCGGCGAAGCCTCACGGCGGGGCAGCCGCGGGGCTCGGAGGTGCCGCCGCCACCGGGGACCGGCTCGGGGCCGTCCCGGTCACCGGGGAGGAGGAGGAGGAGGAGGAGGAGGAGGAGGAGGAAGCCGCCCCCCCCCGGGCTGACTCCGGGGCTGCCGAGGGGGCGGCCCCCGCGGTGCGCTGCGGCCCCGGGCTCCCGGGGGGCTCCCCAGGGGGGGGTTCCCCGGGGGGGGCCGGGCTCTGCGCGCCCCCCAACACCTAGACCCGGGGCCGGGCCCCGCCCCCGCCCCCCCCGCCATTAAAAGCCGTGCACAACCCCCGTCCGTCTGTCTGTCTGTGTGTCCGACCGGGACCGGGCTGCGGGGGAGGGACCGGGAGGACACCGGGGAGGGGGGGGGGAGGGGGGAGCCACCGGGGCCGTGCCTCGGGTCCCCAAAGGGGGCGGGGCCAACGGGGGCGGGGCTCCATTAGGCCACGCCCTGTTTGACATCAGGCCCCGCCCCTCCGGGGTTGGGCCCCGCCCCCTCCGCTCTCGGGGCGCCGCCGGGCCGCCAGGGGGCGCGCTCGGCCCCGCCCCGCCGCGCTCGGCCCCGCCCCCTCGGCCCGGGCAGCCCGGGGCCGCCGGGGCCTGCGCCTGCCGCCGCTCCGCGGGGCCCCTCCCGCACCGCCACGGCTCCGGCCCCGCGCAGGTGAGCCCGGCGCTGCCGCCCCCCCCCCCCGCCACCGCCCCCCTCCTCCAGACCGGACCGGGCCGGGCCCGGCGTCGCTTTTCCGGCCCGTGTCGGAAGCGGCCGCGCCGCGGAGGCCGGGGGGGAGCCGGGGCCGCGCGGCGCTCCCGAGCCGCCGCCTCCCGGTCCCGGTCCCGCAGCCCCGCGCCCTCCCCGGCACAGCCGGCACCGAGCGCCCCGGCCCAGGATGCGGCTCCCGGACAGCGCCGCGCACCGGCACCGGAGCCCCGGGACGCGGCGGCGCGGGGCGGCCCCGCAGCAGGTAGGGGCGCTCCGGGCCCTGCCCAGCCCCGGGGGCGCTCCCCCGCCGGGGCCGCCTCCCGCGGGGAACCCCCGGCTCCCCCCACCCCCCCCCCCCCTTGGTTCTCTCCGCCCCGCGGCGGAACTCGGCGGGGAGGAAGCCGGGCCCGGACCCGTGAGGGGTGGCGGGGACCGGGAGGCGGCGCCCGGTGCCCGTGGGGGGCCTCCCGGTGTGGGGCGTGCTGGGGACGGGGCGGTGGAGCTGAGCCCCGGGGACCGCGGGGGCCCCGCTCCTGAAGGGCCGGGGCAGTCCCGAGGCGAGGCGGGGGCAGGAGCTGGGTTCAGGGCAAAGCGCCGGGGCTCGGCCCGGCCCGGCCCGGGGCTGTGCGAGCTGCGGAGGAGGAAGGGGCGAGGGAAGGAGCGAGGGAACCGCTCGCAGCGGGCTCGGGGCACGGCTCGGGGCACCTCCCGGCCCCACCTGGGGCTGCGGGGAGCGGTGCTGAGCTGTCGGGAAGGCCGGGCGGGCAGCACGGGTGCTTAGGAAAGGTGCCGCAAAGCCAGAAGCGGGAGCGCTTTGCCGTGGAGGGACGTTTGCAGCAGGGAGCTCGCGGCGTCTCCCCGTGCAGGAGCCCAGGAGCTGTTGAAGCCGTCCCGCAGCTCCTCTCTGCTGCGCCTCTCATCGCTCTGAGGACTTCAGCTCTGGGAGCGAGTCCTCGTTTGCTCTGTGCCAGCCCTGGTGTCGCGGCTGTCCCAGAGCCCCATGAGGCTGAGCTGGAGCAGGGCACTGTCACGGCAGTCCCCTGATTTCAGGTGTTTTAGGGGTTCGAGGAGCCACAGGGCGCTGTCAGCGAGCTCAGGCTGCCCCTCTGCAGTTGCTTGGGCTGCTGCTGCCGCTTCTTCCACTGGAGCATTGCCGGCAGCCCTCTGTTTTTATTAAGAAAGCTGCTGGGCAGGTGTGTCAGGGCTCCGTGGTGTGCATCCTCCAGGAGCGAAGCTGCTTTTTGTTGGGGAAAAAGCCCCCAAGCGGCGCTGCCGTGCAGCGGGGCAGCTTTACAGGCGGTCTGTCGTCGGGGTGTCTGGAGCCTGGTATTTCACTGTTTCTGTAGCAGACCGGGGCACGCGCGCTGTGCATGGGCTGAATCTGGTTCAGCCGAGTGTGAAACACGGGCGGCGATCCGGCTGTGCCGGCGCTGAGGCTCTTGGAAGGGGATTTTGGGCTTGAAAGAGGAAGCAGCCTCCCCCAGCGAGAATTTCTCGCCCCCGCTAAAGCACAGCTCATAGCGTGCTGCCGATCTGCCCGTGGTGAGCCGAGTCACTGGCACCCCCTTCGTGCCTCAGTTTCCCCAGCCCCTGGGCCTGCTGGAGCTGCTGCGCCTGCAGGGAGCCGGAGGGGGGCCCTGAGCTGTGTTTTGCTTCCCTTAATGCAGTGGAGGGGACTGGGAGCCTTCGGCCCACGGCACGGCTCCAATACGCTCCGTGCCTCCATCCTAACTCGTGGCCCTCCCCGAGGCAGAGCAAGATGTAGAAGGCCGTCAGTGCTGAGCAAAACAAAAAGTAACACAGCGTAATAGGGACCAGATGTCTTAGCGAGGCTTCATCCTGCACTTCTGGGTGTTTGCCAGGGCTAATATTTCTTATTCCAGTCAGGCAGGAGGGAGACTTTTCTTTCCTGTAAAGCCACAGCTCTGTTCCAGGAGATCTCCCTTCGCTTTTGTCGCTCCTTGAAGGAGCTGCGCGCTCGAATCGCTCCAGCGACGTGCCGCTGCCTCCTCCAGTTTCTGTGCTAATGGGGGCTTCCCTTTATTTCGTGTTTAATCACTTCGGTGCAGTTCCGCCAGGGAGAAACTTGGCCCGTTATGGCTGTGGGTGGAGGATGAGCCACATGAATTCAGCTCAGCCTGTTTTCCAGCCTGCGTTGCTTCATTGTGTGTAGCCGATGGGATTTGTGGCCCCGTTGAGAGCGGCGCTTTGGAAGCGGGGAGCCACGCCGAGCTGCGGAGGGAGGTAAATAGCACGTTTGGCAAAGGGTGGTGCGACTCGCAGAGAAATGCAGGAGGCAGGGAGGGGAGTCCCTCGCCGGGGATTTGGGAGCGGGGCTGTGTCCTGGGCAGGCTCCAAACGGCCCCGCTGCCAGGATGTCGCTGGAGGAGCCGGGTGTGGAAGTGCCGGGGGGGCTGAAGAGCAAAACAAAACCGCGGCGCGCTGGCTCCGCAGCCGTGCCCGTGGTGCCGAGGTAACCCTGCAGGCCCGTGGGTGGATTTATCTTGCGTAGGTCCTTAATCCAAGTTTAACCCACTCAGCAGTTACAAATCTCTGCCGGGCTGTCCCTTCGTCAGCGCAAAGCACTGCGGGGCGGCGGCGGAGCGAGCGTCACGTTCCCGATCAACCTGGAAGAAGAATTTGGGACTTTGGGCTGGCCGTGGGAAAGTCAGCGCTGGCAGCGACTGCGTTTTGAAGCACAGGTGCCTCGAAAGCATTGAGAGAAATTGTGTGAGCCTGGTTTAGATGCCAACTCGGACCCAGCCTGTTCCGTGGGGGTTTGACATCCAGAACTGCAGCCAGCCGGTGCGGCAGAGACCCGGGGCTTCTGCCTGTCTGAGGCCGCCAGGATACAGAAATAAGGAGAATGTAAATATTCTTTCTCCTGGGGGTTGGGACGAGGCCTCCTGTGCCCCTCGGGCCCCTCCGTGGTCGGTAGGAGGGAGGGCAGGGTTGCCTCTTGCCCGGTGTTTTGCTGAACCTTCACAGGATCACCCACAGAGCGGGTTTACATCCTGCCCAGGGGGTCAAACGAGAAGGAAGAAGAAAGGGGCAAAGCTGGCAAGGGGACCCCTGCCCGGGTCGTGCTGAAGGCTCTCCTCTTCGCTGGTGCAGTGCTCATTTAAAAATTGCATCGTGTGGGCTCTCGTGGGGCAGTGCTGGACTCACCGAGAAGGAAAAACAACTTCCTTGTGCTCGCAGGGTCTTTAGGATCTAATGACCACAAATATTTGAAGCATGTGGGATTTGGACCAAAGGGAATGGCAAGCACAGAGGAAAATGTTGTGCAGTGCTGCTGTGCGGGCCGAGTGAAAGATGTTATTCATATTAATTCAAAGTGCTGAACTTTGGTCAGGCTCTTTCACTGCCTCGTTAGGGCGTAAGTGCTTCTAAAACAAGAGGAGGAAGCTGGTCCCTGGAAGCCAGCGCGTGCACCTGGGTGTGCTGCTGGTGTTTCCACTCGCCACGGCGCCGGCACTGACCCAGATAGCGGCCTTGGCCGCTCGTCCCGGCGCGCTGCTGCCCTAATTAATTAGCCTGCCAGGGAGGTGGCGCGGCATAAAGCGGCGTCCCCACTGCCGGTGGTCCCAGAAGGAATTGTGCTGGGAGTAACGAGGCGCCGCAGCCCCGGGAGCCAGCATTTGCTGTGGAGCGCTCGTCCTCGAGGGGTTGTGCTGCAGGCCGGGGCTGGAGCTGTAATCGCCTGCACAAATAAGCAGATAAAACAAGGGCATTAAACGAGCGGGGAAGAGCCTTGCTGCAAGGACCTGCTGGCACGGTTTCTGTGGCAAAATCGGGGCTGGGGGCTGCGGGGCGAGCAGAGGCAGAAAATTGCTCGGTGAACTTCTCTTCCAAAGACCGTCGTTTTTTCCACCGTGCTGGACATGAAAAGCAGGAGGGAATTGGCAATCTGCTTGCAGCGCTTAACATTTGTAAAAGGCATTGTGCCCTGCTGCTGATCACGAGCTGTCTTGTTGGATCGTGTGAGCAATAAAGGGAAGCAGTCAGAGCCGCAGTAATGATGTTGGAGTGAATGGGGTGCCTTATTTTATTTTTAGAGGGCGATTTCACTTGGCACTGGCCTTCTTTATTCTTGCTGGCTATCCATAGAGGTGCGCGGCTGCTCTTCTTATCGAGATGGGAAACCAGGAAGCGTGTTCAGTCCTGCATTTATCTTACTTTTAAAGCGCAATTAAGCGCTGATCATTGGCAAGGATGCGTAATCTGGGCATTAGTGCCTGGACTTTGAAAACAGGGCCACGACGAAACCTTGGATCTTGCTCTGGAGCTGCGCGCGCTGGCCAGGACGGTCGGGGAATTTCACCCTCAGAGCACCCCGTCGGTGCTGTCGGCATCTGTCCCAGAGGGGAGGTGAAGGTGAAAGCTTCATGCAGGGTAAAGCCTTCACACGGGATAAACCCGGCCGGGGACCCTCTAATCCCCCAGGTGGCCACACAGCATCGCGGGGTTCCTTTCGTGGCGTACAGAAAGCAACCTGGTGATGTGGTTATGGTTTTTTTTCCCCCTCTCTTTTTGGCTTGCTCAGTTTTTTTATTGTCATGGTAACAGGGGAATTTGTTGTAGTGGCTGATGGATGTTTGCAGCTCTTTCAGGCCTGGGTGGCAGGGGTACCAGTAAGACCATTAGAACCCCAGCAGCCACCTCGGCATTCCCATTTTGGGTTGGCCACCTGGGTCCATCCTGCCTAGACAAAGCCTTTTTGGAAAGGTTTGTCCCAGATGTGCGTCCCAGACTGGATTGCTGCTTTCCCACCTTCAGCCTAGAAGCTCTATCCCACACAGCCTGCGTCCCTGACTCCTTTTTGTCTTTTTTTTCAGCTCTGAAGCGTGCAGACCCACCGCTGCTATGGGAGACTCCGTCGGAGACCCGGCGCCCGGCTCCGCGCCGCAGGGGAACGGCGGGACGTCCCTCAGCGTCATCACCGAGGGCGTCGGGGAGCTGGCGGTCATCGACCCCGAGGTGGCAAAGAAGGCCTGCGAGGAGGTCCTGGAGAAAGTGAAGCTGATGCACAGCGTTTCCTCGGACAGCTTGACAAAAGCAGCTGACGGCAGCGAGGCGGAGCGCGCCCCGCGGACTGCTGTGGATTTGCCCAACGGAGACGTCGTGGAGGGCTGTGAAATCAGGTGCTTGGACGATCTGCCCAGCACAGCCTCTAAGATCCAGGAGGAGGATGAGACCACGGCCAACACGGTGAAAACCGCCCGCAAGCGGCAGAAGAATAACTCTGCCAAGCAGTCGTGGCTCCTCCGGCTCTTTGAGTCCAAACTCTTTGATATCTCCATGGCCATTTCATACTTGTACAATTCAAAGGAACCTGGTGTGCAGGCTTACATTGGGAATAGGTTGTTCTGCTTTAGGAACGAGGAGGTGGACTTCTACCTGCCACAGCTGCTCAATATGTACATTCACATGGACGAGGATGTGGGGGACGCGATCAAGCCCTACATCGTGCACCGCTGCCGGCAGAGCATCAACTTCTCCCTGCAGTGCGCCCTGCTGCTGGGCGCCTACTCCTCGGACATGCACATCTCCACCCAGCGACACTCCCGTGGGACCAAGCTGCGGAAACTCATCCTCTCGGACGAGTTGAAGCCAGCTCACAAGAAGAGGGAGCTGCCGTCCCTGAGCCCAGCGCCCGACATGGGGCTGTCTCCTTCCAAAAGGACTCACCAGAGGTCCAAGTCGGATGCCACGGTTACCATCAGCCTGAGCAGCAATCTGAAGCGCACAGCCAGCAATCCCAAAGTCGAGAGCGAGGAAGAGGTAATGGTGGGGCTCTCCGAAACGCGGCCTGGGAGGGGGTGCCCACAGGGACGCGCTCGGGGGTTGGTTCTCATCTCGTGGCTCCTCTGCTGCAGGATTGCTGTCCGGGTAGCTGCAAAGGAGGCTTTGATGCCGCTGTCTTTTAGTGAGCTGGCCGTAAAATTCACACGGGGGAGAGCCGTCGGCCCGGCTCTGGTGTGCAGTGTGTTGGCACAGGCTGGCGTCGGGGCTGGGGGCTCAGAGGCTCCCCGCAGCCCCCCCATCCCGAGCCGTTCCCCTCCCCGGCCCCACAGCTTGTCCCTGCCGCGCCGAGCGCTCCCCGCGGGGATCACCAGGGAGGGAGGTGCAGGAAGAGTTTCTCTGAAATTTCATTTCCATAGAAAGCCGGGTTCGAGGAGACGTTGCTTTCATCTGGAGGCTCGGAGGCACTTTGTGAGCGTGGGAGTGCCGCTCCTCTGGTTTCGCTCGAGGAAGCTGAGGCTCTGAAGGGGGAATTCTCGTGGTGCGAGGGGAAGGGGGGATGTGAGATGCAGATAAAGCAAAGAGCTGGGTTAGCAGGGCTGAGCTGCTTCCTACGCCGCTGAATTCCCACCCCACTTGGGCAACTGAAGCTGGTGTCTGTTTTGCAATCTAAAGCCATCCGATCCCTGCTGGAAATCTGATTTCCTCCCTGTCCCAACCTGTTTGGATCAGGCCTGTTTGCAGGAAGGGTGCTGGGCAGCAGAGGGCTGGGAGCTGCTGCTGCTGCCCAGGGCTCGGGGCGCGCGGGGATGCTCCTGGGGGGCTGCAGCTGCTGCTCCCACCCCGGGCCCCCAGGGATAAACAGGCCACGGCGCTCTCCTACGGCCGTTGCTCCACCGTGAGCTCAGCTTTTGATTTCTGCTGCTTTATCACCGCTCCGAGGCAGTGGGAGGCCGGAGGGGCTGTGTGGGGTAGGGGGGACCCTGCCGGTTTGCAGGGCTGGGGGCGGGTGCAGTTCAGAGCCGAAGCAAGCCGGGATTTAACTCGGGTGTGTGCGTGTGTCACCAAACCTGAACCGCTCCCGTGGGCCTCGCAGCGCTCGCTGTTCGGTGTCATGAAGTTATCCACGCAGCTTTGCTTCAGCTTTGGTGCTGAGCTGCGGTACTGGCGCGTGCGGGAGCCTCCGTACCAAGGCGCTGAGCACAAACCCTTGCTTGAGCAGAGCTTCTCCCAAAGAGAATGCGAGTTATTCGCTTTGTGCATCTGCTGACAGGGAGTTTTGGAGCAGGAGGGCGAGCGGCACCCTCGGATGTGGGGCTGGAGGGAATCAAGCTGGAAGAACAGTCAGGATTTTTTGCAGGGCTCAGCACGAGCATTGACCCAACGGGGTGGGAGGTGCCAGGCTGAGACCTGGGCATGGGGTGGGAGAGGAGGACGGGGAAGCTGAGCCGGTGCTCGGAGCACAGCAGCGCCTCTCCCCTGGCCCTGCCCGGCCGGGACGGTTCAGCCGGCTCGGAGCAGGCTCCTGGTGCCTTTCCCGGCCACCCAGACCCCGCTCCAGGCGTTTGCTTCCCTGGGTCATCCCCGCCTCGTGCTGAGGCCTTGCCAGCTGACTTCCCCGCTGCTCCGTCTAGACACAGGGATCTCGTGACGGTTTTCATAACGGGGGAAGATTTCTTGGCTTTTCTGCCTCGCCCAAATTCCCTCTGCTCCACGCTGTCCTGTAAATCGGTGAAGGGGCCGCGTGCTTTCCTGCCTGCACGAAATTTTGGGAAGGCACGTTGGGAAATGGCTGTGAAGGAGGTTGCAGAGCTGCAAAGCGTCGGTCAGCCAGGCTGGAAATGCTTTGGCTGGCTGCAAGCTAAAACCACCCTGCCCTGCTCCACGCACCGCTGCTGCTCCTGGGCCAAAACCCGGGCGGCCGCAGGGCACGTGGCGTTAGGGGACGGGGACGGGGACCTGCACGGTTGGAAACAACTGGCTGCTGGAAGGCAGGACGTGCGGAGGTCTCATGCTCACGCTGGCTGCAGCTGCTCGAATAATGGAAACCGAAGCTTTACATAAATTATAGATGAAAGGAGCGCCGAGAATAGTTTCTCTTGGCAATGTTTGAAACGTATTTTGATCCAGAGGCCACGCAAGCTGTTTAAACGTTGCGCAGCGATGGGGATACTCGAGGCGCCGTGAGAGCTTTCCTGGCCTCGGAATGTCCCAACCCGGCTTCCTGGGGCTGGTGTTTAAGTGCTCGGTGTTACTGCCCGTGCTGGAGACCCGCAGTGCCCTGCGTGCCGGGCTGCTCTGAGCTACAAGTGGTTTTCCCTCGGTCCAAGAGTCCATCGGATGCATGGATGGGGTCGCACTAGGACCAGCCCTGAGCTCCTTCCCCAGCCCCTCTTAAACTCGAGGTTTTGCAGCAGTAAAAGCTCGTCTCCGCTCGTCTGGGGGTTCTCCTGCCTCTGGGTGCTGCCGTGTCCCTGCCGTCAGTGCCCGAGACATTGAGACAGGGGTCGAGATCCCACTGGGAGGAGGAAAAATCAACTCCTGGCACCGAGAGTGGCTGGGGGGTGCCTCAAGGGGACCCCAGAGTGCACAGCCTGAGCCTGGCTGGTTTTGTTCCGTTGGTGGTGGCTTTTTGTTGTTGTTGCTGTTTGCTTTGTTTTGGTTCTGTTTTGTTTTTTTTAATGAAACCTCTTCCAGACACCTTTGCAGCAAGCCCTGCAAGGTGCAGAGTTCTCCCAGTGCTGGCGTGGGGGGATTTGTTGTGCAGACAGATCAGGCTTCCTCTGCAGCATGCAAATACGTTTGCAGCAGTTCCTCTGCAGGTAGGTGCTCAGCAGCAGCGGCGGCGGCGCTCACCCCCACGCCAGCCCCGTTCTCACCCAGCAGCAGGCACACGAGGGCCGGGGCTCGCTCCGCCAGCGAGGTCTCCGCGAGCCTGGGCTCGCATCACCAGGCAGGGACCGCCGAGCGCCGCGCTCCGCATCCACCCCCTCTCAGCGTTTCTCCTGGTGCTGCTTTTGGAAAACGCCTTTCAGGGCTGAAACCCCGCGGCTCCCCTCCGAGCTGGAGCCAGAGCTGGGTGCGAGGCACTTCCCTCTGCATCCTGCCCCGAGTTCTCCTGCCTGGCCGTCTCAGCACCGCCAGCCCCGTGCAGGCACCAAGCCTCGGCCCCTCATCTCCCCCAGCACGCCGTAGCTCGGCCCCTGGCTGCGGCCGGAGGAGTTGGTGCCGGGGTGCTGGGTCCTGGGGGGGTCCTGGGGTTGTGGATGCGCCTGGGTTCTGAGGTCCTGCGCCTGGATGCGACGCCTGGACGGACCCGAGGATGCTGCGGTGCCTGGAGGCAGGGCAGGCCGTGCGAACAGAAACGCTCGGCTCAGCCGGTTCCACTAGTCAAGCGAAAAAAACCTGTAATTAGAAAGCTGCTAATTGAATAATCGGGTAAGAATCTGGGTTGGCGGAGGGAGGGAGCGCTGTGACGGCAGCTCCTGCAGTGCCGCGCCGCGAGCAGAGCTTCCCACGCTACGAGCACTGCCCGCGGGCTGGGGGGCTGGGGGGAGCACTGCTTTGCTGCTTTGCTGCTTTCCTTTTTTTTTTTTTTTTTTTTTAGCAGCCACATCAGCAGCAGGATCTTGAGCAGTCAGGGCTCGTATGCAGAGCTGTTTACATCTGCATTTCTGCACAGCTTCACGTATCAGCCTGCGTGCTTGCAAGCAACTTCTGAATTGGAAAGCTGCTTTTTTTTTTTTTTTTAGTTTTTCGAGGTTGAAAGCTTTCCTCTCGTTCCTCCCATCGCAATCTACCCAGGTCTTTGGCCTCTTAACTCCTGGCTCTGGCTCCGGCAGGCAGGGTGTGGAGGAGTTTGGCCTTTCACCTCAGGTGAAAGTGCCTGTTCTGGTCGGGCTCGTTTCTGCCCCGCTGCCCTGCAGCCACACCAGCGGGCTGCAGGATGGCTGCTGGGGACGTCCCGGCCCCACAGCCTGGTCAGGGCTCGGAGGCTCGGCCTCTCTCCTGTCCCTTGGGGTTTGGGGGGCTTCCTGCCGCCTCCCCCTGGCCGTGGGGCAGCCCTGGGCATCCTGGTTGGGGTCTCACAGCTGACAGCCCTGCCTTTCCCCGAAACGCAAGGTGTGGCTCTCAAGAGCTGCCTTGCTTTGTTTCTTTTTGTTTGTTTTTAAGACACAAAACACCGCCATCCGCAGGAACCAAAAGGTTTGGTGTTGGGTTTTGGGAGCCCTGTAAGCCCTTCTGGGGGGGATTTGGGGAAGTGAAAGCATCCCTGCAGGGCACGGAGTGCTGAGCTCACTTCGGAGGCTTTACAAGGAGTGCTGAAGTTATTTTTGTTGCTCTGCTGCTGTGTGTGTACGGGGTAGAAACTTGTGCTCAGAGTCCTGAAGTCTTGGAAGCACCAAGAACCTCGGCCTTCGTGCCTCAAAGCCCCAGTGCAAAGCCGCCAGGAGATGAGCAGGGATCACAAACGGGTGTGAGAGCTCCTGAGGGCCACGACCGACCAGAAATAATGCTCCGAATTTGGGTGGGCCAGCCCAAAATATGAAATGTTCAAGGAAAGCCTCCGGTGGCTGAGCCCCTGGGGCTGCCATGGGCTTTCCTGCAGCCTTGTTCTGCAGGGGAAGGGAGCTTAGGCCAGCCTCTGCCCCAGGTTTATGTGCGTTGGAGTCAGGGGACGCGAGGCTGCCGTGCCCGTGAGATGCTGCTGGAAGCACGAGCAGGTGAGGAGGAGCCGGCTCCAAGCACATCCGGAGCTGCTGAGGTTGTGCCGGGGGCTTGGGCACTGAGCTGCGCAGCTCCCGCATGGGGGCTTGCGGCCTCCATGGTTTTCACTCGGTTTGCAAGCAAACCCTTTATTTATTTTTTATTTTTTCCCTCGGTCAGCTTTGCCCAGTCTCAGCACTCTTAGGGGCTGTTTTATGTGGTCATGAGGAAGCTATTAATTGAAATGCTATTATTGCTTACGGTAAGATTAAGCCTGATGGAATTAGCATATCCCGGTAATTAACATGCTAAAAACAGACCTGTTTGTTTCTTTTGGGGAAGGGAACTTTACAAACCAATTGCACGCCGGTCTCAAGGGGGTGAAGCACCGTTACTATTTCTTTTTGTAAGAAAATAAAGGATTTACGGGTTTGCAGCAGGGCGCTGCAGAGCTCACAGGTTTGGCCTTTGGGCTCCACTGAGCAATGCTTCTGAGCCAGCTCAGAAGAGCTGCAAGCCCGCTCCAGGTAGCAAAAGAAAGGAGGAAAATGGGGAAAAGCTGTGGTTTCGGGACATGTAGCAAAAGTGCATATCAACAGCCCTGCTGCCTGTGGGGTCCCAGGGCCACGGGGCGATGCTGGAGGTCGCGCTGCTCCGGGAGCATCCATCGCCTGCCGGGCTCGTGGCTGAGGCTTGGAGGAGCCTCTCCCTAGCCAGGAGTCGAGGTGGCGATGCTGCCACGGGGAGGAACAAAGTGAAAGGGGATGGTTATGAACCTGGAGCTAAACTCTTGCTTTTTCTCCCCCCCTCTCCCTCCTTCCTCTCTCTCCTTTGAAACAAAACCAAACCACCACCGCCACCCAAAACCTGCCACCAAAATCCCTTCCATCCATTTCCCAGGAGCTCTCCTCGAGTACGGAAAGCCTTGATAAATCATTCTGTTCCGTAAGTGGCCCGTTTTGTTCCTGCGCCTGGGCTGCCTGGCTTCCGTGTTACAGCAGCATTTCCTCTGTCTCATGAAAATACTAAACCCCGGCGCCTGGCCGTGCACCACGAGCAGCGCTGACACCAAGCCGTCCCGTAACGTACGATTTTTTTTTTGCACTGCTTGAGCCTGGTTTGGGGAAAAGCAAGCCTTCTCTCTGCCAGCGCCCGTGCATGCACTCCGGCTCTGCCCCGTGCGCGGGCAGCAGCGCTCGCCGGGGCGCCGCTCGCATGGGACCTTTCCCTGCTCGGCAGGGAAACACCGGCTGAAACGGAGCTTTGGGCAAATTTCCTTGGACCGGTTTGGTTAAAACAAACCAGAAAGCCTCCAGGGGCTTGGGAGTTTGACCCGGTTGCTCATCGCTTAAAAAAGGCCGCGAGGGAGAGAGAAAAACCCTCGTGCTGGAAACGAGCCGTGGAGGCAGGGGAGCAGCCGGGCTGATGCTGCCCAGTTCTGCCCGAGCATTCGCTGACCTTTGCATCACGTCGTTAGCAGATGAAAGAGGAAATGCTGTTTCCTTGAATTTTACTTAAAAGTTCTCTGCCAGATGGGATTTAATTTGCTTCTTCCACCAATCATTTTTCCCTTCTTTCTCGTTGCACTCCGGTCTTTCAATCAAACCCCCGTGTTTCCCTAGCAGACCGCTCTTTTGAATCGAATCTCTTTTGGTTTTGAATCACCGGCACCTTTCTCATTTGTGTCGCTCTCCTCCCAGTGCGTGTGTTCTCCGTTTGGGATTTCTAGTGGGCTTCCACACCTCGAGCATGTAGTCCATGATCAAAAGCACAGCCCCAGGCAGCAAGGCGCAGTGCCTCGTGTCTCCACATCCCCCCGAAAGGCTTCGCGTGGTGAGCTCCAGCTGCGGGATGTGTGCTGGGCTCCCCTTCCTCCCAAGTCCTCCAGTGCCTCCAGAAAGAAGCACGAGCACTGCAAGGGGCACGCTGCGAGCAAATGCAAGCAGAAAATCCGCAGCCGGGGATGGACCCGAGGCTCTGTCCCAAAGCCCCTCTGCCGTAGGCTCCTCCATTACGTTTTTCCATCTCTTCCAACTCCACTGTTGGGGCTGCGAAGGACAGGGAGAGGCCCCTCTCCCTTGTCTGGGAGCTCTTCCCTTCCAGGCTTTGTGAACCCTGGTCATTTATCAGGTGCTTGAGCACGGCTGACCATGGCTGCAGCACTCAGGATTCTTTGCAAGCGTTTATAGCGAACGCATAAACCTGCTGCAGGCACCTGAGCGTCAGGTGAAGGCAGGGAGACGGCCTTCAAAAAAAAACAAAAAAAAAAACAAAACTCAGCGAAATGTTCTGCTGAAGTAAAAGTAAATGGAAGAAAATCAATATTTACATTGGCTCGGAGTGACAGCCCGGTCCTTTGGGTAGTCGGATCAGGGAAAACCATCTCCCTTCTCCCTGTTCGCTCGGCTGCAAGAGCCTGGTGTTGTTACCACCCCCGTGCAGCCCCAGCCTGGCGTTCTTCAGCTCCGTGGGGAAGCCAAGGTGCGTGCCTGCTGCAGGTCAGGGCTGCCCCGGGTTCAGCTGTTGCCATTTCCCACCACCGCCAGCTCTCCGCAGCAGGATGCGAAACAGCACGGAGCTCTCTGTGCTCAGCCCCTGGAGCACAAAAGGCTGGAGCAGAGTTTGGTGGGGACGCGTTTGGGGCTGGGTGGGCTCGGGAGGCCGTTTGCTGGCCACGTCTTCCTGGCTGAAGGAGCCGAGGTGTGGACACGACCGTGGAGGTGCCGAACGTGGGCTGGATGCGGACGAGGTGCGCCCGGGGCCAGGACTGCTCGTCCCAGCACGACGGGGAGCAGATGGCAGAACCGCGCATTTCACGAGTGCCTGGGGATCCCGGAGCAGCGCGGATTCGCTCTGCGTGCTGTGGAAGCAGATTGATCGCTGCTGCTGATACGGAGATCGATGCTGCCCTGGACCAGGACGGACTTCGCTCTTGGGCTGCTGCTCCATGCGGGCACCTTGAATTGCTGCCTGTCCCACTGGGCACCATCCCAACCTCCTGCCACAGCGACTCTCAGTGAGTTGCTCTGCTGGGATGAGCAATGCGTGGAAACCTGGCTGCGTTCAGGGGCCGCCGGTCACGTACAGGTCACGCTCGGAAACCTCCGTGCCCGGAGCGCGGCAATTCCTCCCGGGAGCAGCCTGTGGCGGGCGAGGAAGGAGCGGTGCTGGAAGGAGCTGAGCACCTCCAGAACACTGCTCTGCTCTGTGCAGAAACCGCGTGAAACACATCCGAGAAAAACGGCCCCAGAAGCCGAGGGTGCGTTGGGCCACCAGGCGAGGGCACCTCTGCTGCACGTGTGAGCAAGGCAGGAGGGAGAGCAGAGCACTTTGGAGGAAGGGGCAGCGCTCAGCCCTGAGTCTGGAAGGATTTTTGACGTGGACTACAGCCAAACCAATTGGCACCTGCCCCTTCCCAAAAGGGAACGACTGGAGTGATCCTCCTCCCCCCTCTTCTACCATTTCTTTGTTTTGCTGCGTAACCTTTCACGGCTCTCCGACGTTTTTCTTTGCTTCCTTTTCTCACGCTCCATGGCTTTTTGCATGTGCATTTCCAGCATGATTTGTGCAGTGAACACTTTGCAAGTTTAATTCTGCATCCTTAATGGCGAAATCAGCCACAATCATTCATTGTTCTGATTTGGAAGCTCAGCTGTGAACAGCGGAGCAGAGAGCCGGCCTTCACCTTCAGGGCACGGGGTGGCTCGAGGACCAGAGGGGCTGCTCAAGCTGCAGTTTGGGCTTTGCAAAATGGTTGGATTGAGAACCGATGGAGGCCTTGGGGTGAGGACAGACAGAAGCCAGCGCAGTCGGGCCATGGCTGCGGTGCGCTCCCTCTGCCGGCTGCGGGCTCGCCAGAGCCGCGGGGCAGCGCTGGGGACCCTGAGCAGCTCCTGGGGCCGGGGGGGATCTCCGGGCCCCTGGCGGGAGGGGAAGCGCTTGGATCCTGCCCTGCCCCGCAGCCGGATGCTGAGCCCGTCCCTCCGGCCACGGGAGCATCATCTGAGAGCAGGCAGGGTGGGACAGGAAGAGCCTTCGTTGCTCTCCAGAGTTCATCCCGGAGCTTTTAGATTGCAGAGCCTGATAAAGAAAAAAAATAATCCAGTGTCCTACTGACCTTTATAACACTCTCCCCCCTGCCCTCCTCCCCTACAACTTTTCAGCCTGTCAGACTTGCTCCCGAGAGAGAATTCATCAAGTCCCTGATAGCCATCGGGAAGCGCCTGGCCACCTTGCCGACCAAAGAGCAGAAGACCCAGCGGCTCATCTCGGAGCTGTCGCTGCTGAACCACAAGCTGCCGGCGCGTGCCTGGCTCCCGACGGCCGGCTTCGACCATCACGTAGTGCGGGTGCCCCACACGCAGGCAGTCGTGCTCAACTCCAAGGACAAGGTGAGCACGGTCCACGCGGGAGAAGAGTTCCTGGCGGGTTGTCCCCAGCACACCCCTTTTGTTTTGCGTGCACCCCGCACGGCCAGAGAACGCCGTGCTGCATCCTTCAGCCTCCGGGCCCCTTCAGAGCCCACGCCCCAGTAACGGTGGGTTTTGCTTTCCCCAGGCTCCTTACTTAATCTACGTGGAAGTACTTGAATGTGACAATTTCGACACAGCGAATGTGCCTGCCCGGATCCCCGAGAACCGCATCCGGAGCACGCGCTCAGCTGAGAACCTCCCCGAGTGCGGCATCACGCACGAGCAGCGGACCAGCAGCTTCACCACCGTCCCCAACTATGACAACGACGACGAGGCTTGGTCCGTGGACGATATCGTGGAGCTGCAAGTAGAGGTGAGGCCGGGCGTGCCAGGCAGGGTTTGTCTCACAGCACAGTGCCCTTTCCATCCTGCTGCTGGGATCCAGCACCGCAGCCCTTGAAGGCGGCGATCAAGGCCAGCTCCTGCTGGGAAGGGGCAGCCCCTTGTGGTGGCACCTATAGAGATGCTGCTGCTTCATTGCACCTCTCGCGTTTTTCCCCTCCCAGCTGCCGGAGATTCATACCAACAGCTGTGACAACATTTCCCAGTTCTCCGTGGACAGCATCACCAGCCAGGAGAGCAGGGAGCCCGTGTTCATAGCTGCTGGAGATATCAGGTGAGGCTGGCGTGCTGAGAGCACCCATTTGTTTCGCTGGGGGGGGGTTAGGAGGCTGGTCTTAGTTCAGGTGGGGAAAAAGCGGGGGTGCATAGTCTGCCTGGTAGACTCCCAGAGAAAATTCATCTGCACAGCTTGAGGAGGGTCTGTGCTAGGCAGTGGTGGCAGGGTGTGAGAGCCCTAAGTAGAGGCTTTGGGCTGGAATAATCCTCCCATGCTTGCTTGAAGAGCTGCTGGGAGACTCCTGCGGTACCTCCCTGAGACCCCGGCTGTAGCTCTTCCCAAACGGATCGCACTCTTTGCTCCCCTCATTCAGCCCCTGCGGCTGTGTTCGTGTCCCGGCTCCTTTCCCACTGGCGAGGGGGAGGACGTGGCCCTGGTTTGCATTTTGCTCCAAGCCAGGTTGAACTCGTGAGCTTTGGGAGGTGCTTTGAATCGGGCTCTGGGTGCCCATGGGGATGGTACTTCCCATCGAACCGTGCACCCCGAGCACGGGGGTTTCGCTGCTTACCGGCTCTGTCCTGCAGGCGACGACTCTCGGAGCAGCTGGCGCACACCCCCACGGCCTTCAAGAGGGACCCCGAGGACCCGTCCGCGGTCGCCCTGAAGGAGCCCTGGCAGGAGAAAGTCAGGTAGGGCCAGGGGGCTGCGTGCACCGGGCTGCTCGCGGCGTTGCAAGGATTTTGTGTGCCCTGCAAACAGCAGAATGTGGCTCTGAGATTTGCCCTGTAAATAACTCAGTGTGAGGCCCTTGGCTCAGGACACGGTGAATGGGGAGGCGGAGAGCAGGGAGCAGTGGCTGTGCTGCAGGAGGGAGAAAATCCATGGCAGATTTGCTGTTCTTGCACTAGGCTTCGAGGGGCTTGACCAGGCATTTATAGGCTTCTTCTATGGCATAGCGATTTGTCCCATCCCAAAATAAACTCATTTCTGTTCCTGGCCTCAGAGTTGTGCATCCAACCCCCAAATTTCTCCTTGAGCAAGAGGGAGAGCATTGTGCTCTACGGATCTGGGAGGGTTTATCGGTGTTGTTCTGACGGAGGGCTGTGGGATTCAAGGAGAGCACATTCCCTTCTGCACTCCTCCGAGATGTCTTGTGGTGCAGGCAAAGTTTGCCCCATAGTTTGGTCAAGGCTCAGGGTGCAGCTGTTGCAGTTCTGGGCCACAGAGCTCATTCTGCTGTGGTCCAAAGCGAGCTGCTGCTTTTCCAGAGGTTGTCCTTGCCCCCAGATCCCCGATGGGAAGCCTGTGGGCTGCCTCTCTCCCTTTCCTCACATTCTCACCCTTGGTCCTTCTCCACAGGAGGATCAGGGAAGGGTCCCCGTACGGCCACCTCCCCTCCTGGCGCCTCCTTTCCGTCATCGTCAAGTGCGGGGACGACCTGCGGCAGGAGCTGCTCGCCTTCCAGGTCCTCAAGCAGCTGCAGGTGAGATGGGACAGGGGCTGCCGGGGGCCGTGGCCGCATGGGGCCTCCCTCACGCCCTGGGCACTGAGCTTTCCTTGCTCTCTCTGCAGTCCATCTGGGAGCAGGAGCGTGTTCCCCTCTGGATCAAGCCATACAAAATCCTCGTCATCTCCGCCGACAGCGGCATGATTGAGCCAGTTGTGAATGCTGTTTCCATCCACCAAATCAAGAAGCAATCCTTGCTGTCGCTGCTGGATTATTTCCTGCAGGAACACGGCAATTACAACACCGAATCCTTCCTGACGGCCCAGAGGAATTTTGTGCAGAGCTGTGCTGGTTACTGCCTGGTGTGCTACCTGCTGCAGGTCAAGGACAGGTGAGTCTCCACACCCCAGCACAGGACTGGTCGCAGTGTTGCTGACAGAGCTGTGTGTTCTGCCGGGATTCTTCCTGTCGTCCCTGCGTGCGGCAGGAAAATCCTGAGAGGAGGCAGGCGGGGGCCATGCGCACACTTGGGGTTTAATGGAGGCTTTCCCCTCTCCTGCTCAGGCACAACGGCAACATCTTGCTGGATGCAGATGGACACATCATCCACATCGATTTTGGGTTCATCCTTTCCAGTTCCCCCAGGAATCTTGGCTTTGAGACGTCTGCCTTCAAACTCACCACTGAATTTGTGGATGTGAGTGAGCGGGAACGTGGTGGCAAAGGGTGCTCGCAGTGCTGGGGAGGTGCAGTCAAACCTTGGCAGCGGGGACAAAGGGCTGGGTTGATACCAGTGGGTTCTGGGCCAGTTCTTCAGCCTCAGCTGAGTTGTTCTTGGGACCCAGCTCCAAGATTTAATCATCCCAAGATAACAGCTCAAGGTGCTCTCTTTGCAGCGTGGGTTCACTCATAGAAGTTAAAGTCCCTACAGATCTCCTTGTGCCCCTCCTGCTGGCAGTCCCTCGGCTCGAGGCATGCCGTTTTCCTGGCAGTTCTCCATCCACTGCCCTCCACCCACCCTGCCTCTGCCTTCCAGGTGATGGGTGGGCCAGACGGGGACATGTTCAACTACTACAAGATGCTGATGCTGCAGGGTCTCATCGCTGCCCGGAAGCACATGGATAAAGTTGTGCAGATTGTGGAGATAATGCAGCAAGGTACGGCGATCTGGGGGCCCTGGAGCCGGGTCCAGGGGGGGCATGTGTGAGCCAAACTGCTTTGGGTGCGGGCTGCACAGAGCATCGCCCCAAAAAGTCTGGTGAACCCTGGTGCTTGGAGGAGAATTGGGAGAGGTTGGAGGGAGGTCTCATATCTCAGGAGGCTCTGGGCAGCCCTGCTGGGGCCTGCGGGCTCCACCAAGGGCTCCCGGACCTTGCTGGAACTGCAGGAAGGGGGCAGAAATGTGCCCGTGTTAAGGGCCGAGCATCAGTGTGCCTTGGGGAGCCTGACACACACCTAAAGGAAGGGGGATGCCATTGCTGCAGTGCAGGAACAAGCTGTAAATATCCCAGTGCTCTGCATCAACGGGATACGGCAAACCCTGGCCACCGGCTGAGAGCGGTGAGGCAACGCCTGTGCCACAAACCTGCCTCAGAGCCAGCGACAAGGGAAGGAGCCCCGCTGGAGGCCGCAGAGCCCTTCTGGAGCCCAGTTCCCCCCTGCCAACCCTGCTCCTCCTGCCTTGCAGGTTCACAGCTCCCCTGCTTCCACGGCTCGAGCACCATCCGCAACCTGAAGGAGCGTTTCCACATGAACATGACGGAGGAGCAGCTGCAGCTGCTCGTCGAGCAGATGGTGGATGGCAGCATGCGCTCCATCACCACCAAGCTCTACGATGGCTTTCAGTACCTCACCAACGGCATCATGTGATGGCAGCGGGCCGCCCGCTCCCAGAACAGCTCCTCGCCCACCGTGGCGCCCAGCCTGGGCCTGAGCTTCGCCCTCTCCGGGGAAGAGGTCTTGGGCCTCAATGGTAAAAGTATGCTGAGTCTCAGCATCTTCCTGGGGATGGTTGTTTTTTTGCCAGACTCTCAAAAAAAAAAAAACACAAAAAAACAAACAAAGCAAAGAAACAAGACAAAACCAAGCAGTTAAAGCAAGAAAAAAAAGTCCTACCTGTGAAAAATCAAAGCATAAAGGATGATGCGGTAACCATTGATGTGATGCGCCCGCCGAGTCTGGTGATGGCCAGGCAAAAGCCAGCAAAGGGCCTCAGGACATTGGGTTAGCTCCAGACCTCATGCAGCCACCTCTTCCTCCCATCAGTATTACACCTGTTGGTGCCCTGTGAATGCTCCCACAATCTCGGAAATGTTTAGGAGCTGGGGGTGGAAGGGGGGGAACAGGGACCGACCCCACCCTTCAGCGTCTGATGTGACTTGAGCTGGTACCACTTGAATGCAGCGGAGCGGAATCTCAACGGCCCCTGCCCTGCATGTTCCCCTACTGCAGCCTCTGCGTTATTCAGCCCCTTTCTTTGTGTCTCACAACCCCGTCCCCCCCACCTTGTGGGGTGAGGGTCCTGTTGTACCACTGCACATAGGTCACTGCTCCTGCCTCGGCCCGTGGCACCTGCCCCATCGCCCACCACCGGTACGTCAAGGTTGGGGTTCACTGAGGCTGGCGCTCACCTGGGGCGTCTGCATTGCCTCGTGCTCCTTTTGAGCACCTTTTCTTTCTTTCTTTCCTTTTTTTTTTGTTTTGTTTTGACTCTGTTCCAGCGATTTGGGACTGTGAAGCTTTTGCCCTCCCTGTTGCAGTAACGTCTGCTGTGCCCCACGCTGAGTGCCGGGACACAGCTGGCAAAGGCGGGTTCCTCCGGGGAGCCCTGCGGAGGGTTTCACCAGAAGCAATGGGACAGGGAAGGGGCAGGAGCAAAGTGCCCGGTGCTGCCCTGGCTCCCCCCAAACCGGGCCAGAGCTTGCCGGGCACAGCTTGGGGTGGGGGAACCTGCGGGAGGATGGAGCAGGCACCCCGGGAAGGCCCGAAGGAGAAGGGGATTCCTGCGCTGAGGCCGTAACCGCAGCAGGCTCCGGGAAGGGCACCCGCAGCCTGGCCGCTCCCCTGGCCCCGGTGCTTTGGTCTGAGCTCAGCGCCCCCCTGCCCCGCCCCCGGCCCAGTCCTGCTGGTCAGAAGGCGAAGCCCCCAGCTGTTCCCCCCCATCCCCACCCCATGTCCGTAGCTCCGGGTGCCGTTCCCTTGCCCAGTGCACCGGTGTGTAGCCTCCGACGTCCTGAGTCTGTTTGTTTAGCACTAATTATTTGTCATGTTGATTATTTAGCATTAAAAACCAGAAAATTCTATTTTAAAATGCTGGGATCCAATGGCCAGGAGGTGCCCAGGGCTGGGGAAGGCCACTGGGCCCCTGAGCTTATGCAGGGGACCACCACCATTGACAGACCCCCCCCAGCTTGGGGGCTGCTGGGGGGGGGGGGGGGGGTGCTCAGGGCAGCCCAAGGCCCCTCGGGGGAGGCAGGCGGGGGCGGGGGGGACCCCACTGCGGGGCAGGACCACTGCTGGCCGCAGCAGGCAGGAGAGCAGCAGGCAGCCACTGGAGCCCTTGTGGGGCCACGTAAGTAACACAGGCACAGCAGGGGTTAAACCACTAAAAGTTTAATTGCATTATTACTACAAGAATAAAGGATACCTGAGAGCCTCTTGCAGTGCCCGTAGTTTTAATGTAGCATAATCAGGTCACAACCCCTAAAAACAAGTGTACAGACGCCCCCCCGCCCCCACGCTTTAACAGAAGTTGATCTAAAGGCACTGAAGTGCGTGAAAACCAAGAGATTACAAAGCAATTTGTTTTGTTTCCTTCCTCTAAAACTCGTAGAAACTTTAGGTTCTTCTCTATTATTAAACATCATTTACACGTTCACAGCCCCACGTGCTACAGCTGAGAGGGGTCGGGGAGACGACGATGGAGGAAACGACAACGTGGTCGACGGGGTTGGGGAGGCAAAGAGGCCCCCTGCCAGGAGGGGGGACTGGCCTGGGGGCTGTGGGAACTGCTAATTTATTTTCTCTTTTATTTTTAAAAAGCCTCCCCCCCCCCCCCCTTCCGTGTGTGCCGTTCAGTTGAATCCACCTGCAGCAAGGGGGAGGATTAACCCCCTCCTTGCACCTGAAACAACAAAACAAAACAAAACAACAACAACAAAAAAAAAAACAAAAACACCAGAAACCAACCCCAGCAAACCATCTTTCCCCACCCCAGAACATAAAAACTAAAAAAAAAAAAAAAAAAGCAACCCAAATCACAACAGTAGTTTTTTGTCACTTTTAGTGTATGATACAACTTTACACAGCGTGTTAGATGTTATTCACAAGGAAATAAGGAGCCCAAAGTTAAGTTACTGAAATAATTACTCACACAAACACCCTACCCCAAGCACAGGCGCTAAACAAACAGAACAAGTAGGAAGTCTCTTTTCTGGCTGTTTTTCTCCTTCCCCGAAGGTCACAGGGCGGGGGGGGGGGGGAGATGCAGCGACAGCCCCGCACAGGTGAGCCCCCACCACGGCCGGGCTGCACCGCGGGGCCAGGCTCCCGCACACACTGGACGTGGTTCCCCGCGGCCTCGGGGGAGCTCGGCCATGCCAGGAGCTGCGGGCGTTGTGTGGAAGAGGAGCAGCGAACACGGCCGAGCCCCCGCTGCGGGCCGGGCAGTAGCAAAGCCCTGGGTGCTGGGATGGCAGCACCGGGTGATGGCATCGCCCCTTGGAAAAGCCAGGCAAAAGCTTTCCCCATCAGCGCGGTGGCAGCAGCTTCCCCTCCTCGGCCCCTTGGCTTGGCAAGCAGCCGCTGCCGGCCCAGATCCAGGATGGGGCCCAGGGAGAGCCCCGAAACCTCCCTGGGCTCCGAGGAACAGACTCGGTGCAGCGCTGCTGGGGTGGCCCACGCCACCAGGGCTCGCTCTGAGCTTGTCGAGAGGCTTCTGTTTGCTTGTTTCCCAGTGCTGACTCCTCCCCGTGAAAGGCCACAGGCTGGGGCCTTGTGCAGCCGTCCCTTGGTGCAAAACCAGCACGCTGACGCCAGCGCCGGCTCGAGTTAGTGCAAGCGATGGCAAAGAGCAACCTCGCGGGTGAGCAGCGCCGGGACTGAGCCACGGAGGGGCCCAGGCAGCAGCAGCATCTCTGCGGAAACGGAGAGCGGCCACCAGTCTGGAATCGGCTTCTCCCAGCAAGATACAAAATAAGCAACATAGAAAAGGGAAAGGAAAAAAAAAAAGGTGGATCCTGCTGTGACGTCACTGCCAGCACAGACAGCTCTGCCTGGCGGTGGAGACATCTTCCCCTGGTCCCCAGGTCCTGCCCTGCTCCAGCCCTCCCAGAGGAGCAGCAAACCCCAACACAGCCGCTCCCAGCACAGCTGACCGCAGCTGGGGCTGGTTCTTGGGATGTGGGAGAGGTTCCTGGGAACGAGGGAACAAGAAGAAAGCCACTGAGCTGCAGCACAAGGTCCAGGCGGTGTGAAAGCCGAGGTCAGAAGAGGCAGCGACTTGTGATTTGCCAACACTGGCCCAGGGTGGGGAGATGTCGTTCCCTGTCCTCGTCCCTGGGCGAGGGAGGCCACTGTCCCTCCGCACAGATGCGACCAGCTGTGGGGCAGCTGTGGCCCCGTGTGACAACAGAGCAGCAAACAGATCGTTTGGTTTCCCCCGGGGCAGGGTGGCCGGCTTGGACTCTGCCCCTCATCTGCTATACAATAAGGCAGCCGAAATTCTGCCTTCGCCCTGCTCTCGCCCACAGAGCAGGGGTGGGCGAACACTCAGCCTCGCAGGGCCGTGGCCGAGCAGATTCCACGTGCAGGGCACACGGAGTTGGGCCGGAGCGCACCAGCCAGCTTGCATCTCTTCACAGCTCCTTCACGCAGCCCTGCCTCAAAACGCTGCCCAGGAGGAGGGAGGAAGGTGGCACCCAGGTGGGCTTCCAGCAGCCTCCTCACAAACTGCTCTGTGCTGATTATATACACGTCTCATACCCCTCCACCGGGGCCCTAGTTTTCAGGGCTTGCGTTCTGCCTCGCACGGATGAAGGCCATGCCGTGGGTGCGGAAGTGCGTCTTGAGGTTCAGCTGGCTGTCAAAGCAGCGGCCGCACACCTTGCAGGACAGCTTGCCATCGGCCATGTGCTGGGCACCTCCTTCAAGGGGGCTGCGGGGCCCCGGCTCCTCCATCTCGCCCGCTCCCTTCTTCTTCTTGTGGGTGATGAAGCGGTGGCGGTTGAGGGAGACCTGGGAGGTGAAGCAGAGCCCGCACTCCCGGCACTGGTGGGAGCTCTCGTCAGTCCGGTGCTGGGGAATGTGTTCCTGGAAGTCGGCCGAGCTGCTGGCGAGGTAGCCGCACTTGCGGCAGCGGAAGGGAGCCTTGCGGTCGCCCTTGGGGTTTTTGGAGGGAGGCGTGGTGCTGTCAGGCTCCTCGCTGCATGAGTCGCCCTCGTCCGAGGACAGCTTCCTCTTCCGGCTGGACACCTGGGACAAAGGTTGGGTTTTGTGGGTGCCTGGCCCGAGCAGCTCCCAGCAGAGCCCCAACCTGCTCAGTAATTCCCCAACGGGCTCCAGGTATCTGCTCAGGTAAAGGCTGAATGGGGGCAGTGACTCCACTGCTCTTGGCTGGCCCCAGGAGCTGCGCCCCCGCTGGTAACCCCGGCCAAGGGGATCCCCCAAACTGCCTCTGAGTCGCTCTGACCCCTCACGCCAAGTGCCTTCACCCCACGCAGCCTGGGACTGCTCCCAAGCAAGCTCTGAGTTCTCCCAGCACACAGCAAGAGGCTGAGGCAGCCAAGTTCATTCCCTACCATGCTGGCAGAGACGGGAGCTAAACAAACTGTGCCACGATGCGGCAGCCACTGGACCTCACAGCGGGAGGGAGCTGCCAGTCCCAGGCACTGCGGGACGTGTGGAGGCACAAGTGACCAGGATCAGGGCTCACGGAGCTGTCGTCAGCCCTATCTGAGAACTCTGCAAGGCCCCTGTGTGCACCCCCAGCGACCTCGTACCTGCGTAGTGCCAGTCCCTATCCGGGCGATGACGACCTCCTGGCTCTTTGCCTGGTCGGTCACCTTGATCCCGTGTCGCACCTGGATGTGCTTCTCCAGGATGAGCCGGCTGCTGAAGGTCCGCTTGCCCTCTGTGCAGTACCTGCGGGGCCAGAGCAGGGAGGCACTGAGGCGATGCTCTGCAGCGAGGAGCCGAGCCCCAGCCCTGCTTCAGCATGACTGCGCGTGTGTTGAGCCCTGGCTGCCCTAGGACAGCTGGATCCAGCATCCTGACCCCCCGAGTTTACTGCTCTAACTGAAAATATTTTCACCTGCTTTCCTCTACAGGGTATAAAACTCAGTAAAACTCAGTCCCTCCCTCAGTAACTTCTTTCCATCTGACTTCCAAGACCCTTGTTAAATCCCCATCATGCTTCAACCATCTGCAACTTTATCCTCCCCACAACAGCTTGACAGGGAAACCACTCGCCCCTTTGGAACCAGACCCCCCTGTTTCAGCCCAACCCAGAAGGTGCCGTGGGTACCTGCAGGGATAGACGCGCTTGATCCCTTCGTGATTCACGCGCACGTGTCTCCGGAGGCTGGGAGCAGAGCAGAAGGAACGCTCACACAGGTGGCACGGGAACTTCTTCACCGACTGTAAGAAAGAAAGAGGCGGGTGGGTCCCACGCCGGGAGCTGAGACCAGAGTCAGGCTCTCCAGCTGTGCAGAGAAGCCAGATGTGGGGCCTCAGCACTGCCTCCGATCTCTCCTTGCCTATCCCACGGCTGCACATTGGGGAACCAAAGATCTGCTCTCTGCTGTTCACCGTAACAGGTAACAGCTCCCCGAAGCCTCAGCAAGCAGGCAGGCTCCTGACCAGGTCTGTACCGGGGGAGAAGCACTGCCTGCACCGAGGCAGGGAATGCTCCAGGCCCAGCACGGAGCCTGGGTGCCCGGCCCTCTGGCAGAGCTGGAGCCCCTGGCCTCCTCCTCACCTTGCCATGATCCTTCTTCATGTGGGAGACGTATTCGTCACGCTCTGGGAACCAGGAGTGGCAAACCCCGCACGTCCACCCGCTGCCCTTCGACTTGTTGACTGTCTTGCGCTGGAAGCGGCTCCGCTTTGTCTTGCGCAGCTCTGGTGAGCTGGGAGGCTCATCCTCCTCCGTGGAGGACGATGACTCCTCCGAAATCTTGGACACGGGGGTTTCGACAGGTTCCTGCTTTGGTGTGAGCAGGACAGCCGCCTTCTTTGCCAGGTCGTCCTTGGGTTTTTGGGGCTGATGAGTGTTCTGGAAAGCAAAGACAAGAGTGTTGGCAGCCGACCGGGGCCAGGATTTTCCTCCAGCACTGCAGGAAACCCTCCAGGCCTCCCTCTGCAGATGGACCCTCAGCCTCGGGGCAGGAGGGGAGACACCGGGCCCTGCTGTGTTGGGGATGAGCCATAACCCAGCCCCAGGACACCCCTGTAAAAGTATTTGCCAAATACCAATATCCTGATCAGGGTGTGGGAACACATCGGGGACTTTGTCCCCCAGGGGACACTCAGGCATGGGCACAGCTCCACAGCTCTGAGGGACGGTGAGCGCGCAGCCGATGCGGGGCCGTCTCCTCCTTCCGCCCCAGCGTGGGGCTGAGGGATTCCCCTCGGGTCTGAATCATCGCGGTCATGAGGGGTGCAAGAGGGCAGTGGAGAGGCACCAGGAGGCTGAGCCTGGCCACGGCGTTACCTTGAGGTGCTCCAGCATGGTGCGCTTCTGGGCAAAGAGCAGCGGGCAGTCCGGGCACTTGAAGACGCTGACCCGCTGGTTGAGCAAATGCTGGTCGAAGTGGGAGGAGAGCAGGGGCTTGTGGGTGAAGACCGTGTCGCACATCGCACACTTGTAAATCATTCTGCCGGAGGAAAAGGCCACGGTCAGCACAGCCCAGGGTCACCAGAACCGTGGAGGACGCCCCTGGGCAGGAGGGCTGGGAGCAGCCCTGGGAGCAGCCCTGGGAGCAGCCCTGGGAGCAGCCCGGCCCACACCAAGCGATGGGAAGGTAAAAGGAGGGGGTCCCAGCTCTCTGTGCTGGTGCTGAGCGCTTCCCCCAGCCGCCCACCCACCAGGACTGCTCCCGGTTCTCCCAGCCAGGGGCCAGCTCGAAGGAACACTTACTTGGACTGCTGGTTGCTGAAGCCGGGGTGCTGCGTGTAAACGTGCGCGTGGGCGCTGGGGGCTGACTTGAACGCCATGGGACAGATGGGGCACTTGTGGAACACCTCGCAGTGGGAGGTCTGGATGTGGGACTTGATGGAGTTGACCCCGCCGAACACCACAGCGCAGCTGGGACATCTGCAGGGCGGAGGAGAGCGTGAGGCAGGGGACGGGCGGCGCGGGGGATTCAGCCAGCCACCGACAGCAGCGCACGCCGAGGCGCAGACGAGCAGCAAGGAGCCCACGGCTGCTGCAGGGGCAGCGCGCCCCTCCCTGCCTGCAGGCAGCACTTGGCAGGAGCCCCCAAGTTCCTGCCCCATCTGCTGCCCAGAAACCTGCCCGAGAAGGGCCCCCGCCCGCCCTGGGACCCCCCCCAGCACCCTCGGCCCCAGCAGAAGCCTGGCAGGAGGCAGAGCCCTACCTGTAGCCCACCCTCCGGGAGAAGTGCAGGCAGGCCTCCTTCAGGTGGGTCTCGAAGTTGGCGAGGAGGAAATTCCCCCCGCACTCGGGGCAGACGTGGGGGGGGCGGTTTTTGTGCATCCTCTGGTGGGCGTTGAAGCTGCAGCGGTTGGACATGATCATGGGGCACGTCGTGCAGACCTGCGGGACAAGGGCAGAGAGCTGCAGCCCGGCACGCACCGCGCAGGCAGGGACTTCTCAGCCCTTTCGTTGTGCTGCTGCGGGAAAGAAAGCGTGGGGAGCAGGCAGCTCGTGCGCAGGGCTCTTTTAGGAGATGATCTGCTTGTGGCAGCTCGCTGGGTGACTGCTGAGCGTGTTCCCCGCGCTCAGATGCCTTTTCCAGGCTTCTCATCGCAGATGGATCCCAGCTGCACCGTGCTGAGGGCAGCCTGGCACCAGCCACTTTGCCAGGAGGGAGCGGGGGCTCATTCAAACCAGCTTCCAAACCCATTTCACAGCCACCTCCACACCAGGGCACAGCCACGAGGATGTTGAGGGGAGGCTGGCAAGGGCTCAAGGAAACAGGACAGAGCCTCCAGTGGAAGCTGCCCTGAAAGACGTGATAACCAGAGCAAAGGTGGGGGGAGGAAGGAGAGGAGCAGGTCCATAACCACGGCAGGGTTTTTATAGCCAAGGACAAAGGCTGAGCCAGCAGGAGCAGCCAGCCCTGCCCACACAAGTGCCGTGCCTGGAGGGAGGGATATGGGACAGGCTGGGCCCCAGTCCTGCGGCCACCCTCGGGTCTGAGCAGGGTCTGCACCGAGGGGCAAGGACGGCGCAGGAACCGCTGAGGAGGCTGCTGGAAGGGAGAAGCCGCCTGCAAGGAGCCCAAGCATCCACCCCACCGCTCCCTGAGAGCTGCCCCATGCTTGGAACGTGCCCAGAACCCAGAACAGGGACGGCACAAGTGCGGGCTGAGCTGGCTGCTGCAGGCAAACACCACCCAGGGCCAGCCCCTGCCGCCTCTCCTGCCTCGGGCTGGGATAAAGGAGAAGGTCCCTGCCCCCAGCAGGGATCTCTGTGCCCTCTCACTGCTTCTGCCGCAGCCCCGGAGATCCAGAGCAGGTCCTGGCACTGCTGCATCCCACACAGCTCAACCCCTCTGCCGACAGCAGGGTTAGGAGAGGGGACGGGAATAGGAAATCCTCCCTGGTGAGAGGATGCTTCCTGTGCCCCAGAAATGCTCCACGGCCCCCCAGCTGCCTGCAGGCTCTGCCAGCGAAACAGGCACACGGGCACGTGAGCCGTGGTGACCTTCGTGCAGAAAGCAGAGCTCCAAAATAGCAGGGCTGCGGCCAGACAGCGCCTCGGCTGCAGCAGCAGCAATCAGAGGCTCCAGGAAACAACAAATTCCTCCCGTGCAGAGGAAGCTGGCGGACAGAAGGGAAGGTGAGGAGGAGCAGGGTGCTGTCCGGGTGGGACTGCATTTGCTCCTCTGGGGGCCTGCGCGCTCTGCCTGCCTTTCAGAGGTCACCTCTCAGTCCTGCATTTGCTGGGTGCTGCCCGCCCAACACACCAGGATGTCTTGGCAACAACAGGAAGCGCACAGCTCAAGGTTAGCTCTCGAAGCAGGATTAAAAACAGACTCCCTGCTTTCCCCAGACTCTGTGCTTCAGGCCAGCAGAAAGAGGAAGCAGCGGCCACGGCTGCAACGTGGCTGCGCAGGGGCTGCCTGGCAGGCCGGGCACTGCTCTGCCCCCCGCGCCCCCTGCCAACAACCCCCCCGATTCTGGGCAGGGACTGGATCCTGGCTCTCACCTTTTCCTTCCTGCGTGGTTCTCACAGCAGGCACGCAGGGGCAGAGCTGCTGAGATGGCACCTGGAGAGCCCTGCCCTGCTGCCCGGTGTTTCTCAGGGCTGTAACACCCAGCCTGCTGCTGCCCTCCCACTGAGCGCCTCCGCGGCCAGCATGGGGCTGCCGCTCACCCGCCTCCTCCTGCAGCTCGCTGCCAGCTCTGCCCAGCAGGCATCCGCAAGGCAGGCTGGCAAACGCGGGCACAAGAAACACGTTTGCCCCAAGAGCTGCCCCACGGAGCCCCCCAGAGACCTGGCGGCTCCTCCAGCTGCTGCTCCCCTCACGCGAGCCACCCCCGAGCCGCGTGCCAGAAGGGCCCCTCACAGCCACGTACCGTGCTGCTGGTCGTCCCCGTGGTCACCGTCTGCTGGAAATGCGCGGCCAGCCCGGCCTTGTCTTTGCACTGCTCTTTGCACTCCAGGCACCTGAAGCAGCTGTAGTTGGTCTGCTCCAAGCCGCTGCTCAGAGGCAGGATGGGGAGCTCCGGAGCCCCGTTGGCCGCGGCCAAGGCGTCCTGAGCCACGCCGGCCACTTTGCCGGCAGGGAAGGAGGCGACCGAGACCAGGGGGGTGATGTCCGGCTGCCCAATCATCTGATCCAAAGCGATGGGCCTCATCACCAGGTGGGAGCACTGCATCACCAGCCCTTTGTCCTTGTGCTCCCGGGCGTGCAGGAGCAAACTGCACTTGTTGAAGAAGACGAGGCGCTTGGTGCAGTGGTTGCAGGTCACCTCGATGCGCATGCTTCGCCGGTCGTAGTGGCGAGCCAGGCTCTTCTCCAGGGCGAAGGAGTCCCCGCACTCCAGGCAGCGGTAACCGAACGGAGGCAGCGAGAGGCTCGCATCGGCTGGGGGGTTCAGGTTGGGCTTGTAGGTTGGCAAGAGGTTTTTGCTGTTGAGAATCTTGTTGAAGGCTTCCACGAGGCTGGACTGGCTCCTGGAGATGACCGTGCCCGCGATGGTGGGGGAAGGTTTCTGCGGCTGCACCATCACCACCGTGGTGCCGTTGACCTTCTGGTTGGCCGTGGTGGTGATGGTGGTGGTCTGCGTCACGGTGCTGACGTTGGTCCGCGTGTCGGCTTTGGGCAGGGTCTGCGGCACCAGGTTGATGATGTTCTTGGCCACGGCTTTGCCCGTCTTGGACGGCAGCACCACGGATTTCTGCTGGGCGACGCTGGCAGCGATCAGCATGGCGCTGCTGGCGTTCTGGATGGTGGAGACCGGCAGGACGGTGCCTTTGATCTTGGTGCCGTTGCCAAGCTGGACGCTGACAATTTTTGGCCCCTCAATGGTTTTCAAGGGGCTGGAGAGATCCATCTTCTCCTTGGGCACCTCCAGCACGATCCCGTCCTCTTTCTCTGCCGAACCCGAAAAGCTGAGACCCTCAAGAGAGGGCTCCTGAGAGCTCTGCTCGGCCACCCCCTTGGTGGAGCCTGGCTCTGAGTCCGATGAGACCCTGGTCACCGTCCTGGTGATGCTGCCACACGACGTTTTGATGGTTTTAATCCGCACTTTCAGGGGCCGCGAGGAATTGGAAGAAGGGGAATCGTTGTTGTTGTCGTCTTCTTCCTCCTCTTCCTCGGCACTGGACATACTCTGTGGGCTTCCCATCGACTTCTCCAGAGCCTCCTGCTCTTCCTTGAGGGCGATGTCATCCAGCTGCTTCGGAGAAGGGGGCAGTCTGGGGCTCTGCACCACGGGGGACGAAGGCTTGAAGAACGGCTCCCGGGGGCTGGTGGGCGAGCGCTTCACTTCAGGGAGGTTGCTGGTGCTGCTGTCCAGGTTTGGGTCGGAACCGGGCCACGAAGCGATGGGAGAATCACCTGTGGAGTAGCGAACAGTGACCGACTTCAAGTGCTCCAAGGGACTGTCACCCAGGGCTGCGGCCAAACCCTTTGGGCTGGCTTCGCGGCCCACCTCCTCTGAGTCAGACTCCTCTTTTTTGATGCAGGGAACGGTAGGAGGGGACCCGTTTGCTCCCCCTGCCTGGCTGGTTTCAAAGGGCTGCGGGAAAGCCGGGGGCAGGTTCTCCGCGCTCTCTCCCATGGGCTCCTTGCAGTCCAGCGATGGGGTGGGCGACGGGGAGAGGGAGGGCACGGCCAGGGACTTCTCCTTGGGCTTGCACTCTCGAGGTCTGTCGATCAGGTTGGCAGCGTTGTCTTCGTTGGGATCGGGACTGAAATGGGAGAAGATATCCAGCGGTTTGGGACCTTTCTCTTTCACCCAGCACTCCCCATTGGAGGATGCCACAGCTTCCACGGACCTGGAGCTGGGGGACCTGGGCATCTCGGTGGCCCCGAAGCCGTTCTGCAGCAAGCGGGGCCCGATGACGTGCCCGTCCTTACTGCGCCCATCCAGGGCATCGAGCTGCTCGGGGCACACGGTGTTCTTCACGATCACGCTGACCGCGGTGATGTCCGTGTGGGGCAGGACGTGGTCGGGGGGCCCCGGCTCCCCAGGGACCTGCTTGATGTGAGCGTCGGCCTCCTCATGGCCAGAGTGAATGGCCTCGTTCGTGTCGATGTCAGGAATGTCAAAAGCTGCCAGAAGGTCGTCAAAATCTGGAGTTTTCATGTCACCCATGGTGGGGACTATGGCAGAGTCTGGAAGAGAGGGAGGAGAGGAGCGTTAGCACCACGACCCCAGCACGCAGACCACGAAGCCAGCAGCGCGCCCGCATGCCGTGACCCCACTCGTGTGGGGCTCTCCCGAGCACCCCGAGCTCACCAGGTGGCAGCGAGCCGCTGCTCTGCGCCAACCCCCTGCCAAACGAGGCTGGGAACCTGCTCCTTCCCGGCTTACCCTGCACCAGCCACAAAATCCCCAATGCCTCCCTCCCTTTGAACCCCAGCCCTGAAGCCCGGGGGCGAATCACGGCACTTCTCTGCCTTTCCTGCTTTGTCTGCTTGGCATCTTTTGATCCCCAGCCCGGAGGACAGAGTTCAAAGGATCCCAGCGTCCTGGGAGAGGCTGAGCACCAGGGAGGCCGACTGGCAGAGGCAGCGCTGCCCCGGGGCCAGAGCCGTCCATCTGGGCTCGCGGTGAATCAGCACGGGGCTGGCACCGGGCTGGTCCTCGCCCACAGCAGCGAGGCCTCCCCAGGGCTGCGAGGCTGGGCAGGAGGAGGGCAGGAGGAGGGCAGGAGGCCTCCAACACACGGCCAGGGAGCCGAGGACGAAGAGGAGGAGGCTGAGAGGAGCCGTGGAGACAGGATTCCAAACATGGCTGCAGCAGAGACAAAGGGAATAATGTTCCTCCTGCCCCCGGGGGCCGGGTAAGAAATCCCAAGATTAAACTGCAGGCAGGGGATGTGGCTTAGCCAGGAAGGGCTCTGACTTGCAGGGATTACCCTGCTGCTGGCCAGGATGGGGCTGAGGATGCTCCTGGGATGGCACCGCCCCCAGGGGCCGCCGGTTACCCCCAGCCATCAGTCAGCAGAGCAAAAAAAAAAAACAAGGCGCGGGCGGCCCCTCAGCACCTCGGCCCTGCAGCAGCGCTAACGAAGCCGCTTTCCTGACGCTCCCTCGTACCGGACCAGGGATGAACAGGAGCTGCAGCTTCCCAGAGCGCCTCCTCTCAGACACGCTCCTGCCCGAGCCTCCTGCCCTGGAGACCACAGCGCCTCGCCCCCAGTGCTTCCCTTCCCTTCGCCTCGCCGGGGCCGTGACGCGGAGCAGAACTTGAGGGAGGCTCCAGCTGCCCGCAGGGAGGCTCCTGCTGAGGGCTGCAGCCTGGCAGCGCCGTGTCCCTGGGCGCGAGCGCGGTGCCACCGGCCAGGAGAGCGCCTGCGCTGCTGGGGGAAGGAGCGGGCGCGCGTCCTCGCAGGAGCAACTCGGCTTCCACGGCGACCTCCTCCCCAGAGACCCTGCGATGTCTGCGAGGGCCAAACGCCCCCACTGCAGCCCCCTCCGTCCTGCAGCATTTTTCCTCCCCCAGGCCACAGGAGCCCTTTGGGCACCAGGGGCTGGCCAGGAGCAGCTCCCCAGAGCAGGGCAGGCCACCAGGGCCACAGCAGCACCGCCCTCGCCAGCCCCACAGCAACGGGGACCTGTTTGCAACAGGACGGTTGTTCTGGCGGGGTGAGATACACGGGAATAAGGTCTCCAAGAGCACAGGGTGCTGCTTCTTTCTCTCCACACAATCACATGTTCTTTAACCAAACGCCCTACTCCACTTTGGGATGGAATCGAACGTGCTTCAGGGAACAGACGGTGCTACAGACGAGCCGATAACCTTGGCCCCAAGCAGCGAAACGAGGCCCCGCTGCCTCGACTGCCTGCGTGTCCCACCCCCTGCCCCGGGGACCGCTGCTCTCTGCCCCCCACCCATCTCTTGCCAGCAGTGGCTTTGGTGCCGCTGCCTCGTTTCTGCACAATTTCACCAGCTGTGAAGCCCCCGGGTGGTTCAGAGAAGAATCCCAATTTCTGGGCAGAACTTCAGCCACGACCCCAGGGAGAAGCCTCGGCGAGAGGAGCAGAAGGAGGAGCACCAGGCTGCACCGTCCCGCGGCAGGGGAAGGAGCCAAGGCCACGCTCCTGTTGCAGCGCTGCCATCTGGCTCTGCCGCGCAGGATCGCTGCTGGGAGCGGCACCACGGCCCCAGGGACAGTTGGTTTCTGAGCGACTTTTCCAATCACCATTCAGCAGGACGCAAACACTCACAGTGAAGCGGGGAGAAGCAGCTTGTGGCGCTAAAAAAAAAAAAAGGTTCCCCAAAAGGAAAGAGGAGGGAAATCCTCCTCCCCCCAACACGCAGGGGCTCCGGGCTGTGCCGAGCCTGGGCACCACGGCAGGTCCTGGTGGCCCCCAAGGGAGGGAGCACCCCAGGGTGCCCACACACGGGACCCGGCCGGCACTCAGCCTGGCGCAGCGCTTCTGCTCCGGGCCGATGCCCTGCTGTGAGCGGGGTCGTTGTCATCAGGGGCTCCGGCAGGGAAAGAACAAACCTCCGGCCCCCGATTTCTCTGGGCTCACAGGTTGGTTTTACAAATATTGCTGTTAATTTAATCAGATAACTCAATAAATTAACCCATCACACTTGTGTAGTTTCCTTAGATCGCTTCCTTCCCAGCGCCCCAACAAAAACTGTCACGCCTTTGTCACCTCTGTATCCCCTACCCCGCTCTCAGCCAACTGTACCCTTCTTTTAGCATCCCTGTTTTGAAAAACAAAACCCATTTGGGGTCCGTGTGATTGATTGAACCCATTTTTTAAAAAGCTCACAGCTTTGGAACAGCTTTGGGACAGCAATGAAGCGCCCGGGGAGCCGCTCAGGGCGGCCACGCTCCCCGCCTCGGGCACAGGGCCCCTCACCCCAGGACTCCTCCATGCCCGGTGCTGATGGGGAGGCCCCTGCCCCACAAGCGTTGTCCTTCAAAACCCCAAGGCCAAGATCCCCCGCTCAGCCCCCTCCCGGCTCTCCTAGCAAAAAGGAGGCAGCAGAGGTGGGCAGGGCCCAGCTCCGTCCCCACCCCTGCCCTGCTGACACGGGGAGTTATTTTGGTAGCTCCAAACACCACTGTTTTCTTAGGCAAAAGAACTGTTTTTCAAAGGCAGTGGTGGAAGGGAGGGGTATTTTTAACTGTCCCGCCTGGCCAGAGGCACCTGCCCCGCAGAGAGCGATGATCGGGGCCGCGCAGGTCCCCGAATCCAAAAACCGAGGCACAGGACAGAGGAAGGGGCAAAGATCCAAAGCGGTGCTGGGAAAAGACCCAGAAATCCTCTCCGACCTCAAGAGCTGAGCCCCAGGCTGCACAGCCCAGCCCTGCTGTGAAAGGAGAGCATCCGAAAAGCACAGAAATCCGAAAGCCGCCGCTCACTGCCCCGGCTGCCACCAGGAACTCATCACAGCGCGTGGGGCACCGGCTCCTTGGGGACACCCGATCCTGTCCCCCCATGAAAACCCCTTCCCGGGGACGCCCTGGGGCAAGCACCTTGCTGAGCCACGCCACCAGCCTCCCCACCGCTCAGCGGGGCACTGCGCCGAGCCCCCAGCGCTGTGCCAAAAGCAGCCCCGCTCTCGGGGGGCATGAGAGGCCCCACGCAGGGCAGCCCCCACCCGGCGCTGCCCCACGTCCCAGCGCTGCCCTGGGGCTTTCGCTTTCGGACAGCTTTCTGCTCAGCCCGCTCACCAAAGCATCCCGGTGCGGGCAGCGGGGCCACGCTACCGGGGGCAGCCCCGTGCGGGACAGGAGCCGGGGCCCGGCCGGCCCCTCGCTTACCGGGGGCAGCAGGGGCGGGGAGCGGCTCCGGTGGGGCCGCGTCTCGGCCGCTGTCTGGCAGGAAGAGGAAGCCAAGTGGCGAGGCCGTGCTGCGCGGCGCAGCTCCTGGAGAGGCCCCGCGGGCCTGCGGGCGCAGCTTTGGTCCTGGGCAGGGCTCTGCGGCCCGGCCCCGCAGCACCTGGGGCCTCGCGGGGCCCAAAAATCCCCCAGCGGGGTCTGCGAACGCCTCCCCTAACGGGGGGAGGTCGGGAACGCAGGGCCCGGGCTGAGCTGCAGGGAGCAGATCCTTGCTGCCAGCAGCCTCGCGGCCACTTGGAGCTCAGAGGTGGCAGCCACGGACGGGCACTGCCCACCCCGGGGTCGACCCAGTCAGAGGAAGGCCCAGGCAGGGCCCAAAGGAGCTGACTCCAAGCTCTCGAGCTGCTGCCCACCAGCCCGGCCCCCGCCCGCCTGCGACGCGGGCCCTGGGCCAGCCGGGAGCTGCAGGGGCTGGCAGCTGGAATCACAAAACTCGGAGCCACTCGGGCAGCTCCAGGGCTCTTTGCTCATCCCGCCCCCCGCTGCAAGAGAAAACCTGAAGATCACAAACCAGAGCTGTCCCCAGCAACCGCGGCTCCTCCAGAAGCGGGGCTCCCTCCTGCCCGGCCAACACCAGGCACGGCTCGCGGGGAGGCGACGCTCGCTGCTCCCCGCTGCCCCAGCGACTCCTGCCCCAGCGCCTCCTGCCCTCACCCAAAGCGCTGGGGGGGGTCCGGGATCTGCCTTGGGCCCCGAGCCTCATCCGCGGCCCCGCAGCCTCGCCAAGAGGCGGCTCGGCAAGGCAGGAGCACCGGGGGCTTCGTGCTCGTCCCCACTGCGGGGCTGCCCCAAGCTCGCTGCCCCCAAGCCCCCGGGAGCAGCCCTGAGGGGCCCAGACAAAACCCCGCAGGCCAGGCCCGTGCCAAGGCTCGCTATTTTTACGCTCTTTTTACGGGCTGTTTTTCCTGTTTCCCTCCCTGGCCTTGCCAGGGCTTCCCTTCCCGTCGGCCGCTTGTCGCCGAGCCCAAAGGAGGGACCCAAAGCCCTCCGGCAGCCGACGGCCGAGCGGAGCCCCCCCCGCCGCCCCCGTCCCCGCGCGGGGCCGCGGCCCTGCCTGCGTCCGAGGCCAGCGGGAGCGCGGAGCCGCGGCACCACGTGACGGCAGGATTAGCTTCCGAGGCACGGAGGAAACCTTTGACAAAGCCTGTCCCCGTGCCACCGCTCCCCAGGCCTCGACTGCTGGCCTCCTGCGGGCCGCCGGCACGGGCACAGCCCCGCAGAAAGTGCGTGGCCACCGGGCTGGCTGCGAGAGGAACGGGAGCGGGCTCACCTGGAGGGCTGCAGCCACGCACGGCCCGGCCCCCGTGGCCCTCCTGGGGCCGTTTGGGAGCCGCTCCCCCTGTTGGGAGGCCAGCCCTTTGTGCCGAGCCCACGCCGGGGCCAGCGGCTGCTCCCCGAGAGCTGAACGAGCACCGGCATCACGGGGCGAACCCCGAGAGCAGCAACTGGCGGCAGCCGAGGTGGCTTCTCCCCGCTCCTGTGCCTCCATCCACGGCCCCGACCTGGCGGGGAGGGGGCGGCAGAGCCCCCAGCAGCCCTGCCTGGGGTTATTCCAGCAGCAGGCAGCACCCTCCTCTACTCCTTCCCCTTCCCCTTGTCCCCCCAGCGCTCCCGGGGAGGTGACACGGCCGCTGCGCGGGGACCGAGCTTCAGGAGGGCTCCCCATGGGGGAGAGGATGGGGAGGGCTGGGGCGGGGCTCAGGTTTCCCAGGGAGAGGGTGCTCTGCCCAGCTCTGCGGGCAGGACCCCCCCACAGCCAGCCCCACAGGACCAAAAAGGAGCCAGCTCCTCCATGCCAGGGGCAGCCCCGCGCTGCCTACAGCCCCCGCCCGGCCTCGCAGACAGCGGTCGCTTTAAGGCTCTCCGAGGGTTTAATGATTAATTTACCCCCGAGAGGCCACGGAGGGGTTCGCTGTGCCCAGGGAGCCCCCACTCCCCCTCCTCACCCCTCCCGGATCGCCCCGCAGGGCAGCACCGTGCCCACAGCCCTCGGCGTGGCTCAGCCCCGGCACACGGCCGCAGTCAGAAGCGGGGGTCTGGAAAGCAAAGAGCCGGGCAGCCCCCCCGCAGACCCACAGCTGCAAAAAACGCGTGGGTTTTGCACCAGACTCGCTCTGGCCCGGCACCGGCCGTGTTTCTGGGAACGCCACGAGCTGGATCTGGGCTGAGGGGCCCGGAGCACCGTGCGAACAGCGCCTGCGTTCCCCCAGCACCCCCGGGAGCTGCAGGGAGCCGCGGGTGCTGCTCTCCTTTTTCCACCCTGCCCACTGCCTCACGTGCCCCGATCGTCCCTGCTCTGAGCGCTGCAGAATTTCGGGAGGAAGCAAATCCATTTTCTGCCGCCGAGCCATCGGCCATTTCGGGCTCCCCGTGGGGAAGAGCGGCCGCGAGGCACCAGGGGACGCAGCAGGGAGGGCGGCGGCAGCACCAGGCCAAAGCCTCTTAACCAGGCCAACTCCCACTCGCCGCGAGCAGGAGGATTTCCAGCGCTGCAGCATCCTCAGCTGCCGGCCTGCCCGCTGCCTCGGGTTTCAGGGAGGCTTTGAGCAAGGAGGCCGAGCTGCCTGGTGGAGGATGGGCTCGAGCAGCTCGTATTTTTAGCCCTGCAGAGGCAGGGCACTCCGCTCCCTCCCAGACGAGGGAGGGGCGGCCCCCAGCCGCATGGAAGCGCCATGAGCCGGTCCGCAGGCAGGGAAGGGGGAAATCCCAGGGGGAAATCACGAGGGGCAAACCCGAAATGAGCTGAAGGGGTGGGGGGGAGGAGGGCAGCACCCGTGCTGATCCCGCTGCCCAGCCCGCTCCCACCCCCCCGTTCGGGCAGCAGAGGGGCTGCATTGGAGCTGAGCATGGCCCTGGGCTCTGTGCTGCCCCCGCAGCCCGGGGCAGATCCACCCGAGCAGCCGCGCGCCCGTCCCGCAGAGCAGAGCTGCCACACGGCCCAGCAGAGGCTGGGGGGGATTAGGCTCCCACACGTTTAACAGAATTAAGGCTCCACCATCTGCTAACTTCGGGAAAGAGCAAAACAAACAAGCAGTGGACGGGATCCAGAAACGCTGACAATTTGGCCGGCCTGAGAAATGAAGATTTTAAGCACGGGCAGGCGCAGCACCACGAGCCTCTCCCCACGGCCGCTGTCCTGCAGGGTGCGAGGGGCGGTGGGCTCGGGGCTCCCAGCCCAGCCCTCCAGGAGCCGGATGGATTTTGTCAGATCTTCAGAGAACAGACCCGCTTCTCTCCATCCTCGCGCGTTTTGTGCCGTCTCATCCCACCAACCTTTACAACACGAAGTTTCCAACCCCGGCCGGGACACCCCGTTTATTCTAGCGGCATAAATAAAAGCGCCCGGTCGGATGCCAGAAGAAAGGAACACGAAGCCCCCTCGCTGCTGTCACACACCACAGAGCCCCGCGCCAGAGCCATGCACGTTTGCTCTCGTACATTTGCATTTTCCAGTACCCAGCTGCGTGCTCAGGTGCTTTGTGGACAGGTAACTTCAAGCCCTGCAGGACACGCTGCGGGAGGCAACCCCACGTCAGCGGGAGCTGGGATTGCACGACCCAGGAGAACCCGCTGAGAGCAGAACCAGCCCAGCAGGCGAGGCTCAGAGCAGCTCCCCGCGGGCTGGCGAGCCCCGGGCAGCACCGGGAGGGTTTGTTGGCCCCTCGCCAGAGCTCCCCACCCGCCCCCAAGAGCGGCTCAGCCCCGGTGCTTCTGCGAGGCCCCGCGGACTTCCAGCACTGCCTGCGGGCAGCTGGGCCCCCCCAGCACGAACCCCGGGGGAACGGCCCCAGGGGAGCTCCCTGGGCCTGCTGCTGCTCCTCACAGCCCGGGGAAGCTCCCGGTGGGATGCTCGGTGCCGCAGCAGTGCCCGGCCTCCCCTCCCCTCCTGCCCCTGCCCCCGCAGCCACATGCGGGGTGCAGCGAGCTCGGGCGCTTCGTTCCCTCCTCAGCCGTGCTAAAAATACGCGCTGGAGGCAGCTGCTCCCACAAAGCAGCCGCCCTGCCTGACGCGCTGCTCACACCTGAGCACCCGCACCACCGGGCTTCCTCTGCTCACCCTTTGGGGAAGTCTCCGGGAATTCAAGCCGTGACGGGACGACCACCGCGGCCCCCCCGGGCTGCCCAGGGAAATCGGGGACTTCTCAGGGGCAGACACCGCGAAAATAGCGGGGGAGATGAAGCGAGGGGGGGGTTGGCGACCCCGCGAGGCGCTCCCGCTACCGAACCGCTGCCCCCTCGCACACGGGACCCAGGAGCCCCCTCGGGAAGCGGCCGGGAGCCAGCAGCCGCCCCCCCCCCCAAGGCTCCAACGCCCCTACAGGGCCTCCCCCCGCCCACCCCAGCCCCCCCGGGCCGCCCCCAGCTCCTCTCCGCGCCTCCCGTTGCTGCCCCCCCCCCCGCAGCCGGTGCCCCCGGAGCCCCCCGGCAGCTCCCCGCTGCTCCTCCCGGGCCACCGGGGGGTGCTCAGAGCCCCCCGCACCCCCCCCCCCGGGCACCACCTCCAGAGGGGAGGCAGGGGGGGAGCCGCACGGCCCCCTCCTCACGGGGCCGCCTCACCCCGGGGAACCGGAGCGAGAAACTCAGCCGGGAGCCGGGCACAACACGGGGGGCACCGGGGGGTAACGGGGGGCACCCAGGGGCCTCCCCCGGCCCCAGCCCCATCTGTGGCCCCCCCCGCACCGGCTGGGAGGCCGCAGGTGCTTCCCCCCCCCCCCCGCACCCCCCGGGGCCGAGGCGCGGGGAAGGCCCCGGGCGGCCTCACGGGGGCCCACAGCGGCCCCGAGCCGCCGGCAGCCGGGAGGGGTCGGGGGGGGGCCGGGGGGAAGCTCCCGCGGAGGGCGGCGACGAGCGGGGCCCGGCCCCGAGCCGCGGCCGGTAACGGCCCGGGGGGGGGGAGGGGAGCGGCCCCGGCCCCCCCCCGCCCCCCTTCACCTCCCCCCTCCCCGCCCGGCCCCGCCCCGCCCCCCCCGGGCCTACCTGCGGCGGGCCCCGGCTCCCGCCCAGCCCCTCGGCGGCGGCCGCTTCTCCTCAGCCACTTCCTGCTTGGCCCGCGCCCCCCGCCCTGCGCCGCCGGCCGCTGGCGCCCGCCCCCCCGGCGCCGCGCTATTGGCCGCGCCTCCCGTCACTCCCCGCCCCGCGCCCTCCCATTGGTCGGCGCCGCCGTCGCTCGCGGGAGATGGCGGCCGCGCGCACTCGCCATTGGCTGAACGCGGGGCGACTCGGGAAAAGGAGGCCGCCCCCCGCGGGCGCGCCTATTGGGGGACGGGGCAGCCATTCAAAGCCCGGTTCCGCCCACGCGGCTCGCCTATTGGCGAGCGATGCCGGCGCGCCTGCGGACAGCGAGGACTCCGATTGGCTGACGGGTCACGTTCGTCAAGCCAGCCCGCCTTCCCTCTCTCGCTATTGGCTAGAGCGCGCCGCCCTTCCAGCCGGGATCCTCGCAGCCATTGGCCACAGCCGTCATCGCTCAGGCCGCCGCCCGCTCGCTGCGTCCCTACTGAACCAGCGGCCTGCCCATCAGAGCGAAGCCCGCCCCCCGCAACCCCCCATTGGCTGCCCGCCCCGCCCTTCCACTTGCTGTCGCACCGCCCACCCCTCCTCCAGGCTTCCGCCCCGCCCACCCCTCCCCAGAGCCCGCCCATTGGCTGCCCCCGCCGCCCGTCCGCCGAGCCCCGCCCCCTCCCCGCCCCCCCCCCAAGCACTGCCAGGCGGCTGCGGTCGGCCCTTTATTGGCGCGCGGCGCGGGGCGGGGGGCGGGGCTTATCCCGTCACTTCCGGTCCTCCTCCTTCTTCTCCTTGCCGTCCTTGGCGGCCTGCGAGGCCAGCGAGCCCATGGCGTTGCGGATCGCCTCGTTGTTGGGGTCCACGCCCGGGAGGTTCTCCAGGACGCTCTGCAGGAACTCGGGGTCCTGCATCACGTCGTAGTCGTCCTCCTCCTGCGGGGCGGCGGCGGGCGGGCAGCGGGGGGGGGGCGGCACCGGGCGGCCGGGCCCAGCCCCAGCCCCAGCCCCCCCCGCTGTGACCCCGGCCCCTCCCAGCCCCCGCCCGGCCTCACCTTGGGCGGCTCCGAGGTGTCCATGGCCGCGCCGCCGTCCGCCTCCACCGCCTCGGCCTGCGCGAACTCTGCGGGACGAGGGGGCAGCGGGGTGGGACCCGCCCGGGGGGGACCCGGCCGCAGCCCCCCGTGCGCGGGGACGGCCCCGGTTGGGGCACGGAGGGGTCCGGGAGCTGCCCCCCCACCCCCCCCCCAAGGGGCCTCACCTGCCCCCTGCAGCGACATCTGCATGGCGTAGGCGATCTGCTCCTCCTCCGTCATGCTGCTCAGGTCGGGCAGCCCGGCGCGGCCGAACTCCTGCTGGGTGATGGTCATCTTCAGCAGGGCATCGTCCGAATCTGCGCACACAAAGCCCAGACTCACAACCCAGCACCAAACCCCCCGGTGCCGCGCCAAACCCTTCCCGTCCCCCCCCCAACCCCCAGGGAGTTGTGGCAGCAGCCGACGAGGCCCCAGCCCGAGCCCTGCCCAGCATTCGGGGCAGAGGCTGCCTCCCACATGGCACCCCAGCGGCTGCCGAGCTGTGCAGGGCTGTGCCACAACCAGCGCCCGCTTCCCAAGGCGCTGGGGCAGCCCCACGGCCCTCACACATCCCGCCCCCCCAGCCCAGCCGCTCACCGTCCCCGCCGGTGGCTGCAATCCCAGCTTCAGCTGCAGAAGCGGCCGCAGCCCTCCTGGCCTCCTCCTCTTGCCGCTGCCTCTGCTCCTCCATGGAGACGCGCAGTGCCTGCGGACACGGGGCCGGGCCCGGCGCTGAGCGGGGCGCCCACAGGGACCCCCAGCTGTCCCCTGCCCGGCGCAGTGCGTGCAGCCGCTGCGGCCCCATCTCACCAGAGCCAGCTCCGGGTCGGCACTCGGGTCCACGCCAAACTCGAAGTCACTGGCGCCGAGGCCCAGCATGGCGCCTCCCTCCCCGGCCAGGATCGGGGAGCTGATGAGGGCATCGGCCAGGCTGGGCCCCGGTGGCACCGTCACCAGGTGGGAGCCGGTGCCGTCCTTGCCGTTCAAGGTGTTGATGAAGGCCGTCAGCTTGTCTGTGTTGGCTTCCTAGGGCAGGGAGAGGGGCTGGGAGCTCTTGTGCTCTTCCCTCGTGTGCCCAGGTAGGAGCCAAGGGCCCGAGGGAATGCAAAGCCTGGATCTTAATCCCATGGGCGCAGCACACATCTCACCTCTTCTCCAAAATTGATGATGTCCACGTTGACTTTCTCTTTCTTAAGACGCTTCGCCAGCTTCACCAGCTGCAAGGAGACACGGCAGCACCAGCTGCTGACTGCCCACAGCTCTCTTACAGACACCTCAGCTCATCAGGAGCCAGGCAACAGCTCCCGGGATGTGCTCCCCGAGACACAAAGCCCAGGATCAGCCTCCCAGTCTCAAACCCTCCCAGCCGAGAGCCACTCTGCCAGCAAGGGGCTCTGTCACACACCCTCTGTGCGGGGGCACAGAGCCTTGCTCTCAGCACAGGGCAGGGAACAAAAGGGAAATCTGATTTAAGGTTCAGTGCAGAGCAGGGCCAAAGGCTTTTTTTTTTTTTTTTTTGACTGGCACTACTCACATCTTTCTCGTTATCTTCTACAGGGCTCCCAACAAAGGCAATGATCCGCATCTTGTGATTTTTGCCTTGACGATGCTTCAGAGCCAGCTACAAAACAAAAGTCACATCGCACTGAACAAGAAGCTCTGGGGAAAGGACGGCCGGGAGGCACCCCTGTTACTTCCAAGTGGGTGGCCTGCAGGAAGACTGGGACCAAACGCCAGGAGGCTTCTCAGCAGCAAGTGGCCCCCAGCCTGAAGCAGCTGAGGGGCAGGCGCCCTGCAGGAAGCTAAACCCACAGCGACAGAAACAAAGCGGCAGAGATCACTGGGCTGCGGGCAACACGCAGCTCCTCCTCCCCCCAAACCCACAGCCAGGCGGGCCCTGCTAACACCTCGGTCACAGCGCTGCGCCGCTCGGCCTGCGGTGACGCTGCTGGGAGGGACCTTTCTACCAGCCAGAGTTCTAACAGTTCTTTCTCAGTAGCTGGTGACAAACCGAGTGGGATTACACCACTCGTGGCCAAATTCCAACAGGGGCAGTTTCGAGCCACCTGCCTAAATTCAGTTTTCACTTCCAGATGCCATTTTGACAGCTTCAGCTGCTGCGCAGTGTGGCCAGAGCCCTGTGAAGCAGCTGCCAGGTCCCTCTGAAGCGAACCCCCAGACCTAAACTTTGGGTTTTCCTGTTGGATCTTACACAGCAAGTTTCATCCACACTTTGCAGACAGGGAAACAGCAGCAAAACCAAACAATTTGCTCCTTACTCAGCTGTAGAGGCAGGAACAGAACAACTTCCCCATGCCCCAGCCATCAGCAGGACACACCAAGGCCGCAGGAGTTACAGAGCACAGTGCAGACACAGTTCTAAGTGACCAAGACGACCGCTTACGTGAGCGACTCTGATCCCTGTGCAAAAGGTAATTTTCCCTTTGGGCTGCACCGTGTGGAGCTTCGAAAGGATCCGTCCTGTGTCTGGAGTGAGCGTGGTCAACACTTCACAGTTACTGCAACACAAACACAGGCAGGTTGGTGATCTCATACTTGAGAACTCCCCTGTGAACCCCCCCCCGGGAGCAGGAAACCCTCCCTCCCCGCAGCTGGTGCCTGCTCCATGTCTGCCAGCTCTTGGCTTTGCCAGGTCAGCGAGTTCTGGGGCCAGACTCGTAGCCTGGTTTCCTACACAAACGAGGCATGTAACGGGTCTGTGCAAAGGCTGCTTCCCCAGCCCACTGGCCAGCTTGAATCAACTCTGGCCAAGAGGGAGTTCAAAAAGGCAGCAAAGTCCTACAGACCTCAGAAGAGCCGAGGAACAAACAACCCCCTCAGGGCTGCCGTTAGTTGCAGCCACCACTCTGCCCGTATTTGCCACCCTCTGGGACCCAAGGCCGCAAAAGGATGGGTCCGGAGGGGAGCTCCCAAGAGCCACCCAAACACTTCAGCGTGGCGATGCAGGAGCAAGCCTGACCCCACGTACTTGGCTAAGGTGATGAGCCCCACGTTGTTCTCGGGGTTGCTGCGGGTTTTCGAGTGGCATACGATGTTGACAGCATCTTGCTGGGCTTGCAGGCGAGTGGGTAAGAAGTCCCCATTCCTCATGTACTCGCTGTTGTCCACGCTGAAACACAGAGCGCAGGGGAAGCGAGAGGCCTGAGGCCCATCCCTGAGGTGCTTTCCAGGACAGCGCACCCAGGGTCACGCAGCCCTTCAGCCCCGGGAGCTGAGCTGGGGCTGCACCTGCGATCCCAGGTTTTCAGCTCAGAGCCAGCCCTGGGCTCACAGCAGCACGAGGAGCCCAAGCGGAGCCCCAGGAGCCTGCACTTTGCCAGCAGCACCACGAGCCCCACAACCCAGCAGGACCCCAGCCGCAGGAGAGGTGCAGGCACACAAACCCCACGGCTCCGTCCTGTGCGCAGGCAGCAGAAGCCCCACAGCGTCTGGCTGAGGGCTGCAGCCACAGCACAGCGCCCCTGGAACCGGGCCCCCACCCCCCACCCCCCCGCGACCCCAAAAGGCAGGGCTGCTTCAAAGATGAGCCTGAGAGCTCGTTCCAGCCCCACAGCACGACCTCCCCACGGGGTGCTCCCAGAGCGTTTTTAGCTTTAAGACCGGGGGAATGTTTCTCCTGCAGAGCCGGCTGGCTGGCTGAGACCCTTCCCCAGCCACGTTCCAACACAGTCAGCACACGGGGGGCTGGCAGCGGGCAGGGGCTGGCGGCGCCTCCTTCAAACGGGCGTGGGGTACGCAGGGAGCTAAGGACCAACGGACCCCGCGCGGATCTCACCCTCCCCACCCCCATCGAGGCCTTTGTTGGCACCGACACCGCAGCGGGCCGGGCCCGAGGCGCTGCTGCGATGACAAAACGAACCGCGGGGTCAGCCCCGCAGCTGCGGGCAGCGCTGCCCCCCCCCCGACCCCCCGGGTACCCCCCGGGCACCCCCAGCGCCCCCCTCAGCCCCCCCCAGCCCGGGCCCTGCCCCCCCCAGCCCCCGCCCCGCTCCCCCGGGGATGACTCAGGGAAACCCGCGGCGGCCCCGGCCGCCCCCAGGGGCACGGAGCGGGCTGCGCCGCGGGGCGGGGGCTGGAGGGGGAGGTCGGGAGGCGCCCCCGGTGCCCGGCGGTGGCCGCGGGCCGCTCACCACACCATGGTGCTCTCCAGAACCATCTTGCCTCCCTTCCCTCACGGAGGCCCTGGCCGGCTCAGCAGGGAGCTCGCCGATTGGCTCCGCGGCGCCGCCCAATCCCTGCCGCCCGTCTTGGAAAGGGCGGGGCGGGGCGGCCCCCCCGAGGCACGCCGGGAGTTGTAGTCGCGGAGGGGTCTCGCCTCCTCCGGAAGCTGGGCCCCGCCCGGCGCCTCAGGCAGAGCCCCCCAGGTCCCCCCAGAGGCAGGAGCCCGGCCCCGTCGCTCCCTTTGTTTGTTTGTTTGTTTAAATAAATAAATTAAATAAATAAATAAATAAATGTTTGTTTGTTTGCACCCCCAGCGGGTCACATCCCAGTTGTTCCAGCCCCTGCCAGGGATGGAGCGAGGCTGCCCGGGCCTCTTCTTGCCCTTTTTGGCCGGAGGGCCGTTTGTTTGCTTCCCTCCAGCCCTCAGCCCTTTCCCCTTCCCCACGGCTCACCCAACACACCAGACTGTGGCCCAGCACCGACTTTCCCCGGCTCCCTCAGATCCCACCAGGACCCATGGATTTACGGCTGCCCAGCTCCCGTAACGCGGCCTTGACCCGGCCCTCACCAGCCCAAACTGCTCCAGTCTGCCTTCCTCCGGGGCACACGGGGCTCCTCGGGCCAGCCCCCGGCATTACAGCCAGAGACAAAGGAAGCCCCCGCGTGCTGCGGGCCCCTTGGCCACCGCCACCCTCTCCCTGCCCACCCCGGCCCCCCAGAAAGCAGGCTCAGAGGCAGGCTGGGTCAGGTCACACGCTGTATTAGCTGCCACGCAGGGCAGCGGGGCTGCAGGCATCACAGACAGCCGATGACAACAAATGGTACATGGGTAACATGACAATGTCCACGACACGGCACGAGCTGCTCCATGGGGACAGGTCCAGGCGGCGAAGCGGTGCCGGTGGCGATGCCAGAACCGAGGGCGAGCAGGGCAGGAGAGCCTGGGATCCCGGCTGCTCCCTGCTCTTGCCCCGTTGGTAAGACCCAAAGCCCCCTTCCCCGCCAGAGAAAAGCCACGCGAGGTTTCAAAAGACAAAAGCAGTTGCCTGCCACTTTCAATCGCAAAAAAAAATAACAATAGCAGTTATTCTGAAAACCCATTACAAAGCAGAGGTTGATAATTCCCATATATAAATGCCACCCCCCACCCCCATCTCCCTACTCACTGAATAACTATCCCCAGGAAAAAAAAAAAAAAAAAGAAAAAAAAAAAAAAACATTTAAATACAAGTTCATAAATATTAAATCATGAAAAAATTGAGACTTGGTTTTCTTCCCTCCTGGTAAAAAAAAAAAAAAAAAAAAAGAGTTAGGAGGGAAGGTAAGAAACAGTGTCTAATATAGACAGTTATTTCAGCTATAAAGTGTAACCTGCGGGGTAGAGTCAGAGGTAACAGGGAGGGAGAAAGGAAGATCCACCCGAGGTGTCCCGGAACCGATCTTTCCTCCCACCCACAGGTCTCGCTGGGACGATGATTGGTGTCGAGAGGTTTGAGAGCCCTTGAGAACCCAACAGCCAGCTTCCGAGCAGAGGCTGTTCTCACACTCCAGCAAACCCCTCTGGATCCGGATCATCCGGAGTAAGGCCATTCCACTTGGTCTTTCAAAAAAAAATTTTTTAAAAAGAAGTTTTTTCTTAAAAAATATCAGCTTGCGTCACATCCACTTTAATTAAAAGCTTGAAGTGGAAGGTGGGAAGAGACTTGGCTCTGAAACATCAACTAAAAACATCCCCTTCTACACCACTACATTCTTGGTTTCCTTAGCAATCATTGCTAATTAGCATAGAAACCCCTTGCACTGCTGCAAGGGCAAACTTTAAATTACTTTTTTATATAAAAAAGAACAGAGGATTCTAACCCACCAGGAACATGGGGAAGAGTCACTTCGTTTCTTAAAAAAGCATTTAGTGAAAATAAAGATCAGTCCAACATCTCTGAGATCTCTAGGAAGTGTCTGCAGCCCGTGTCAGGGAGGCGTCGCCACAGCCTCATGCACAGGGGGAATGGCCACGACAGAACCATGCCTCCAGCTTTATTTTTTTCTCTAAATGGGGCTCAAAATGCACCGCACTCTTGTGGAGGCAGACGTCTGTCTCAGCGCACACAGCAGGCAGCCGTTTAGGCAGGTATCTCCATCCTGAGCCATCGAGAGCATCGGTGCCACGCACGGTTCTGCACGGCTGGCCAGGCTGCAGGCGGAGATATCAAAAGGGAGCCGAGCTATAAAAACCGTAAGTTTTGCCAGCGGTGCCCACAACAGAACGTAACAGCAGGCTGGAGGGCAGGGAAGGGAACCGAGCAGGCTAGTTTTGGTCCATTTGCTTAAGAAATACTGAAGGCTTTAAAAAGTGTGCCCGTTACAAAGATCTCCCTCCATCAGTTACTTTGAGGGGAAGCAAACACGGCAGGGACAAAGACACTCATTTCAAGAACAAGGGACAACGCAATCCAAAACCTCCCTGACATCTCAAAAGCTTTCATCTTCAAAATCCTCCAGGCTAGGGAGCACAACAGAGCACCCCTGCTCTCCACCTCGCTGTCTCAGGAGACGACTGCCACCGGGAGCAGGTACCGGGGAGAGGGCTCCTTGCGGTCAGCGCCCCTCGCTGCCTCTCACCCGGGGCATTTTCTGGTAGAACACTGAGAAGCTTATTTATTAAAAAAGAATGACTATACTGCAGGACTAAAAAGAAGTGATATGACTGAATTCAAGGAAACTTTTAAATTAAAAACTCGTTTAAAATACAAAACAAAACCACACTGCTCTGTCGCAAACTGCCCCGCTGAGCTTCTAATGCCCGTTTCCCCCCAGAACTCGGAAGAGTTGCCTGTTCTTGCAAGGTTTGTGGTGTTGGCATCACAAGTAGATAACTCCCTGAAAGTCAGATCCCTTTTCCAGAGGCCTTCAGCCCATGTGGAGCAGCTCCTCCTCCTCCCAGCAGCCTGCTTTGCTCCTGCCAGGCTTCAAAAGCAAGGAGGACAGGGGGGACACAGCGGCGCCTGATGCGCTCTGCAGTAAGGAGACTTCAGGCATCCTGAGGCTCAGCTGTGCTGGCCCAGCCTCATATAACACTACCTCGCTATGTGTAACCCAGCCTTCCAGCTTTTAGGTTTCAGTCCAGATAAAGTTTCTAAAATAAAAAAAAAAAAAGTCAGCAACGGGGGCTGAAGGTTTGTCAGACTCCAGACCACGCAGAGCACAGAACCATCTGCTTCCATCGCAATGGCCTCGGTGTTGCCTCACTGAAAAGAGAAAAGAGGGGAGATGCTGAGGAAAAGCAGCAGAGATTTCCTGACTGGTCTGCTGAACTTTCTCCACCCCGGGAGAGGCAAAGCAAATGGGGATGCTGAGCTCACTCCTGGTCAGGCTTTCCCAAACCAATGCCTTACACTAACACAGGAGGGGCTGTGAGTGTGTCCTCCCCCGCTAGGACAGCAAAGTCTGGGTCAGCTTCACCCACTTTTATCTCTGCCGCCCAACCCACTCTTGGCCCTTGGAAAAGAGAAAGGTCTCTGCTTTGCCTCCCACCTTATCTAATGTAAGGCTTTAGGGGTAGCAGATTATCACTAAGAGGATGAACAGTGCCCAGCACAAGGCAGACCGAGCCGTCACATACCGGAGGAAAACGAACACGTGTTTCCTGCTCCGGTCGCTTCTCACCCACACAGCTCCACACCTGTGCTCCCAGCACCTCTGGGGAGCAGCAGAACCAGAGCCATGTGGCCTGTCACTGCCCACCCACCTACAGCCCTGCTCACACCCTCCTCAGAAGCACAGTACTCACGAAGCTTATCTCCGTCTCCTGCAGGTCTTCGAACTGTTCCCTCAGTTCTGAGGAGTGCTCGGGTATTGAAGGCCCTGGGGAGCCGCTGGGGAAACAGAAGGGGGAGACCTGTAAAGCAGTTTATAAGAATGAGCTGTCAATAAGTCACATTTCTTGGTTGCCCTGCTGCACCCAGCACACTGGATCCCAGCACGTCACAAAGGCTTTGTTAGGCAGGTTTAGTACAGAGTCACAGGCAACACGATCCTTGCAGGGCCAGGCACCTGAAACAACACCTAGAAAAATCAAGCCCCCAGTCCAGGTGACTTCATACATCAGGAACAAGCACTTTTTGTCAGCAATTCTTCACACAAGTCCTCAGGCACCTCATCAACAGGAAAATGCTCCCGGGTGGAAACAGTCCAGGGTCAAAGTATCCACGAAGCACCGCAGAACAGCAAGCCTCAGCCTCTACAGGCAGAGGCACCTCTGTTTGAAACAGCCCCTGGCAAACCTCTTGTGCAACAACGGTGAGCTACGTCGTGCTTGCAGGATGCATCACCGTGTGCACACAGCGCCTGTCAGGACACAGTGCACAGAGAAAAGGAGCCCCTCTAAAACACAGACCGACAACCCCTGGAACTCCTTGCCAGGGACGCGGGTCAGCAGCCGATGCTCACAGCAGCACGTGGTGCTTCAGCTCCTCACACACCGCGACGCTTCTGCCAGAGCCGGGCTGTCCCAGCCCCCCTGCCCTTCCCAGAACCAGGGCAGGCTGCTGGCAGCCCCCTGCATACCGAAGGAAGTCTTCCTCCCTCGTTCAGCATCACGCCCTCCTCTGCAGCTTCGGGGTTTGCAGCCAGCAGGTGCTCGGCCCCAGGATGGGGGCGGTGGTGCTGGAGCAGTCACCGGGCCCAGCCCAGGCAGCCGGGCAGGGAGAGGCAGCCCCGCCAGCACCCAGCACCCCGGGGGGAACCCACGCCTGCGCGCTCCGCTCACACCACCACAAAGGGCACGGCTCCAGCACACAGGCTGCGCGTGGCCACAACAGGGAGGCAGCCACGAGGCTGTGTGAGCACCCCCGGGAAGGCTGAGCTCCTCCTTAAAGGCAGGATCCTGCCTGCCCCCCCCGCCTGCTCCTTCAGGTGGGCTCCCTCCCCTTCGCACAGGGCAGGGATTTAAGAGGTCACCTCCCCCCCAAGGAGTGGTAAACACCCCACTAGACCAGCGGATTCTGTAGAGAGGGAAAATTCCTTTTTAAACCCTTTCAACAAGTTACATCATTAACAAAAAATCAGTAATTTGCAAATTGCTTCCATTTTCAGGGTTTGCAGAGCTTTACAGCTCTCCCACAACCACACAAGTGGATTTAAGCCTCTGACAACAGGCTCAACGCGGGGAGCTCACAGAGCCTAAGGCCCTAAAGATCCCACATGGGAGAAAACATGAGCCTGCTCCCTGTCCTCGATTTCAGTACCTCTACCTGTTGACACTTTTTTTGCTGGCAGAGAGTAAGCGAGCACGTGCTCGAGTGCCTGCAGGGTACGGGAAGCGGTGTGCTCGGCCCCAGAGGCACTGGGACAAACACAGATCGGGCTTGGCACCCGGGGAACCACCCAGGGCTGAGCTCGGAGGAGCTGCAGGGCTGATCCCATACACCAGACCACAAACAGCGCCAGAGCCACGAGCTGCAAGGACTCCATCTGGAGAGGTTTTACCAACGAGCCTCACAGACACGCCGAGGATGGCCGAGTCTTCGCACAGGGACCCACCCTGCTACAGTGCCGCATTTTGGGAGCAAATCGTACAGAAACTGTAACCACTGGCCAGCAAAAAACACCAGGCCACATCTCCGGGTACCTCTCCCTGAACACACCCTCCAGACAGGTTTCAGGCAGTCTGGGTCCTCCCCTCACCTAGGCAAGAAGATGCCGGTAGCTGCTCTAGTCAAATCCTTTGCTGAGCTGTCAGCTTTATGCACTTGTACGCCCACTGACCTACGTAGAGATTGAAGGAGAGAGACCTGCAGTTAAGTAAAAAGAATGCCTCAAGCATGCTGATGTACTGGAAAGGAGCAGCTCTGGTTTCGGATCCCTAATGAGAAGTTTCCAGGTTTTACAGAGGGAATAAAAGGTGTTAATTACAAATTTATCTCGTTCTCCTGCAGCTCAGGACAGAGCAGCACTTTGATCAGTGCCATGATGCAGGACAATGTGTCAGGAGTGATGAAGATAGATGGTTTATGATCGCTTCCAAGGAAGAGAAGTTAACACCTCAGAAAAACTTCTGTGCAAGGGATCGTTCTCTGACCACAGCTCCTCCTCGTACTCTTCGACCACTTCAGCAACACACAAAACATTCACAGGCAGCCATCCTCTCCCTCACAGCTCTCCATGCACTTCAGCTCCTGAGGTATTTTGCACTGTGCCTGCACACATCCCTGCAGCCTCCTTCCCTGAGGAGCTGCAGGAGCTCCACGCTCTCCAAATCACTAAGTGGTGAGAGAGCCCAACGCTCTGAGAAGTGCAGCAAGGCAGCTGGGTCACTTTCAGTACCATCCATCACCACGTTCAAGTTCTTCCAGTACATTCTGGCAGTGCCACTTCCACCAACTCACTTCAACCAGCACAGTTATCTCAGCTCCAGAACAAAGCCATTAAATACAGAACGCACAAGGGACTAAAAGCCACTGGGACCCCCGCACAGCCCAAGCAGAAGATGCAAGATCACGTCGTCTGCAAAAGACTGCACGCAGGAACGGTGACAAAATGCCCCCCGAACATGCTTGAACTGACAGAACTGAACTTGCCCATCACCACAGAAGGACCACTCGAACGGGTATTTCCGCAAACATGCCAAAAAACTAAGCACCACAAAGCAGCACAGAGCCCCCCTGTGGCTCATGAACCTGACTCACAGGAGCTGCTGGCCCGCCATGCACCAGAACAGCGAGAGCCTTACCTGTTTGCAGGCGAGTTGAGGCCTCCGCTGCCCAAGGAAGAAGTGGACAGGGTCGTCGCGACGGAATCGCTGTTAGCTTCATCTACTGGCAGAGTCCTGGGCAGGAGATCTGGACGACCAAGGTGGGAACCTGAGTTGAAGCACAGACTGTTCCATCACCAGAACACACTAGCCACGGGTCAGGATCTGAGCTGGATCCCATCCGAGACATCTAAGACATTTGAGCACTGAATAAACAGCCCTGCCTTCAGTTCTCTGCTTGGAGTCTGACGCTCCACAGGCCTGCCTAGCCCAACTGACCTAAATCCCATGGCATGTGCTGTTGGGAAGAGACCAGACACCTGAGACTGCCGTACAGCCTCAGCCCAGTTTCTGGCACCTATGAACCCAGAAAACAGACCCTGCCCCTAGCAGGACTGCAGAACCACACGGAGGCGTCTTGCACAGCTCAGGAGGCAGAAAGCTTTGATTAGACAAATACAAGCTGAAAAAGAACTTTGCTAGGATTTTTATTTTTTTTTGCACCCAGGTACCAACCTTGCTCTACATCCACCTCTGTCGTTACTTGTGCTTTTGTCTCACATGACATGTGTGACTGGAAAGGCACTCCTCCCTGACAGCTTCGACGAGGAACTGCGGTGCCAGACCGGCTCTTCTTAGAAGGGGATGGCTTTACTTAAAGACAAAGAACAAGGCAGCACTTTAGTAACACCCCGTACTCAGGAAGGAGTAAAAGACCTGACACAGCAACTTTCTGGTGACAGAGACTGGAACGAGGGCTGTACTCTGAAGGAACATTTTGATGGAAGAAACAGCTCCTATAATGTCACATTTGTGAGGCAAGAACAATCTAGGTGGAAGAAAGAGGTGACATAGCACAGCAGACTTCCTAGAGGTCTTATATGCTGTCATTCACCTTCCCAAACCACAGCTGCTGCGCAAGAAGCCAGAAACAATGGCAACTGCCAGGGGTACGCCTGCACAGAGGTACTTACGTGGTATTTTCTTGAATGCTGTGTTGCACATGAACCGTTGGAATCTTTCGGCATAGAAGCTGGGTCTGTGCACAGACACAGTGTCCTAAAAGGGATAAACATTAACACGTGAATCTTAATTAGTAAGGGATTATAGTTAACACGAGCTTCTTTCCCACTGCTAACCTTGACACATGCTACATTGGACTAGGAACAGTCGGGTTCTCACAGTGCCAAGAGAGCTGTGAGAAACAGATTAGAGTTCTGCCTTATATACAAAGCAATCGATATTTGTTAAGAAATAAGTGGATGAAAAGCATTAACAAATCTGACACTACCTAGAAAATACTACTTTTATTTAAAAGGCAAATACACGTGCTCCTTAGGAAACCAGGATCCTGTGCGCAGTGAGCTGGTATTATTGAAAAACAAATTAAACTGTGGAAGTTTTTACTCCTTACCCCGTCGTGTACAAGGGCCTTCCAAGAATGCTCTAGCTTCTTGACAAATCTGAAAAGGAAAGAATTCAGAACAATTTCCAAACCAATCCATGTATGATGTAACGCTCACTCATTACTGAGCCTGCCTTTTGACAGCAGTGGCAAACACCCCAAACAACTGACTGCTCTGGCTTTAGATTCTCTCCATTGTCCCACTCTGCAGCTGCCGGGGCTGCCCGAACAGCTCACTGTCCTGCACTGCTTTCCTGTCCCTGCTGCGCGGTCCCAGGCTTCCTTTACAACAACTTTGCTCACTGCATCTGTCCGAGAGGTGACTCAGCTCCCTAATTCAGCAGAAAACTGTCTTTGCAGGGTGAGTGAACGGAGTGACCCTGAGGGAGGGTTCAGAAAGCACCAGAGTCAGCACAAGACAAGAGAACTAGCGCTGGGCCATCAGCACAGCCGTGGTAGAGCAAGCCCTGTGCCCTCAGAGCTGTTGGAACAGCACCTCACACCTTGTGAAACCGCAGCTTCAGTGTTTTGGGGCAGAGTTGGGGGGCAAGTGGAGAGTTTCACAGGCGTAATTAACACGGATAGTTAACTTGCTATGACTTTTAACAGACTCTACGTATGTAACTTCCTGTATATTGCATTTGAATATAAATAGAAGGTAAGCCTTACACCTATTTTTACTTTCATAGGGAGAAGTGGTTATGGCCATTTTAAGCCACCACTACTTTTTCCCTCGCCACTTCCTGCACAGTGCCTGTGCACAACAACCACAGCATACAAAAAAAAAAAAAAAAACACTTCATGAGAGTAAATCCATTCTGGGAACATGAAATAAGTATGGTAAACAAGGCCTGGAAAGCAATCCCCAAAAGCCCAACTTCAAGAAAATAAAAATAAATGAAGGTGGTTAATAAAACATATTTTTTTCTTGAAAGCCAGTCCTGACAAACAAGCAGGGACAGACAATGCTGTGAAGTGATTTTCACTCTTAGGTGATACGCAGCCATTACTCAATGTCTCTTACCTGTAGGACTGCAGCACATCAATGATGCCAATGTAAAGGAGCAGTCTCTCGCCCTTCGCATTACGGGCTGGAATGCCTCCCATCCTAGAAGAAGACAGAGCACAAACATGAAACAGGGTGTTCTCACACCCTGCTGCCTCTCTCAGGCTGCCTGGCGTGGGCTGAGTATTATGCAAACTATTTAACAAGCATCAACACGCAGGAGGCTCCTCCTGTTCAGCTAACAAATTGGGGAAAACGAATCAGAGCAGAACATTTCAGTAAGTTCACTAAACCTCCCGAGAACTGCCCCCCTTTCCTGTCTGTATGCCAGTCTTACTGAAGACGAGGATTAATCCCAACTCCTTCAGGAGAAGAGACCAAGCAACTGCAAAGAGCACTGACCACCATCCATACCAAAGATGGCAACTGGACTTTATGGGCTGTTAGTCTGATCTAACAAAGCAATCACTATGCCTCTTGGAGACAGATGGATATTAGCTATCTGAAGCTGCCAAAAACTGGTGAGCAGAGAACTCTCTAAGCCACCTGGAAGGCCAAAAGATCTTTTGCACATTAAGGAAGGGAAGTCAAAGCCAAAGCTAAAGCACAAGAAGATTTGATATTGAGAATTCTCTGTCCAGCAATCCTACAGAGCCCAGTCTGCATCTAAATGAAGTCTCCATTAGGCAAGCTTGGGTTTTACTCCTCGCTCTTGACAGTACCTCAGTGAGAACAGCAACACTGACACGAACTTACTGGTCATCTGTCTCTATGGTGCCACCTCGCCGGGCCTCTCCTTGGATGGATTCCATGGCCGTGGAGTAGAGGGCCTTCTGGGCAGCGGGTCGCCGCGTATCGGCCTGAGACGTGCCATCTGCCAAGGCGTGCTCTCTCTGTGCCAGATCAATGTTATGGATTGCCACAAGCAAGCTATAATCCATGATTTTAAAACTCTGCAGGACCTGGGCAGAAAGTCAACGAAGGCTCATTCAGTACTGCAAGCCCAGGGAAACTGTCAGAGCAGACATTTGCAACGGTGCAGTCAGCATTTCTGCCTAGAGCCCCGAGTGTATAGAGGGGATGACTTTTAATCCATTGCTTGTGCACACTCAGCTCATCTACAGATGCCAAAGGGAGTTACAGGAAAACCACTGCTATTCCTCCTCTGCAGAAAGAGACCAAAACCCGGGGACACCACTGATTTTTGCATCGCTGCTCAGAGGCAGCTCACAGCTTGAGCCCAGGCTCAGTCAAGTCTCCTGCCCCTCTCCCCAGATCCTGCCCTGCTCCACAGTGCAACCCGAGCAGAGGGAGAGGAGACACTGCTTCTGTCCTCTGCCTCTACGTACAGAGCTGTGTGCAACTGGGCTCCAGGTCTTCTTGTCCCCACCACCATGGAAAAACAAGTTCTCTAGTCAACACCCCTGGTAGAGACTACGAGAATGACAGCTGCCACCCCATTTTTAATGGAAAAGGCTCAGAAAAAGGAAAGATCTCTCCATACTACTCTTCACCCCTCCACTTACCAAACAGTCTCTCTGTAACGTTTTGCACAGAGCGTTATACATGTCTGAGTCTAAGAAGAGGCCATCAGGGATGTCCTGCATAAAATCCAAGTCCTTGTATGTTGGGAAGACCTTCTCCCGTTCCTTCTGGGATGCTCGGCGTTTGTAGGTGGAGCCCTTCAGGTCGTATTTCAGGTGCATTTTCACAGAGCGTGGCAGAAGGTTGTTCATCACAACAATCCGAATGTTTTTGCCCCCAGCTTGGACACAGTATAAGCCATAAAACTTTGGCAGCAGCGTCCTTGGGTTCTGGTTCAAGTTCTAAAGTGCCAAAAACACAAATACCTTCAAAGCCATCCTGGTTATTCACATGCTATTCAGAGGATTTATTTGCTCCTTCCTGTGCTTCTAAGCTGAAATGGAAATGGCAATGATTCAAAGCCATCACCAAAGAAGCTAAGAGACATGAGCAGGTGAGCATGGGGAACAGATGGGTGATGCCTACTGCTAATAACCTCTTTGCAAAGCTGAATGGGTCAGATAAAGCTTGTAAACGCAAGAGGAATTTGCTGCTCACTCACACAGAAGCTAAGCTGGGGAGGCCGCAGGGCAAAGGATGATCTTGTGCTTAGCCATTTTAAATTTGGCACTTAGGTCAAGCTAAGTACATCAGGACAAACAGATCAAAACTGTCATGGCTGTGGAAGACATTAGACAGAATTTTGAAGATAAACAATGTGTTTTTGAGGTATAATCAGAGCAAAAGTATTTGTGGGTTCAGAAACAGTTTAGAGAATTCAGTTAATGGCTCCAACAGCATCAAAAGTCCTAAGGCACTTCTGTAAGGCAGGGCTGTCTAAACTCCCCTTTACAGAGGTGCCTTGAAAAGGTCAGGCTGTAAAAAGACATGAAGCAGTCGGATCACACACACATCACGCTTCAGGGTGGGATCTGATTTCTCTCCAAACTAAAAAAGCCTTTTTTTCCTGTAACTGCTTTCATAAAATTAACATGCCTTTACTCCCAATGCTGCTGCTTCCATATATAGAAACCTAAAATCAGAATCTACAGCGGAATACTTCAGCTTTGTAGACAGAACCAAGCATAATTCTGGTAAGGGAAACGTAAGTACAAGGCACCATTGGCGTAACACTGCAGAAAGGACAGCTCACAGCTGGTCACAAAGCCTGCAATCTTCTACAACCACCCAAGTCACTATGTGCAACGCAAGACTCCTACCCTAGTCTTGCGGTACCCAGGCAGTTTGTGTCCTTCAGTGACTGTCTGCCTCTGGACAGTTGAGACAAAAGCTGTCAGTCAGCTGAGGCACAGACCAAACCTCCACTCGCATCTACCAGGCAGCACATAGCACATTTGTACACAAGGGGGACACTTCCCTAGCTTCCAATGAAAGTCTCACCCCAGCGCCTTACCATATAGTAGCCAGGCAGCAGCTTCTGCAAGAACTCAGCCTCTTTGTGCTGAACTGTTTTGATGATAAACTCATCGTCACTGGATACATAGAAGAGGGATCCGCTGGCCCCGGAGTTAGAAAGTTCGATGAGTGGCTCACTACAGAGCGAGTACTGAGGAGAAGATGAGAAAGCAGAGGTGAAGGAGACATCAACGGAAAACTGCAGTGCACAGGCTCTTCCTTTTAAAGATCAACAGAGTCAAACCCCAGGGTCACAGACAGCATCCAGCGCTGTGCCTGCAGAGCACTCCACAGCTCTGAGGAGGGGAACACCCATCACAGAGCATGCAACAAATGGGAACCTGGTACAACCAACACCTTACCAGATAGTCATCAGGTCGGATCCCAAACAGCTCCCGGAAATAACGAAAGGCCACTGGAGCGTAGGTTTTGAACCGAAAGTCATTGTAGTGATGAGCCGGGGTCAGGTTGCTCCCTTCACTGATCAAGGACAGAAGGGCATACAGGTATTTGCATTTGTCAGGTTTCTTAAGAGACTACCCAAAAAGCAACCACCCACTGGCTGGCTGCCTCTAACACACTCAAGGGCCAAAAAGCACCCACCCAGGATGGACACAAGGATGCACGCACAACAGCAAGCCTGCAGTTGTTCACAAGAGCAAAGGTGCTCACATCTGGGGAAGAGCTGGACCTCTTCAGAGACAGGAGGTCACAGGCAGGTGTCAGAGCTGGTCCATAAGCAGCACATGGTGCGGCTCTGCTCAGGAGACCTGTGCTCACTCCTGAAATCAACTGCCCGGGTTTGGTGCCACTTCCTAACATGCAAGCAGGGCTAGGAACTAGTGCTGCTACGCACTACCAAAGCACGACACAGAAGAGAAAGCAAACACTCACCTTGGGAAGAAAATACTTTCTACTACGTAGAAATCTTGCATGAGAACATCTCTTTCAGGTTTGGTGCTCAAGCTTCCAACTGTGTGTGTAATGCCCAGCTGAATGGCACCTTTCAAGGCAGATGATGTCGTCTGGAGAGACAGAGAAAATGAGTCAGGCAACGCAAAGCAGCGGACTGGAAACAGGAATGAAAGGAGTTAAAAAGAAAAGGGAGCCCCAAGCTTAAAGCAGCACTGTTAAACTGGGGTATTTTACACCCATTAGTTCCAGTTAGGGTAGTTTTACACCTGATGGTTACAGCTTCCTTCATTTCCTTCCCAATGACCTGGATGCATTGTCCTATGGCAGTCTGCTCCAGAGAGAGGGTGCAGGACTGATCAGGCCCCAGCGTGCCGTGATGACAGGACACTGAAGCTGCTGCCAAACCAGTGAATAGCCCGCTCTGCCGGAGCGCCTCTACATCCCTGATCACATCCTGCTCGACTCCTGCACTCTACCTGAGCTGAAAAGGACTTGAACTATCAATACCCAGCTGGCCTTCAGAAGACTGAATTCCATTTCCTCCTCCCACAGCGCTCATCTGTACAACCTGCAGACAGAGAAGAAAGACTTCCAGGGACAGACTATCTCGTTCCCCTACAAATAAAGACACATCTTGTCACCGTAGCCTGCCAGGTCGTGGAGCTACACAGTTCAAAGTTTACCCTTCCCCAGCTTGGGCAGACTTAGGTCTTCTACAGGGCAAGGCAGGCAGGGCCAGCACACAATGCACACTTCTGTCTGCTGCCACCTCCTTCCTCTGACCTTGCTAGGTCGTGGCTCTTTAACCTTAAGCAGCTCACTGTCATTTAAAAATACAGAGCAAAGACACGAATCTCACTCCTGCATCCTGTGCACGAGCTGTCCGAGAACAATGCCAGACTGTGTTCTTGTAACAGCCACTTACATCAAGAGTCCTCTTCTGTCTGCACAGCACATGATCTCATCTCAGGCCACTGAGACGTGCTTCAGTCTAGCTCATGCTAGGGGCTGTTTTCCCAGCACAGCCCAGCTGAGATCTGCTCAACACCCCCACGTTATACGGCCTGTCAGCTCCCAGAGCACAGAGATCTGAACTTTGCTGTAACGCCTGTTGGAAATGTTGATGCTGCAGAACAGGTGCAAGTTGGATCTGTGTACAGCAGCTCATGGACATTTCACTTGGCTTAAACATACAGCAACCAAACCAAGAACAAGATTCAGGGATTCAGATCTTAATTTCCCAACAATCTCTCTTTTGTAAAGCAAATTCCGGTAATGCCACAAGATCTGTAGGAACTGTTGTACCCAAAGAGCACGGAAAGCACCCAATAAGCCAGGAGAGGCCTAAGAAGGCCTTTGCCCTCGCTAACAGGCAAAGTTTAAAAATAATTCCCCTTTTAGAAGGCTACAGGAGAAGCTGCCTGAGAAGTGCATATCCAGTCCTTTGGTTTTCCAGCTCGGAAGGCTGTGCTTATTTCAGATCTTCTTCTGGGACCACCACAAATGCCTAACACTGAACCTCGTTAGATGCTGCTGTTCTGGGCGGCGTTTGTGTTGTGGAAAACAACAAAATTGAGCTGTGCAAGAGAGCACCTACCTTTTTATAGGTAGTCTCGCCCGTGGAATCCACTCCTCTGTGCCCTTTTTTTATTGTCTGTGAGCCTGGCTGGCCCGAGGAACCTGGCATCTAGGAATAGAGTAAAAGACGGTGAGAACGAAGTGCTCACGATCTCTTAGAGGCCCGTGGCTGCCCAGAACCGCCTGTCCTTAGCTCTGCTGTTCTCTGAGCTGGAAGCTGTGTGCTCCCTGCTGAAGGCCCAGGCCCCAGCCAGGCCTGCCCTGGGAGCAGCAGCGGTGCTGGAAGGCCTCCAGAGAGCCGACTGACTCCTGCCTGCCTGAGGCCCAGCCCGAGGGGTCTGCTTTCAGCCATGGAAGACATTTTTGGGTTTGTTTTGTAATCGCCATCATCACAAACCCATCAGCTCTAAGGGAGTTTGGCCCAACCCCAGCCAGCCACCCTGCTGTTGCCAGTAAGGCTAATTCTTTGAGGAAACAGCTCAGGAAGGCTTCGAATTCTGCTCTGATTCACGCCCCAAGAACTTGCTTGACTCATTCTCTTCTGTTTAAACACATGCTGTTGTTAGCTGGTGTTTCTCAGTCAAAACAACCTGAATGCCTTGCTCTTGGCAGGATACCTATTTGGTGTTTTGGTAGCACAAGAATTGCTCGGTCCCAAGCTGGGTTTTTAATGGCAGATTCTCTTCGTAAGGAGAGATCCTCTCATTTCCCAAAGGAATATTTGCAACTTACTGTACTTACCACTGCCTGGCTTACCCTTGTCTGCTCTCTGCAATCTTATTTAAGTCTGAAATTGGGCATTTTGAGCCTTCCCTCAGAAGTGATTCTCTTGGCCAGTCTGTCCATCAGAAACTTACCTCAGGGGTGAGCGATTTTTTGAAAGTAGATGATCCTGTCAAAACAACAAAGACAAACTCAGAAAGAGTTAATCATTATCACGCATCACCAAAAAAAAAGCAAGACACAGCGCCTCGCTTCCAGAGATTTCAGGCGTCTGAAAAGCACTGACTCATGTTTGATTTCTTCCCAGCTTCTCCCCTTACAGCAGAGAGGGTTTTTGTCTAGCCACAAGGAAATGCTGTTTGGCTTACTGCTCACCCCTCCAGACCCTGCCTGCGCCCACACGGCAGCACAGCCACGGGCTGGGGTCCGCTCGGCCGGCCGGACCCCAGCACCCTTCCCGGGCAACCCCAGCACCCCGCCTCCCGGGGACCCACACTGCCCGGGGCCCGCCGGTTGTTTTGCCAGGCTGGGCACAGCCACACGCAGCCCTCTCGGTGCTCCTGCGCCCACCCACCGCCCTCACAGCCCCTCCACGCTGCGGACAGCCTGGCGCTGCCAGCTCCTCGAGCAGGATTTGCATTGCAGCAAAAGGAACGGAGGCACTTAGCAGCAAAACCCAGCAGCCTTCTGCTCCCCTTATCGACCGATCAAAGTTCTCATTTCCATACATATTAAACAAGAAAACAACAACACAACAAACGCATGTCATTAAGCAAAGCACAGCAGGACTGCCCCAGCCGTCCTGCCACCTCCGGGCTCCCTTTGAAGCCGGGCGCTTTGTCCCAACGGCTCCGATGCTCCGGGTGCTCCCCGGGCCCCAGCCCCTGCCCTAGCCCGGAGCCAACAGAGCTCAGCTCCTTCCCCTTCCAGCACAGGAGACTGCGTTGCCTCGAGGCTTTTGGCCTTAAAATCAGAATCATTTAGGTCAGAAAAGACCTCCAAGATCACCAAGTCCAACCATGCAACTTGCCAAGATCAGTCAGGATGCAGGGACAGGGCAAGCATCCCGGGCGCTGCGACGCAGCACTTGTTCAGCAGCAATTACATCTTTCCTTTTTTAAACAAGTATCTGTAATTATGTAAATTGAAACCTCTAAAAGCCCCAGGATTCAAGCAATCCCGAAGCAGCACCACCAGCCTCATCACCTTGGAGATTAGCTGTGTTAATATTTAATCATCCGTGCGAGGCTGTATTCCACCAGGATTTAACCACAGCTCCCTCGCCGCAGGACCCGCAGCAGAGCAGATCTCTGCCACGCTGCCTTCATCGCACGAAGCAAGCGCTCCGAGGACGCAAACCAAGCCTCGGTTCAGAGCCCGCATCCCACAGCCCCCCCAGCAGCACCACGAGCAGTGAAGGGATCCGAGCGGTTAATTCTAGACAAAGCAAACAGAGCAAGGTTAGCTGGTCCCATCCAAACCCCAATTCCCTACGTCCCTAAAGGTTTCCCTTTCCTCTCCCTCATGGCAGTGGGGCCGATCCCCGGGGCAGTCTCAGAGCACCCCTCGGAGCAGTTTACGGAAGAGGAACGAAGCCGAGGCCGAGGCTGCCTGCCCTCCTCCAGCCTCAGCCGTCCGGGAGCCTCGTCAGCAGCAAGGGACCAGAAATTCATACATCCAGGGAACAGATACTGGAAGAAAAGCTCAACAGAAGCTGTGATGATGGCAGCTCGTCAGTCGGCTCGCACAAACGCTTTGCTGCGGGAGCACGGAGCAAGGCACACGGGTCAGGTTCACACTTCACTCCTTTGTCTGGCACACGAGCATGCTAATTTGCCACAGCCGGGACAAATCCCCGCTCGGCTCTATTTTTAAACAGAGCTGCTCAGACAAATTTTAGCTGCGCTTCACATTTTAGACGAAAATAAAAAGTGAAAACGTTAGCACACCCAAACACATCATCAGCCCAGCTCTCCAGCGCCTGAGCGGGGCCAGCCGAGCGCCAGGACACGTCACACTGGCATGCGCTCCCCTTCCTCCTCCGTCCTCCTGCTAACTTTAGGGTTTTGTCTCACCCCAGCAAGCAGCCAGCATGGGAGAGGCTGCAGTTAGAAAAAAAGCCGGGCTCTCCCCAGAAAGGTACCGCTCTGGGTGCTCAGAGTCAGGGAGCAGCAGAAGAGCAGCCCCACGCCACGGCTCGCCACCTGCTCTGGGATGCTGCAATGCACCTTTCCACCTGGCACCCCCAAAAAGCCTGTCGGGATCAGCCCCACGGGACCGCAGGCGGACGTGGCAGGGAGGTTGCTTCTCTGCAAAGCACAGGCCAGGCAGAGCTGAGAGCAGAAAACCCAGCGGCAGCAGCGCTGCCGGCACACACAGAGGCACCGAGCCGCCAGGAGAGCACTTCCACAGCACGTGTCAGTAAAACAGCATTGGGTGAGGGGGGAGCAGCCTTCCTCTGAGCTTGTTTAGAGAAAAACACCGAGTTCTGTCAGTCCTCGCAAGCCAAGCCAGTTATGTAAGGTGGCATTTTGCTGCTGGTTACTGGAGAGGAGGAAACCATGCTTTATGCAATCCGTCTACCTCTTCGAAATGACTTCACCGAGCAGCACAAAAAGCTGAGATCTATACAAGGAAAAACAAAGAGGTTACACAGGGAACCGATACTTCAGCTACTCGAAGAAACAGCAGGTGTTTTTCCCAAGAAAGCACAAAAAGAAATCCTATTTTCCCTAGCTAAGATCCAAACTCCACAAGGAAAACACCTCGCTCCTAACCAAGACGAGACCCCTTCGATAGCTTTGTTCCAATAGATGGTGTTAAGAACATTAAACCAAACGCATCAGGAGAGCTCGTGACCTCGGCCTCTAGACAAAGAGCTCCCACGTGCTGGCTGCAGGCTCTCGGGGGTCTCTGCTGCCACCGTTTGCTGGCAGACGGCAGCCCCGGCTGATGCCCACACTGCTGGTACTGCCCCAGGCTCAGCGCATCTCCCTCCTCTCCTCCGCTCGCTCCATGAGCCTGCTGGCTGCGGTGCAGGACGCTCCTCGAGTTGCTGGATTCTGCTGACGTGGACGCCGCAGCGAGCAGGGGACTTGCTGGGAAGAAGCCCAGGCAGATAGGGAAGATGCAGACTCTGGTAATTTTATCTGGGCTCTTCTCGCTGTTTTACAGGAACAGCAAATGCGTCCTCGAGCTCCCTTCAGCAGCAGGCTGCCAGAGGCTGTTTGGGGAGGTCGGCATGCCCAGCCTGGAGCAACGAGGCAGCTTTTTACTCCAGGAGGCCAGGCAGAATCCAACCCATGCACACAGCCCCACTCTGCAGCTGCACAGTGCAAGGTGCCCAGCGCTTTGTAGGGACCAAGACGAAGCCAGAAATGGATGAAGCAGCAGCCTGCTCTGTCCTGCGTGCTGCCCCAGGCTGGCAGGGGTGGGCACAGCTCCCCACGATGGCGACACGGACGTCTCAGCACCGCTAACGAAGCCCAGCGAGCTGCCGGATCGCCGAGTGCTCGTTTTATTGCTTTTCCTGATGCTTCAGAGCAAAAATATCCCAGGGGAGGAGGAGCGACAGGATCTCAGCTTTCCCAGCCGCATTCCAGGGCGGGCTGCAGCGTTTGCTGAAGGCGTTTAGCACCTGCGACCCGAGGAGCCCTCAGACAAGAACACTCCCTGGGATACCTGCTGGAAACTCCTGCCCGCAGCCGCAGGGACCCAGAGCCCCGCTCCCGGGCAGCTGGACCTGCAGGCACAGCTTCTGCCACCTGAAAACCAATCCCGCAGCTGCCCCGAGCCCACCGCTGTTACAGCTCGGCATTACCGCACGTTTCCACGAGAACACTGCCACAATTTACAACTTCACCTGCTCCCCAGCAGCACCTACACAAGAAACGCATTGTCGCTGCGTTTTCCGTGGTGCTGGCGGGTTTCACAGGCAGCTTCAGGGCTGTCAGACCGACGCTGGGGATACAAACCTTCACAGCAAAGGCTAAAGCGCTCCTCCTGCAGCTCATCCTGCTGAGGGGTGCTGCAGAAACAGCCCCTGCGCTGCGCCCCGGGGAAGACAAACGATCGTTCTCCAGGAGAACAAAATGTAGGTCAGGCGCGAGGGATCCCCTGCCCTGGGAGCACTCTGCTTTAAACAAGGCAGAGCCTGCAGGGACATGGCGAGGTCGCACGTTTAATCACTGCACTCGCACAGCGAGCGAGACAGCCATGAGCGGCTCGCACCTCTCATCGCGCTCCATCGCGGGGCCCCCGCGCCAGCAGCTCTTCAACGCCCCGGAGAGGCGGCTTTTACTTCCCAAAGGGGAATTCGGACACCTCAGGAGGTGGCACCACGGCTCCCTGGTGCCCCCACCAAAGCGCACGGCCCCCACTTGCTTCCTCGCCGCTGCTTTGCTGGATGAGCTGCCGGAAGACGGACGCGCTTGGCGTTACTCAGCCGAGCCAGGGCTCATCTTTGTTCTCTCCACGGCGATCCTTTGTCTCCATCCTGAAGACGAGGCAGCTTTGCCCAGGGCCGGGGCACCACAAGCAGGTCCCACAGCCACCGGCTCGCTCCCAGCAGGGCCGGTGACAGCGGGACCCAGCTCACGCTGCCGACCTTCGACAGCCACCGAGGCCTCCTCAGATTCCATGAATGTTTGTCAAGAAGAGACTTTTACAACAGAGGCGAGACTCGAAGTCATCTGACGTCCTATTTTAAGCCCGAGGATGATGAGCCATTCAGATGTTTCTGTTTAATCAACCGATCTTTCCTCCCGCGTGCTCGGTCTCGGCGAGGTGGGCCCGAGGCTTTGTCCCCCTTGCAGGCACCGGAGGAGGGGAGCTGAGGCTCTGTGGGTGTGCTACGCCTCCAGCGCGGGCTCGGGAGCCTGCTCTCAGCTCACTGCAGAGGTGTCGGCAGGATTTTCCTGCCCACAGAAGTGACTGAGCCATTTTGAGAGCGATTCTTTTGTCTGTGGATGTCAGGGAGGGGCCTGAAGCCAGGGTGACAATGAACTCTCAACTCTCTCAGATCCGTAATTACAAAGCAGTCGCTGCACCGAAGGCACAAAGAGGCAAACAACTGAAATCCCACATTAGCATTTTTGGCACATGCTGCTTCAAAGTGAAAGCAGCAAAATGAGAAATCCTCCTGGGTGTTTCCCCGGGGAGCCGAGCATGCGGCAGGGCAGGGCCGCAGGAGAGGAGCAGGGGGCGGATGGGAGGAGGAAGGGTGGGACTCGAATCCTTCTCGTCCCCTTTATTTCAGCTGGAAGAGGCCGGTAGCTGAGTAATCAGCCCCCAGGGCGAACCACGCCGTGTGCCACCGAGGGTGGACAACAAGCCCTGGTGGGGCCCGGGATGGGTTAAGGTTTACCATGGCAAAAAGCCTCACGTCCCCACGAACACCGTCCCCCCCTGCCCGCAGAGCTGCTCCCCCCGCTCTCAGCGAGCTTCATGCGACGGCCCCGAGGCCAAAGCGAGACAGCAGAGTGAAGCCCTGGTCACCTCTGCAGCCCGGTGCTTGCTCACGGCCCTGACACCACACAGAACTCACGCCCGGCCAGACCAGCGAGGGCCTCGCACCACCAGGACCATGGTGACAGCCAAGCCAGGCCCAGGCTCGGCGCAGGACGCCAGCCCCAGGAGCTCCGCGAGGTGCCCATCGCAGCTCCCCTGAGCCCCTGCTCCCAGGGAACTGCCCCAGCTCGGGGAAGGGGGCGAGCGCCCGGAGAGAGGCCCCGGTCTCCCCGAGACGGCGCCAGGGCTCAGCGCCTGCACCGCCAGGGATGGAGCAAGGCAACGTCCCGCACGTATCGCACACGTCACGCAGAGGCTCTTTCATAATTGGGATTCGAATCCTGTGGGAAACGCGTTAGCCAACACCTAGCTACCTGGAAAGCAAACAATGGCAATTATTCCAGCAGGAAGGGAGAAGAGATTTACTCGTGCACTCGCATGTTTTCTGCCAAGTAAAGCTCTTGAAACCCTCTGAGCCCTGCAAGCTCCCTGGAGCCGGCTCCTCCTCCCCAGGTCAGGGGACGGGCAGAGGGAGCAGCTCCCGTTCTGGAAGGCAGCCCCACAGCGGGGCGAGGAGACCCCAGGGCCTGGCCCCGAGCCGCCCCAGCAGAGCTCCAGGCAGCCTGCCCCTCCTCCCAGAACCGGCTTTATGGGCCCAACAGGTCCTACGGCTCCGCTGCCCGCTCCTGAGCTGAACCAAGACCAAGCGGGGATGCCAGAGACACGTTTCCAAAACCTCCCGGTGTGAGCGGTGCACGGACCCGGCTCGGAAGGTAGAAAATCCGACACCTGCACCCAGCGCTGCCGGCCGAGCAGCGCTCCCACAGCCCTGCTGTGACGATGAGGGTCGGTTCCCTTACGGGGCGCCCAGCAAACGGCCCCCAAAGGCTGCTACAGGAGGGCAGGGGCAGGGCCAGGCCCCCACCGAGCCCAGGCTCGCCCCGAACGCCCCCCCCCCGCCGTTCTTTTCTCCCCCCGCTCCCCTCCCTGCGTGACAGGACACAAAAACCCCGCGGCTCCCAGCGCAGGGACCCCGCCAACCGCGAGCTGAGACCTGCCCGGGGGGGCCCAGCCGCGAGGAGCGGGCCCGGGGGGGGGCAGCACGGAGAGGGGCCGGGCCCAGCCCCCCCCCGGCTCCCCCGGCTCCCCCCCAGGGCCCCGGGGACGCGGCTGAGGCGCGGCGGGGGCGGGGGCGGGGGCGCGCTCCCCCCCCCCCCTCACCCCGGGACCCCCCCCATCGGCCCGGCCCGGCCCGGCCCCGCCCGCGACCCCCCAGCCCCTCCCGGGTCCCGCCCCCCCCGCTCGCCCCCGCCCGGCCCCCCCCGGTCCTCCCGTACCCCCCAGGCCGCCGCCGCCGCTGCCGCTCGGCTCGGGCCCCGCCGCCGCCGCCATCTTGCCGCTCCCTCTCCTCCTCCTCCTCCTCCTCCGCCGCCGCCGGCTCGCGCCCGGCCCCGCCCCCCGCGCCAGGCCCCGCCCCCGCCGCTCCGGCCCTCACCACTCAGGCGCGGGTGCGGGGGGAGGGAGAGGCGCACGCACTGCCGGGGCGGCTCCGCCCCCCCCCACCCCCGCTCCCAACTTGGACTCGCCCGCTCAGCGCATGCGCCCGGAGAGGAGGGGGGGGGTTGCGGAGGGGAGGAGGCGGCCCCGCAACTGAAGCCGTTGGCGCGCGGTGTGACGTCACGCCGCCCCCCGTGACGTCACGGCGCCGCCGCCATGAGCCTGGCCGAGGGCCGCGCCCCGCGCCGCACGGCCGGGAACCGCCTGTCCGGGCTGCTGCAGGCCGAGGAGGAGGACGAGTTCTACCAGACCACCTACGGCGGCTTCACCGAGGTGCGGGGGGGCCGGGAGGGGCTGCGGGGCGGGACGGGGGCTGGGGGGGCCGGGGGGGCCGCGGTGTCAGCCCCGGGCCCTCCGTCCCCGCAGGAGTCGGGCGACGACGAGTACCGGGGCGATCAGTCGGACAGCGACGATGAGGTGGACTCCGACTTCGACATCGACGAGGGCGAGGAGCCGGCCAGCGACCAGGACGACAGCGAGCCCAAGAGGCGCCGCCGCATCATCACCAAGGCCTACCGGGTGAGGGGGGAACGGGGGGCACCGGGAGGGGGGGGCACCCGGGGGGGGGGCACCGGGGGAGTGAGGGGCGGAGGGGGGCACCTGGGGGGGGCACCGGGAGGGAGGGCACCGGCACTGGGGGAGGGGGGCTCCGGGGGCACAGCACAGGGCCCCCCTCGAACAGCCTGCCGGCCCCCCGGGAGGGGCTGTGGCCGTGTCCCAAGGGGGGCGGCCAGGACTCGGCAGGGAGGAGACGCTCCCCGTGGGTTGGGGAATGCGGCACGGTGCCCCCCGAGGGGGTCTCATCTAAGCCGGGCCTTTCCCCTTCCTCACGCTGCCCAACACTGCAGGAGCCCCTCAAGAGCCTTCGCCCCAAGAAGGCCGATGCCCCCAGCAGCAGCTCCCAGAAGGCCCGAGAGGTGAAATCGGCCCCGCTGGAGCTCCAGGATGAAGTGGCAGACAGTGAGTGCACACAGGCTGGGACGCGCGTGCCCCCGGGCTGGAAACGTGCTCCCGGCTGCAGGGAGCCGTGTCGGGGCCCGCAGTGAGCTCTGTCCCCCCGCTGCAGGCCGGAAGCACATGCGGCAGTCGACAACAGAGCACACGCGCCAAACCTTCCTGCGCATCCAGGAGCGTCAGGTGCAGTCCAAGCGCAAGAAGGGCGGCCCCAACTACGACCGCCCCCTGACACAGGAGGAGCTGCTGGAAGAGGCCAAGATCACGGAGGAGATCAACCTCCGCTCCCTGGGTGAGCAGGGCACGAGGAGACATGGGGAGGGGTTGTGAGTGTGAAGGGGGTGCTGAGCCTCACCCGTGGCACGGCCTTACTTTCCCAGAGAACTACGAGCGTCTGGAGGCTGACAAAAAGAAGCAGGTCCAGAAGAAGAGGAAGTGTGTGGGGCCTGTCATCCGGTACTGGTCTGTCACCATGCCCCTCATCACGGAGCTGGGCAAGGAGGAGAACGTGGATGTGGAGGGGTAGGTTGGGGTCACCTCAATGGGGTCCTGATGGTTCCCCCCGACACTGCACGTGGCCGGACCCGTCTGTCCCAAGTTCCCATCCTTTATTCCACCCTGGGCTCTTTTCTGCCACAGCAGGAGGCAGACGGGTTTGGGGCAGTGCTCCAGAGCCCCACAGCCCCGTGTTCTGCTCCTGCGGGACAGCACTGCCTCGTGTGGGAGCTCTCGGGGTTTCCCTGGCCCCGCGCGTCTCCTCAGAGCTGACTCTGGCCCTTCCAGGTTGGACCAAGACCTGCAGCAGGCAGAGGCGGCCCCAGCTGCGGCTCCGGCCTCTGCCGGGAAGTGCTCCCGCACCTTCATCTCCTTCACCGACGACGAGACCTTCGAGCGCTTCTTCCCCAAAGCGAAGCCGCCGCGGCTGCCGGTGAGGGAGATCTGCCCCGTCACCCACAAGCCGGCCGTCTACCGCGACCCCATCACCGACATCCCCTACTCCAACATCCGCGCTTTCAAAATCATCCGCGAGGCCTACAAGAAGTACATCACGGCGCACGGGCTGCCCAGCTGCCGCTGCCTCCGCCGCCCTGGGGGCCGCCCCCCCCGGCCCCGACCCCGGTGTCCGCGCCACCCGCCAGAAGATCATCATCAAGCAGAGCGTCCCCGCCACCTGAGGGCCTGTGGCTGCACGCGGACAGCTCTGGATCGTTCTTGGGCGTGCCCCAGCTCACGTGGGCGATGGTTTGTTGCTCTATTTATCGACTTTATACTTTTTTTTTTAATAAAAAAAGAAAAATCCTAGTAATAAGCATCCAACAAAGCCAAGCATGCAGACACTCATTTCCACTGCTACGCAAGCAGCGCCTGCAACTCTGCAAGACCCTATGGTAAACAGCGTGTGCAGCCCCCTGGTTTCTGGGAGACCCTTACAATAAACAAGTAGAACCTCAGTGCTGCGTGTGGGGCCGTGGGAGCCCCTGGTCCCTGCTGAAGACAAGTGCAAACCCCCACCCAACCCCACCCAAACATGACTCTGCTGAATGAGGAGCTCGGGGGAGCAGAGCCCCCGGCCAGGCTCAGGAGGAAGGGGCATTAAGGGGCACTCAGCGGGGAAAAGGGGATGGTGGGGTGGCTCCGAGGACCCCGGGACACGCGGGCCTCTCCCTGCGGTGCCTGGGGCTGTTCCCCAAATCTCTCTCCCAGAGCACTGCGTGAGCTCCAAACCTCCCCTTCCTGCACCCCCAGGCAGGGCTTGGAGCCCGCAGCTGGGCCCGCGGGGGCTCTGATCGCTGGGGGGGGCCTGCACCACCCCAGTGCTGGGGTGGAGCCGTTGCGGGGCACTGGCAGGGCTCGATAACGCCGGCGATATGTGATCTCGCCCCTCCCCGCCGCCGGCTCGCAGAATAAAACGCTGATCTCATGCCCTGCGCGGCCGGAGCCCTTGGCTCAGCACCGGGGCACAGCCCAGGCAGGCTCCGCAGCCCCACCAGCGGCCAGGTAGGGCCGGGGGGGTCCCTGGGGTTGGGGGGGGTCACCCTAAAGGCACCAGCTCGGGGGGCCCTGAGGGTCCCCACACCAAGGGGTGCCCCCGGCTTTCTACAGGTCTCAGTGCGCAGGTCCCTGCTGTGGGTACCGGGTGCCTCCCCTGGGGTGCCCCCCCCAGCCTCAGACCTGCGCGTCAGGGGGTAAATCCCCATCAGCTGGGGCAGCTCAAGGGGGTGCAGGGCCCCGTGTCCCAAGCATGCAACCCTGCTTGCTCCCTGGGGGCTGGGGGGACACTGGGTGCAGAAGGGGGGTGTCAGTGGGGTGGGGGCTGTGGAGCTGGGAGCTGCCCCCAGCACTGGGCCGTGACTCAGTTTCCCCAAGAGCTGTGTGGTGATGGCTGGGCTGGGCTGGGCTGGACCCCACCCTGGGGTGCCCCAGTGCCCCCCCCAGCCAGGCAGGCCCCAGCCCCATGGCTGTGGGGTGTCTGGTGGGAGCTCGGCACGGCGCGGGGGCTCCCCTGGCCCGGCAGCCTCCCGCTCAGCCCCCCCCGATCCCCCTCCAGGCCGCCCCTCAGCCCCCAGCCATGACGTCCTACCGGCAGGAGCTGGAGAAGTACCGGGACATCGACGAGGACAAGATCCTGCAGGAGCTGTCGGCCGAGGAGCTGGAGCAGCTGGACATGGAGCTGCTGGAGATGGACCCTGAGGTGCGCCCGCGGCCCTGGCCCGAGGTGGGGCGGGGGGACACCGGGCAGGGCCCCCGCACCCACGGCCACCCCGGTGCCTCCCCAGAACGTGCTGCTGCCGGCGGGGCTGCGGCAGCGGGACCAGACGCAGAAGAGCCCGACGGGGCCGCTGGATCGCGAGGCGCTGCTGCAGCACCTGGAGAAACAGGCGCTGGAGGCCGGCGAGCGCGAGGACCTGGTGCCCTTCACCGGCGAGAAGAAAGGTGCGGGGCTGGGGGGACGTGGGGGACGGGGCCCCGCAGCGCCAGGTATATTTAGCTCGGCGGGATGGCCCTCGCCAGCGGCTCGGATGTCCCGGGCGAGCTGGGCCCCCGCCAGCCCCGGGCATGGCTGCCCCCAGCAATGTCACCCCCAGCGTGGCCACCTCGCAGCACCGCCAGCGCCCCGGTACCACCACCACCTGCCCCGGTACCGCCACCTGCCCCAGCACATCCCCCCAGCACTGCCTTTACCTGTCCCCAGCCCAGCACCGGGCCACCAAGCCCCCGTAGCCTGTGGCTGCTGCCCCCCGGCTCGTGCCAGGCCGTGCAGGGTGCAGCCCCGCGTCCCCCTACGCAGGGAAACCGTTCGTGCCCAAGAACCCCAAGCGGGAGATCCCCCGCGAGGAGCAGATCACGCTGGAGCCAGAGCTGGAGGAGGCGCTGGCCAACGCCACCGAGGCCGAGATGTGTGACATCGCAGGTGGGTCCCGCGCACGTGGCCGCCCCCCGGCACCGAACCCCTGGTGCGGGGCCACGCGTCGCCCCTGCCCCGTCCCCGTGTCACATCCGTGTCCCCTGCCCCCTCCTGCTGGGCCCCTGCCAGGGCCCGGCTAAAAGCAGCAGCGTGCCCCTGCGCTCGGCTTTCAGCCTGGCCCCCAGCCCACCCGTGGCTGGCTGGGGAGGGGACGAGGGGGGGCTGTGGGATGGCCCCGTGGCTTGCGGTGACCCCAGGGGTGCCCCCGCAGCCATCCTGGGCATGTACACGCTGATGAGCAACAAGCAGTACTACGACGCGATCTGCAGCGGGACCATCTCCAACACCGAGGGCATCAACAGTGAGTGCGCCCTGCAGGACAGGGGGCAGGCCAGGGGGCACACCAGCAGGCGGTCCCGCTCCTGTGTTCAGCGGGGAGCCCCCACCCCCGTGTGCACCGGGGGGCTCTGGGTGCCTGCACACACACCCACGCGTCCCCCTGCACTCACGCGTGCCGCAGGCGTGGTGAAGCCCGACACGTACAAGCCGGTGCCGGACGAGCCCCCAAACCCCACCAACGTGGAGGAGACGCTGCGGCAGATCCAGGCCAACGACGGGGCGCTGGAGGACGTCAACCTCAACAACATCAAGGCGAGGGGCCGGGCCCGGGGGGGGGCGGCTGGCCTCAGCAGCCTGGGGGTGTCCCCAAAGCACTGCTCCGTGCCCCGGGGTGTCCTCAGGGTGCTGGCCCTGGGGTGTCTCTGGTGTGCTCAGCCCTGTCCTGGGGTGTCCCCACAGGGCTGGTCCCTGTCCCAGGGTGCTGCTCTGGCCTGGCGTGTCCCTGGAGGGTACCAGCAGGGCTGGTCCTCGCCTTGGGGCATCCCTGGGGTGTTTGTCCCCATCCCGAGTGGCTCTGGGGCATCCCAGGTCCTCATCCTGGGACAGCCACGTCCCCCTAGTGACATCCTGCAGCCCCTTGGTGCCACTTGCAACCCTTTGATGACGCCCTGCAAGTGCTCAGGGCGGCCACTGTGCCCTTGGAGACATCCACACCCCCCCAGTGCCCCCTGCATCGTCCCGGGGATGTTCCCCTCTCCTCGGTGACGCCCCTGTCCCCTCCCTGCAGGACATTCCCATCTCCACGCTGAAGGCCATCTGCTGAGGCCATGAAAACCAACACCCACGTCAAGAAGCTCAGCCTGGTGGCAACCCGCAGCAACGACCCCGTGGCCACCGTGAGTCCCAGCCCCGTGACCCTCCATATCCCCACGTCCCCAGAGATGTGGTCTCCTTCCCCCAGCTCCCAGCCGGCACCAGCCAGGCGAGCTTTTGGTGGCCTTGCCCCCGCCACTGGCCCACAAGGTGCCGGTGGGGCAGCCAGCCCCGGGTGACACCCCGAGGTGATGCCGGGCTCCCGCAGGCGGTGGCCGAGATGCTGACGGAGAACAAGACGCTGCAGAGCCTCAACATCGAGTCCAACTTCATCACCAGCGCCGGCATGATGAGCATCATCAAGGCCATGTACCAGAACAGCACCCTGAGCGAGCTCAAGGTGGACAACCAGGTAGGGATGGGCACCCACGGGTGGCCTGGGGCGTGTGCCCGGTTTGCCCAGTGTGCCCAGTTGGGCCCAACCGTGCCCCCGCCCCGCAGTGCCAGCGGCTGGGTGACACGGTGGAGATGGAGATGGCGACGATGCTGGAGCAGTGCCCCTCCGTGGTGCGCTTCGGGTACCACTTCACACAGCAGGGCCCCCGCGCCCGCGCCGCCATCGCCATCACCCGCAACAACGAGCTCCGTGAGTGCCCCGCTGCTGCCCCGGGCAGGAATGAGGCCGGGGGTGGGGGGAAGAATGGGGTTTGGGGGGGCACCCAGCCCTGGCCCTGACCTGCTTCTTCCCCTGTCCCCAGGTCGCAAGCAGAAGAAAACCTGAGCGCTTCCCAGCACAGCCCTGCAGACCCCGGTGCTCAGCTCGCCCTCGAGCTGCGCTTTGGGCTCCCCAGGGCTGGGTCAGCTGTAAATAAAGGTTACAGAGACACCGGGTGTGAGGCTGCTCCTGGGACAGGGCCACAAGGACGGGGGCAGGATTTGTGCGTGGGAGGATCTGGAGGGACGGGCTGAGCGAGGGTAACGCTGCTGGAGGACCCCTTTTTCAGAGCTCGAGACCCAGAGGCTCCCGTTAGCCTCGAGCCATTGATCCCGGGCTCGTTACGGGGCGAGTTGGATGCCTGGATTCCCTCGTGGAGCAACGGGCTGCAGGGTCGGGGTATTTATACCCTGGGGATCGGGTTACGGGGCCAGGCCCTGTGCCAGGGGGGAGCGGGACACCCCTCAGCGGGGAGCTGGGTGCCCTTGTGGAACAGAACCAGGCACCTGGGGCCCATAGGGGCCAGCTCCGGGTGCCCACGGGGTGGATGGGGGCTGCAGGGCTCTGGGAAGAGCCCCCAGACCTGCACCCGGCTCAGGCGTTCACTCACCAGGGCCCTGGCACCCGTCCCAATGGCTATTTATAGGTCTGAGCTGAGCAAGCGGGTAAATCCCAGCGCCCAGGTGTAACATCACCCCAGGCAGCGCTGCCAAGGAGCCCTCCCCAGGGACAGGATCCAGCCCTGGGGCCCAAGCGACCCATCGGTGGGTGCTCCCGCTGGGAGCTCTCCCCAGGGTGCTGGCAGGGCACAGGGGGTGCCCTGAGGTGGGAGCTCCCACGGGCCCCAGAGGCAGAAGGGAGGTGGGAAACAGAGGCGAGGGTGGAGGTGAGCTGGCCGGGTGTTTTGCCAAGCGCCAGGACAGCTGCGGGGCCACGAGGAGGGGGAAGCCCCGTGCCGCCACCCCAAAAGGCCACGAACCGCAGGCACCTGTGCCTGGGCAGGAAAGCGAGTGTGACTTGGGCCGGGGACAGGAAGAGACGGGCAGCAACGGGCCAAAATCCAAGCTGAGATCACAGTGCTCTGGCCAGGATAGGGACACCCGAAAAGGTGGGAACAAAGAGCGAGGGGACCCCCAGTGCCACACCACGTATTGGACCTGCCCCAGCGGTTGGATCGCCTCCATCGTCTCCAGCTGCCTCTGTTCTTGTGGCACACAGTGGGGTTGGGGACAGCCCTGGGGCTCGGGGACCTCAGGCTGGCAGCAGTGCAGGCGGCTCATCCTCATCGGAGTCAAACTCAGCGTTCTCATCCTTCACCCACTTGCCAGAGCGATCCTGGATCCAGCCGGCGCTGGGGATGGGCAGACGGGGTGAGGGGAGGCTCGCTGGGGGTTCCCCATCAGCAGGGCCCAACTCACCTCCGCAGCTGCAGGTATTGCTCCAGCGCCTGGCGCCTCGCGGGGCTGAGGGCCTCGGGCTGACTCGGCTGTGAGGACGATGCTGCTGCTTTCCCTTTTCTGCCTTGCCCGGCGTGGGCGGAAGCTGCCTTCAGTGCACCTGGGAGAGCGGAGAGGGGCGCAGGATGGTGACACCCGCAGAAAGGGCAGAAAGCGCCCAGGCGCGCCGTCCTGCCGCAGTTTGCCCTCACCTGCCTGCCAGCTGCGCTGCCCTGGCAGCAGGGCTGCAGGGGTGGCCTCCACGGCGTCCCTGTGCTGAGAGGGAGCCTGGGCAGTGCTCGGCCCTGGCTGGGTCCTCGCCCCTCGTGCGCCGCTTCCAGCTGCCCTGTAAGGGGACGGGGTCAGGCCTAGGGCACGGCCACCCCAGGTGGGCAGCTGGGAGCAGGCCGGAGCTTTCCCTACACCCCAGCAGCCCTCACCCTGTCCTCCGGCAGCAGCTGTTGTAGGGAGCAGCCTTCAGCAGGGCACTCTGGGCAATCCTCCTCGTCCGGGCCAGCAAAGGGGCTGGGGAGCCCTGGGGAGAGGGTGCAGAGCTCAGGAAGGCCCCGTTGGGTGCCAGGGAAGGGGAGAGGACAGCGCGCCCACCTGCGTGCCCGCCGCCTCCACCCGCACCAGCTCCTGGTGCCGCTGCTCCTGCGCCGTGTCCTCCCGCCAGCGCTCACTGCCGTAGCAGCGCTGCAGGCCTGGAAGGAAGGGAAGGGAAGAGAAGGGGAGAGAAGGGAAAGCAGGTGGGCGTTCACGGCGTGGCCCCCCCAGCGCCAGCCCCCCCCAGCCCCGCACTCACTGCCCAGGTGCTTCCTGCCAGCCCGGTGCACCGCCAGCACCTCCAGCGTGTCGAAGACGGGCCGGTGGGCACACACGGTGCAGGCGTACCTGTAGCAGGGAGGAGGCGCCGTCAGCGCCCTGCAGCCCCCCGGGCCGCCCCGTGTCCCCAGGGAGGGGGGGGGGGGGGGGGGGTCCCACTCACCTCCCGCTCCGCAGCAGCAGCGCCTCCTCCTCGGGGATGTAGCTGGCCAGCAGCTCCGCCACGCGCCGCTTCTGCGAGGGAGCGAGAGGCCGCGATAGTGCCCGGCCCCTGCCCCCCCCCCCCCCAAAACGGGCACCCGGGGCCCCCCCGGACCTCGGGGGGGTCGTGGCAGGGAGCAGCCCCCCGCCAGCCCCGCCAGCCCCGCCACCCCCTGCGAGGCGGGACCAGGAGGGCGGAGAGCGGGAACCGGGAGCGCTGCAGGCGGGGAGGGGGGCGCGGGGGTGAGGGGGGGGGCTCTGGGGCTGGGGGAGGGGGCAGAGAAATCCCGGGGGGTCCGGGCAGGGCGGGGGGGGGCAGGGGGGACACCGAGGGGCGGGGCACACGGGGCAAACCCGGGCAGGGGGAGCCTGGGGACGGGGAGATCGGGGTCCGGGGGGGGTGGGGGGGTCGCGGGGCCCCACCTGCAGCGCCGCCAGCTGCCCGGGCTCGTCGCCGTCCCGCTTGAAGGACATGGCGGCCCCCAGCGCCGCCGCCCCGTTACCATGGGGACCGCCCCCTCCCCGCTTCCGGGTCGCTTTTCCCGGCGGACCGCGCGCGGGCAGGGGGGGACCAATGGGGAGCTTAAAGGGGCGGGGCGGGAGCGGCCCGCGGCTCGGCGAGGCCCCGCGGCATGACGGGAGTTGTAGTTCCGCGCGCCTCGCCGCCGGGCAGGAGCACGGAGCCCCCCGGGGGAACGGGGAGCAGAGACCGCGGCGGGGCGGGGGCTGGGCGGGAGCGAGCAGCCCCCGGGGGTCGGGAGCGCGGGGAGCGCCGCGGGGGCCCGAAGGAGCGGCGGGGCCCCGGCTCCAGAGGACTACGAGTCCCAGAGGCCTCCGCGCGGGCGGCCGGGCCTTACCGGGAGCGGGGCGGGGCGGTGGCGCCCCCGCGCCGGGCCGGGGCTGAGCGGGGCCGCCCGCTATGGCGGGGCCCCCCCCGGCGCAGGGGGGCGGCGGGCGGCCGGGAGCACCGGCTGGAGCCCGGGGACACGCTGCCGGGGCTGGCGCTGCGCTACGGGGTCACGGTGAGCGGCGGGGCCGGGCCGGCACCGGGATGAGCCCCCGGGACCGGGCACCGCGCCCGGCCCCGGCCACCCCCGGCCCCGGCCCCGGCCCCGGCCCCGGCCCCGTCCCACCGCGTCCCGCCCCTCGGCCCCTCCGTGTCCCGCTCCCGGTCCCGTTCTTGTCCCCGTCCCCTCCCGGTCCCGGTCCCGTCCCTGTCCCCGGTCCCCCCGTCCCTTCCCGTTCCCGTCCCCACCTGGCCCCGTCCCTGTCCCCGGCAGCCGGAGCAGATCCTGCGCGCCAACCGGCTCTACGCCTCGGACCCCATCTTCCTCAAGCCCACGCTGCTCATCCCGGCACCGGGGGGGCTCCGCCGCGAGGAGGAGGAGGAGGCGGCGGCGGCGGGGGGGGGGGCACCGGCGGACCCCGGCCCCCCCGCCCCGTCCCGCCACGAGCTCTCGGCCGCCGACTTCCTGCGGCAGCTGGACGCCGACATCGGGCGCTCCAAGGCGGCGGCGGCGGCGGCTCAGCGGCTCCGCGCCGCCAGCACCGGGTGAGCGCGGCCGGCCCGGCCCGGGGCGCTCGGGGGGGGGGGAGGGGGCGCCGGCCGCGGGGCTGCCCCTCACCGCCCCCCCCCCCCCGTGTCCCCCGCAGCGCGGCCGAGGCCGAGGGCACCCCGCGCCCGGAGAGCGGGGACCCCCGGCTCGGCCCCCGGCTCGGCCCCCGGCCCCTCACCAGGACGCCGCGGGCGGCCGCGCTCCGAGACGCCGAGGACGAGATCTTCACGCTGTGACACCGGGACCGGGACCCGGGGACGGGACCCGCGGGGAGCCGGTGGGCGGCGGCCCCCTCACCATCCCCTGCGGGGGTCCCGGCCCCGCTTTGGGGAAACCCAAACGCCACCGGCCCCCGCCTGGGGACGCCGCGAGGCACCGGGACAGGAGTCACCGGCCGGGCTCTGTCCCTCCGATCCTATTTATTTGTATGGTTTTGCCCTCGTGGTGCTTTTTGGTTTGTTTTGTTTTGTTGGGGGGGTTGTGAGGGGGATGGGAGCCCCCCAGCCTCCCCGTGTCAGTGCCTGGACCCCCGTGGGGATGGGGTCTGTCGCCCCCTTTGCCCTCCCCTGAGGACCTGTAAATAAAACGGAGCTGGCACCCGCCCCGCCTGCTCGCGGCCCCGCGGGGACACCGCAGGGACACCGGGACAGCCGTGGGGACGCGGGGAGCACCCTGGGGGTGCCGCCACCCCCCTGGGGACACGAGCACCCCCCTACGGACGCTGTCCCCTCTGCTCTGTCCCCCCCCCCGGGCCCGCGGTGCCGCCCCCGCCACGCCGCGCGGTGCCGCCAGATGTCGCCGCGCGCCCGCACCCCGGGGGCCGCGGGACCACCGCCCCCACCCCCCACCCTCACCCCCCCGGCGGGGTCCCCCGGTCCCTTCACGTCCCCGGGGGTGCCGGAGGACGCGGAGCAGGGGGGGGCCCAGTTCTCCCAGTGAGCTCCCAGTCCCCGCGGGGGGGGTTCCCACGCGTGGGTCCACGGGCGGGCAGACGGACGCGATCCCGACCCCCCCCCCCCCCCCCCGCCCCGGCAGCGCAGGGCGGGGGTTTCGGCCGCCCGCGGACACGCGCGTCCACGGTGCCACGTGCGCGCGCTCGTGGGCTCCCGGGGATCAGCTCATTAACGGGATTAGCGCCTATCTATAGGGCCGACGGGGGGGAGGGGGGGAGCACGGGGGGGGCAAAGCCACGGCGGTGTCACGGCGCTGCCCCCCCGCACTCCCCCCCCGCCCCGCCCGAAAACCGCAAATCCCCCAAATCCCGGCCCCGCCCGGGTCCTCCCCGTGGGGGGGTGACACGCGTGGCCCCGCGTGGCCGCGCCCCGGCCCCCCCCGCCCCACGCAGCTCCCCCCCCCCCCCGGTCACTTCCCGCCCCCGGCCCCCGCTCAGGGTCCCGGCCGGTCCCGGCCCGTTCCGGGGCGGAGCCGCTCGGGGCCGCGGGGCCGCTCGGGGCGCGGCGCGGAGCCGGTACCGGGAGCGGGGCGCGGGGGGTGCCGGGGGGGGCGGCGGGCTCCGGGGGGTGCTGCGGGGCGCCGGGGGGTGCTGCGGGGGGCAGCCGGGTGCGGTGGTGCTGGGAGGGTGTTGCACGGGGCGAATGTGTCGGTGTCGGTGCCGGTGCCGGTCCCGGTCCCGGTGTCGGTGTCGGTGTCGGTGCCGGTCCCGGTGCCGGTCCCGGTGTCGCTGCGTCTGGCACTTGCTTGTGCTTCGCATCCCGTCCCAACACCGGCCGTGGTCGTCGGGAGCGGGAGGCACTGGGAACACTGGGACGGGGGCACTGGGGACACTGGGATGGGAGGATCGGGGACGGGCACGCGAGAAAAGGGTGTGGGGACAGGGACACTGGGAGCACTGGCAGGATGCACCGGTGGCACTGGTAAGGGGCACTGGTGGCACTGGGAAGAGGGGGAAGAGGACTGGGGCCCTGTCCCCGTGCTTGAAGCTGCACGGAGGGGACGCCACCACTGTCCCCAGTGTCCCCATGGTGCTGCACACGCGCCCCCCCCCACGGCCCTGCCTCAGTTTCCCCAGTAGGGATTAACCCCTTGCAGCCCAGAGGGGTCCGGGCTCAGTGGCCGCCCCCCGTCTCCTTCGGGTGCCTGGGAGGATGCTCGGGGTGCTGCTGGCCTTCGTCCTCGTCGTGGTCCCCGGGGCCCCCAGGGGAGTGGCGCAGTCCTTCCCGCGGGACCTGGTGCCGCGCAGCACCGTGGGGCTGGCAGGTGAGTGGGGACCGGGGGCTGGCGGCACGGGGCCAGCCGGGGGCGTCGTCACCGTGTTCCCACATCCCCCAGCCACCGCCACCTACCCCCGCTTCGGGGGTCTCCGGGGGGACAACGTCACCGCCCAGCTCGGCCTCGACTTCCAGCGCATGCTGCGCCTCAACAGCACCCTCTTCGTCGCCGCACGGTGAGCGCGCTTGTGCACCCCTCCCCGTGCCTGCATGTGCTTTCCGTGCCTTTGCACACTTGTGCACGCTTGTGCAAACTTGGATGTTCTTGTGCACGCTTCTTTGTGCTGGTGCATGCTTCTTTGGTTGCTTCTGCAAGCTTGTGCACACTTGTGCACGCCTGGCCTCGCGTGTCCGTACATCTCCATGCTTGTGCCAAGTTGTCTATGCTTGTGCAGTCTCGGGCTCGCTGGCGTGTTTGGAGATGCTCATCCTGGTTTGTGCAAGCCACTGCGTGCATAGGCACACTCGTGTGTGTCCCTTTCTGCACGCTTGGGCACCGCTTGTACGTGGTGGGCACAGGCACCCCGTGTTCCCTCCTCCCTTCACCTACCCTTGCTGGTGCTCTGCACGTCCCCGTGCCCCTTGCACGTCCCCGTGCCCCTTCTGTTCACGCTGTGCCCTCCCAGGGACCACATCTACGCCTTCGACCTGGGGCAGGACAAGCGGGTGCTGTACCCTGAGCGGGTAAGGGGGACGGGGGCACCATTCCTGGGGTCGCCTGGGTCTCGGTGGGGGTCCCCACTGCCCAGCCCCATCTCGCCAGCAGCATCTCACCTGGGAGACGCGGGACAGGGAGAGCTGCGCCATGCGGGGCAAGCTGCAGGTACGGGGCACGGGATATGGGGTATGGGGCATATGAGTACTGGGTGTAGGGGTACAGGATATAGAGGTATGGGGGCACTGCGTACAGGAATATGGGGGCATAGGGGGAGGTGGTACAGGGGTGTGGGGGTGTGGGAGTGCAGGGGTAGAGGGTCATGGAGCGTGAGGGGGTGGGGGTACAAGGCATGGGGCCGTGAGGGTACAAGGTATAGAGGTGTGGGCTGATGGAGGTATAAGGGTGGGGGTGCAAGGTGCGGGGATATGGGGCAATAAGGATGGAGGGGCACAGGTTACAGTGCTATGGGGTACAGCAGCAGGGGGTACGGAGGAATGGGGGTATAAGGGGACAGGGGGATGGGGCATAGGGGTGTGGGGCAGGGGTCTCTTGGGGCCTGGAGATGTGGGGCGCGTGGTATGGGTACGGTGAGGCGGGTCTGGGGACAACGGCCTGGGGGATACGAGGGTGGGGGCAGAGGGAGGCAGGGCCAGGCAGCTGCTGGCCCCGTGCCCCCATCCGCGTGCGACCGCGCAGGACGGGTGCCACAACTACATCCGCGTGCTGGTCCCGCGCGATGCCCGCACCCTCTTCGCCTGCGGGACCAACGCCTTCAACCCCGTCTGCCGCAGCTACGAGGTGGGGGGCCCGGCACGGGCACGGGGTGGGGGGCGCCGCCGCCGGGGCTGGGATCCCCACGGGGCCCCTGTCTGAGCAGCGGGGCCGGGGGGGGGGTGAGCAGCGGCGGGGCTCTGAGCACGGCGCCTGCAGGCGCGCAGCCTGCTGCAGGAGGGCGAGGAGCTGAGCGGCCAGGCCCGGTGCCCCTTCGACGCCCGGCAGAGCAACGTCGCCCTCTTTGCTGGTGGGTGCCGGGGTCGCGGGGAGCCGGCAGGGGAGGGCCGGGATGGGGCTGACGCCGCTGTCCCTGTCCCCCGTGCCCCCAGATGGCAGCCTCTACTCGGCCACCGTGGCTGACTTCCAGGCGAGCGACGCGGTCATCTACCGGAGCCTGGGCACCCGCAGCCCCCCGCTGCGCACCCTCAAGTACAGCTCCCGCTGGCTGCAGGGTAGGGGTGGGGGCACGGAAGGGAGCGGCGCCGTGGGGCGGGCTGGGGGCTGATGGCCCCGCACCCCCGCGTCCGCAGAGCCCCACTTCGTCCAGGCGCTGCCCTACGGCCCCTACATCTACTTCTTCTTCCGGGAGATCGCGGTGGAGCTCGGCGCGCTGGGCAAGGTGAGCGAGGGGGGGGCACTGCCGCCCTGCCCCCTGCCCCCACGCGGGGCAGACCCCAGTGCCCGTCCCCCGGAGCCTCCGGCCCTGCGGGACGCTGGTGGCTCTGCGTGCAGGTGGCGGTGGCGCGGGTGGCCCGGGTGTGCCGCAACGACCGCGGGGGCTCCCCGCGGGTGCTCGAGCGCCGCTGGACGTCCTTCCTGAAGGCACGGCTGCAGTGCGCCGTCCCCGGGGACGCCGTCTTCTACTTCGACGTCCTGGAGGCCGTGACGCTGCCCCACGCCCTGCACGGGCGCCCTGCTGTCCTAGCCCTCTTCGGCACCCAGCCCAACAGGCACGGGGACGCGGGGACTGGGAGCAGGGCACAGGCGGCGGGGAGATGAGGACAGGGTGACGGGCCTGGGGACATTGTCTTGTGGTGGGCTTGAGCATGGGGACCTGGGGACGTGGCTATGGGACAGGCACACTGGGGACAGTAGGGACGTGGCTACACGAGGGAATGTTGGGGATGTGAGCATGGGGACGCGGCTGTGGTGGACGGGAACATGAGGACAGGGGCACATGGGTGCACAACAGACAACTGGGGACATGGGGGACATGAGCGTGGGGATGGGGGCAGGCACACAGGTGCATGGACACACAAGGGGACATGGGGACCAGGCGGGGGGGACTTGGAGGTGAGGCACGGCAGGGCACGGGGATGCCTTCACACAGGGATATGGACATGGGGCAGTCCTGGGGACATCAGGGGTGTCCCCAGAGCCGGTGCCACCCCTGCCACCCCCACAGCATCCCTGGCTCGGCCGTCTGCGCCTTCTACCTGGCGGATGTGGAGCGGGCGTTCGAGGGACACTTCGCTGAGCCCCGAGGTGCTGGGGGTGCCTGGCCCCCCGTGCCCGAGGAGCGGGTGCCACGGCCCAGGTACTCCTCACCCTGCTGGGTCCCCGGGGTGCGTACGAGGACCCTGTCCCCATGCTGGTTGTGCCACAGGCCTGGCTGCTGTGCCGGGATGGGCTCAGCCACTGCCATCGTCACCTCCGGGGACTTCCCCGATGAGACGCTGGCCTTCGCCAAGGAGCACCCGCTGCTGCACGGCGCCGTGGCCCCCGCCGGCGGGCGGCCCCTCTTCACCCGCACCGGCACCAGGTGCCCGGGGACAGGGCGGGTGGGCCTGGGGACACGGGGGGGGGGGGGGCATTGTGCAAGGTGCCAAGGCAAGGGTGCGCCTGGCCCTGTGGGTGCTGTGGGGTGGGGAGGGTGCTCGTGCAAGCGCGCGCGCGGCCCTGGTGTGCAGGTGTGTGAGATGCTGGGGGAGGGTACATGGCAGCATGCAAGGGCGTGCAAAACCCTGGTGGGGGGACAAGCGAGGCTGGTGCAAGGGTGTGTCAGCCCCCCCCCAGTGCGGTGGCATACGAGGGCATGGTGTGAGGGCGTGCAAGGGGCTGCACGGCCCCACACGAGGGTTCTGCGTGGCGCAGGCTGACCCAGCTGGCGGTGGATGTGGGCGCGGGGCCACGGGGGAACCACACCGTGCTCTTCCTGGGTGCCGAGGACGGGCGGGTGCTGAAGGTCCTGGCAGCCACGCGTAGTCCCGGGGACATCCAGAACTCTGGGGACCCCGCAGCGCCTGGTGACACCGGGGAGCCCGGTGCAGAGGTGCTGCTGTTGGAGGAGATCAGCCTCTACGAGCCCAGGTGGTGAGTGGCCCTGGGACGGGGGTGCTGTGGGGCAGGGATGGTGTTGGGGTGGGTGCTGTGGGGTGCTGGGGGGCTGTGTGGGGTGCCGTGAGACATTGATGGGTGCTGGGGGGGGGTGGGGGCATGCAGGTGCCACAGGGTGCTGATAGGTGCCATGGGGCCATGCAGATGCCATGGGGTTCTGGTGGGGGCCATGGGGCTGCAGGGTGCAGATGGGTGCCATGGGTGCTGCCAAGCGCTGGGGGGGGTGCCAAGGGGCTGTGGGTGCTGATGGGGGGGGGGGGTGCAGGCACGGTGACGCACTGTGGGGGGACCCAGGTGCCGGGGGCCACGTGGTGCCAGCCGGGTGCTGGGGCTGGAGCTGCACACGCCAGGCCAGGAGCTGTTCGTCGCCTTCGCCGGCTGCCTCGTGCGCCTGCCCCTGAGCCGCTGCGCCCGGCATGGGGCCTGCCGCCGGTGAGCTGCGGGGTGGGGGGCGCGGTGACGTGCAAGGGCCCGGAGCGTGCGAGGGCACCCCGCTGTCGGGCCCAGGCCCTGCGTGTCTGTGCTGAGCACCGGCCCCGTGCAGGAGCTGCCTGGCTGCCCGGGACCCCTACTGCGTCTGGCTGCCCCCTGGGGGCTGCGTCCCCTTCTCCGAGGACCTCCCGTGAGTGCCCCCAAAGTGTCTCCGATCCCCTGTCCCTCGCGCAGCTGCACGCACTGCTGCAAAGCACACGGAGGCTTCTGTGTGTCCCCCCCTACACCCCACAACCTGGGTCCCTTCCTCGTGGGGTGGGGGCACTTGAGACAGCGTCTTATGCGTCCCCTCCTGTGCGCACCCAGGGCTGGCTTTGAGCAGGACATCGAGGGATCCACCGGGCTCACAGGGACCTGCCACGGTGAGGGGGGACACGAGGGGACAGTGGGGTGTGGGTGTTATGTGGTGGGCATCTGGGGACATTGAGAGACATCGGCCCCGTGGAGGGGTGCTGGGGGACACCTGGGGACACGAGGTCACAGGGGGATGCCAGTGCCACCAGGCGGGCATCTGGATGACCCCGGAGGTTGTGGAGGAGCCTGGGGGGCGTGGGCGGCTCCAGGCAGGGGTTGTGGGTAGCCTGGCCCACCGCCCCCTCTCCTTTCACAGATGCATCAGCTACAGGGGACAGTGACGGGGACAGGGACTTGGCCCACGGTTAGTGATACCCCTTGGTCCCCTGGACACCCACCGGGACACCCCTGGGAGGGGACCCTGGGAACCGGGGAGGGATCCAGGAACTGGGAGGTCCCTCAGGGACAAGGAGGGACCCCAGGGGTGGGACAGGGGCCCAAAGCATGGGAGAAGAACCCCAAGAATGTGGGGGGGGGAGGGAAGGGGGGTATGGTGTGGGGGAGAGGAGGGGACGCGGGGACCCAGCTGACGGGTGCTGCCTGCAGGGGTGCGCCAGGCGGTGCCGGGGGCTGTGGCGGCGGTGCCGGTGCCGGTGCTGGTGGGCTGCGTGCTGGGAGCCTTCGTGCTGGGCGCCCTGGCTGCAGGGCTGCTGGCGGCCTTCACCCGCCGCCCTGCAGCACCCAAGGGTGCCCCGGCGCCCCCCGCCGCCCCGTGCCCCCCGCCCCAGCCGCCTGCCCCCCGCCTCTACCCACCGCTGCCGCCCCACGGAGGGGACCGTGACTGGGACCTCCCCGAGCTGCCCACTCCTGAGGCCACCCCGGAGCCCCCCGCCAGGACACCCCGGGAGCGGGCAGCAGAGCCCCGACGCGGCCTCGGCACCCCAGGGTGCCCAGAGCCCCCCGGGCCGGGACCCCCGCCCAAGGCCTCCCTGGAGGAACGGCTGCAGAGGCTGCAGGGGCCAGGGGGGGCGGGATGGCCGCTGTCCCCTGGCCCCACAGCCACCGGCTCCTTTGCCAACCGGGTGCAGCCCGGCGTCCCACTGCCCAGCGTCCCCCTGCCCCCCCGGGACGGGGCACCCCGGCGCCTCGACGTGCCCCCTGACAGCCCCCCCCCGCCCCGCCGGCCCCTAGCACAGAGGCACTCATTGGCAGGGGTGGCGGGCACGGCAGCGAGGCCGCCTGGCATGGCCCGGGGCCTGGCCCGCATGCACTCGCTGGGGGCCCCGGGGGGGCCACCCTGGGGTCCCCGTCCCGTCCCCCTCCAGCGCTCCCTCTCCATGAAGCCCCCCGTGCTGCCCAAGCCCCTGCTGGTGCCCTGCGGCCCCTGGGCAGCCCTGAGCCCCTGCCTCAGGGACACGGCAGCCACAGCACCCTGGGGGGCTCCGTCCGATGCCTCCCCCCCTCGAGCCATCATCTTCCTGCACTGGTGACCGGGTCCATGCTCCCCCCCCACTTTGTCCCAAGGGATGAGGGACCCTGTCCCCAAGGTGCCCCCCCCGCCCTGCTGGGATGCCAAGGATCACCATGTCCTCGAGCTGTCCCCACCTCCCTCCCCTGGGTGATGGGGACCCTCCACGTCCTCAAGCCCCCCTGGGGGCCAGGTGTCCTCACGCCCCCAGCTGCCCCCATCTCCCACCCCCCCCCAGCTGCTCCCTGTGCCAGCCCCAGTGACCCCACGCTCCTGAGCCACCCCCCTTCAGTCCCAGCTGAGGAGGGGGCCCCATGCTCCCCACCCCCCGGCATCCCCAGGGTGTCTTTGTGTTTTTGTGTCCCCGTTTCTAATTTATTCACTGCTCTGGGGGCCACATGAGCCGCCACTGGCCATGGGCCCCTGGGGACAAGGCTGGACGGGGACAGGGCGGCTCTGCCCCAGAGCTGTTTGTCCTACTGTGTAGGACCAAGGCTCGTTCACGGCAATTAAACACTTGGTGTCCCCAGCTCCGGCGCCCGCATGGCTTTGTCTGGGGTTTCGAGGGCTGGGAGCAGGGCAGGACAGGGGATGGATGCAGGTTGGTGCCACCTGCCTGAGCCCCAAGGGGGGGCACCCTGGAGGGTGGCTTGGGGACAAGAGGAGGTGACAACGCGCTGGAGCTGGTGCTGGCAGCCAAGGGTCCCGCAAAAGACAAAAGCTGCTCACTGAGGATGTGGTATTTTATTAAGAAACAGTACAAAAACGTATAAATGTTTAAATTTCCACATTTCCAAACGTTTACCCGAAATACAAACAGGAAAGCTGGAGCTTTCACACCAGGAGCCTGGACATTAAGCTATGGGGAACGCGGGGCAGCGCAGGGCACTTTGTTCCTTGGCTACTAGCGGGGTCCTTAAGCAACCCGCAGCAGGGAAGCAGCAAACACAATTTGCAATAAATACCCAGCTGGGTGCTGCACCTGGTACAGGGGAAGTGTCTGATGGATGTGAGGGTACAGAAATAGGGACTGGGCAGAGCTGGGGAGCACCAAGCCACAGGCAGGCAGCAGGCTCGGGGGCTCCCACCAGCGGGATGGGGAACCCCAGCTGAAAGCCCTGGAGGACGTCTCCACACGCAGCCTCCCTCGGGCCTGGGGTTCGTTTATTCAGCCTGAACAAATCCCTGCACAGTCAGCTGCGGAAGACTGAGCTCCCGTTTCTGTGACCTCCTCCCTTGCTCATCCCCACAGGATTTGCTACGCCCTGCTTCCGATTTTGGGTAATGGGAACTGTTTATAGCTGGCTACTGCAAAAAGAGGGAAATAGATTTCTAATCAAAATGAAAACAGTTCAATTAGCACCAAATCACCTCTTCAAACAGGAGAAACAAGGCACAAACAAGGCACGCTAGTCTTAGACATGACTGAAATGTGTCCCAGGGAGCAGTCCTGGATCGGGACCTGGGGGGAGGGAGGGGGAGAACCCCGAAGCAGAGGGAGCCTGGGCTCTGCAAGGGGCCCGAGGGTGCCAGAGCGGGGCTGCTGCACGTGCCCTCGCTGCCCTCGGGTTGGCGGTGGGACAGAAATCGCACTGACCTTTTCAGCCAAGTGAAAAGGGGAAAGAATTCAGTTCAGACCACAGCTTCTGCATCAGCATCTCCAGGAAATCATCTGGGACTTTCCTGCCTGCCCAAGCACGCAGCTGAGCTGCAATCCCCAGCTCGCAGAGGCCGGGAAGCTGGGCTGGAAGCGTGGGCAGCAGGATCTCGGTGCTGCACGCTGATAGCAGTCTCAAAGAGCAAGGGGCTTGCTTAGCCTTTAACCTCATCGACTCCTGTGCTCGCCCATCCACAGCCTGCTGTGAAGTGCCTGGACTCGGATGGCGTGGGCAACAAAAGCCCTGACACGGCGAAGTCCAGCCCCGGCTTCAGTGGGAGGGTGCAAGAGGAGAGGTTATTTACCCGCTCAGAAGCTGCCACTTAATCTCGCCAGTAACAACAGACCCACACGGCCACGTCTGACAAGAAAACTGCTGTTCTCTGCCTAAAAAACTCCAATCCTTTCTGTGGAACAGCAGAGGATACAGACAAGTTTAAATTCTTTCTAAATGCTGGGCATAGATCAAATACTCCTCGGTCTTTGTTCAGGCCCCGTGTGCGAGGCCTTCTAAAAATAAAATGAACGTGCGATTCCCCCCACAAGGCGAAGCATTAAGAACACTGTCAGCTTTATTTGTTCCAATTCTATAAATGAAATCCAATTACCGTGAATGCCACAGACTTTTTTTCTTCTCTTCTGAAGGGGAAGTTTGTTTCCCAGCTGAAGGGACTTTTTGGCAAAACTGGCCCTTTTCAGGGGAAGCATGGAAATACATGAGAATCAAAGTGCTGTCAAAGGCACAACACAGCATTTGTACTACAGCTGCCTTCAGCTGTAGAGCTCTTCAAATTTACAAATAATTAGACTAACTTCAGGCAAAAGGGAGAAGCCAAAGTTGACAGTGTCCCTTTACATCCAGTAATGTTTCTGGGAACAACATATTAGAAGAATCTGTCTGGATTTACTTTGATACCGTCTTGAACCCTCCAACACAGACTTTTCAGCTCATCAAATGCACCCAAATTTTGGACATTCTGGGGAACAAAATAAAATAACTTAATACAAGCTTGAAGTCAGCGAGGAAATACTGACTTCCCAGAGTGTAAGTCAACAGCCAGGAACCAAGTCTCTGCAAACATTCATTCTTACAAAATAATTATTAAAGCCTTCTTCAAAACATCTCTTGGAAAAAGATAAAAAGTCTTAGTTATAAATATAGCTACACTGGTTATAAATAAATGCACTTAGATTCTCAAAACCCAGCAAGTCTCATGAAGCCTTTACAGTAACAGTATCATAAACCTTTCTCTCCTAAAACCTGTCACTGAACCCGAGTGGTTAAACACTGCCAAACATTGCCGGATACAAGATTTTGGCAGACCTGACCTCCCTTTGAGGCCAAAGCTCAAATAAATTGCAGGGTGCTGGACACGAGCACTCCAGGAATGAAGCTCTTCTCAAGTGCCTCAGCACAAGAGTTTCTGCGTGGGACGGGGTGAACGCCAGCTGTTAAAGCACGGCAAAGCTTCACAAACCGTTTGTTGCCTGCACGGGGTCCAGCACAAACAAGGCCACGACACTTCAGCCACGAGCTGACCCCCGAGGCACCGCCACCACCGAGAGCTGAGTGCTCTGCGGCAGGAGCACGCTGCCCTGGAGAGTGATTTTATGATGCAAAGCTTTTTTTTTTTATGGTGACAAATGTGGCCCGTGACCGTAAGTTCATGCCTTTATGAACTCTTCGGTTTCTGTTACATCTCAAACGTTCTGATACGGGTTGAGCTATCAGCAAAGAAATGTGAACATTGGCAGTGTCTGAACCAACAGAAAACAGTTATCTGGACACGCTTGGAAGTAATGGGGAACAAAAAGCAATGCAAGGACCATGAAATTGAATGATTACCTCAAATACTGCCAACGGTTACAAAACGAGGACATGGAAATTAAAAGAAACAAACACCCAAACCAATAAACCCTGGGCCGAGACAGCTATGAATTTTTATCTTGCGAGAAGGCATTTTCAGAAAGCAGGCCAGCTGCTAGGGCCTCGGAGCTGGAAGTCGCTCCTAGCCTTTACAACCTTCTGCAGCCAAGAGAGCAGCGTGCATGTGGTATTTTTCTGAACTTCACTTCTTTTGCTCGTGACTGCTGAGGGAGAAAAAGCTTCCATTATCAATTGCCATGCGATTATTCAGATCTCTTCCAATCAATTTCCACACTGTCTTGAAACACATAATCCACAAGCCTGCGAAGAGGAAAGCATTTAGCTATTCTCTTTAATAAACAGGCCTGCAGAGTAAAAAAATATGAACATTTCAGTAACAAGATCAGCTGCTTGTTAGAAAAGGTTTTAGCATCTTTAAAAATAAAAACTGTTTAGTAAAAAAGTGACATATGTATCTCCAGAGACAAACTGGCTCCCAAGCTGTCTTACAGCAAGAGCTGAGTGTATAGTTTTGCATCTATAATCAGTCAGCGCTACTCTTCAGCACAGAAGTGTCAAATAGAACAGTTGACTAAATTTCATAAAATTGATGAGGATTTTTCTGTGATCCCTTTGGGTGGTTGAAGCTCCACCGAACTTTTCCACAGTCCAAAGAAGGCAAAATGTAATATCCCCTGCTATCCTGAAACGCTCCAGCAGACACACAGTCAGCCTGGCCTTTGCTCTTGCATTGAAGATTGCCTCAATGTGAACTAAACGCAGACTTTTGGAACAAAACATATAATTGTTCAATGCCAATTCATTTCCTAGCTAAAGTGGGGAAATCCACTCCTGCACCTCAGAAGACTGTAAATAAAAATGTATCACTCCAAGAAATTGTTTTTTTGGTTTTGGTTTTTGTTTTTTTTTTTTTATCTGAAGGTCCAGATCTGGTCACTCAACTTCAGAGAAGGGAGCGAACACCTCGGGTTATTGCATAAAGTCTGTTCTCAGAGCTGCAACTGCCAGGCAGCTGAGAGCTAATACCAGCTACTTTGGCAATGAGGTATTTCTTTTCCACTCCCAACAATGCAGGTATTAACATCACAAAATAAGCCTTCAGGTCACTTGCTGGCTAAAATTTGCAAAAGCTTTCAATCTTTCAAGGTCAAGCTTTAAAAGCACCTTTTGGCACTGTGCTGAAAGCAGAGTTATGTTGTGAGCTGCTGTAGAAGTTTCTATCCCTGGTGACGGGACCATTCAGGCAGCCCCATCGCATCATTTTCCAGTTGTGCAGTGGCTCTGCCAACAGCCCTCTGCTCGCAACGATGTTTGCCAACAGCACCATATTAAAAAAAAAAAGTTATTTTCCTTTACAAAACCAAGTCAATAACCCAGGATTAGGAGGTTACAGTTTCCACAGTGATATCAGTCGGCTGATCCATTTCCATCATGGACAACGCAGACCCCTCAATGTCTTCCGAGGTTACCACAACTGTGTCTACCTCGGCGACCTCTTCGAGCACTGCTACCTCTGCTCCGTTGGGCTGCTGCCTCACCATGGCTGCTAGCTTCAGCCGATACTGCTCCGCTTCCTGCTCTTTCTTTATGAGCTGGCTGCGATATTCCTGAGCTTTCCGGTTTGCCTCTTGCAGCTGCTGCTGCAGCACTTCCCTTTCATCATTGTCCTACAGAAAACAAAGTTGAGAGCCCATGATGGAGGCCCAACCTGCGACAGGAAGGTCAGCACAAGGAAACAGGGTGTGCCACTACTAGAACAGTTACGTGTTACAAAAGCAAAATGCTCTACGGCAGCGCTCCTAACGTGCTTGAACTGAGCTGTGTTCAACTGGCTTGTTTGTCACAGGTTACCAGAATCAACCGGGACAAAGGAAGACACAAAGTGGCTGGCAAGTTTCCCCAACATGTGCAGGGAGGCGAGCCGGTTAAGTTACACATCATCTCACCAGGATGAATTTTGAAGGCTATAAAGCAAGTGTAAGCAATAAGCAAGAAAGAAAAATAAAGAGCTATTTGTGCTGAAAAGTTTTGAGGCAATCAAGAAAACTGTTCTTCCCCAAGACAGAGTCGTTCCTGCTGCATGTATGATTTGGCTTACACCCAGCCTACGTTGTACTTCTAGAGGAAATCCTAAATAATCTCAGTCAACTACCACGATTCATGTAAAAACTCCGAGCTATTGCTTTGACATTGGCAAAACTGCAACCAGTCATTTATCTGGCTCTTTTTCCGCAGGTAGCAGGAAAACCTGACTGAGTAATGCTCAGCTCAACCGCCTGCATGTTCATGCTAATGCAGGAGCATATGCGGGAAGAGCAGGGAACCACCATGCAGGGTTCATTACAGCAACATACTCTGGCTCAGCTGAGCAGGGCACAGCTAATTTCCACTCTGATGGCTTTGGCAAACCGGGAACCCGACGTTCTTAGCATAGTAGAGAACCACTCATGAGACAACAGCAGTTACAAGAAGGAATATCTACCTTGCTTTCCTCCAAGTCATTTACATTTTGTTCCACTTTTTGCTTCTTGGCCAGTGGCTCTTCCTCCTCTTCTGCGTCATCTCCATCTTCAATAATAGTCTCTTCTGCAACCTGACCAGCAGGTACAGTTAAAACTGAAAAATTAAAAGGTGACAAATTATGCAGTGTGAGACATGCTTTTGCACAGATGTTTCCTGAAAGAAGTCACTGCATCAGAGCGGTTCTGAAGAAAAAGAGACTCATGGATCAGCAATGCTGTAGTTTTTCCAGAGAGGAGAGAAACTCTGGAGCAGCTTTTCAGTTCCCTCTATTCAGGCCCTTGTTTTAGACCATTTGCTGTAAGAAGCACCCGGGTATTTCAGGGCTGACAGAAGCCTGAGTCAGATTTGCATCTCAGAACACATGTGAAGTAAAATTATCCTTCTGATGGCTCGGTAATGTAATTATTAGCCAGGACACTTGTAAGCAAGAGGAACAGAAAACTCTTCTCGAAAATTCCCTGTACAGACAGTCCCCCTGGCTAAGCTCGGAATCAGCTTTAAGCACATGCAATAGCTGCAAATACTCTGAAGAACAAATGTGTCTTAAATCTGAACGCATGAGTTTGGGAAGCCAGTAGCAAGAATTCATCCAACCAAGGAGGAGAAATGAGCCACGTGAGGTACTGAAGGTAGCTCTACCTAAACAATTCTTTCTTTGTCTGCCTTAGACTCAGAATGGGCTACAAGCCAGGAATTATTTGTTGTAATTTGGAAAATAATTCTGAATAATTAACAGCTTTGGAAAATTGCTTTCTACTCACAAAGTCTGTAAGCAGACAGAAATGATGTAACCTATCTCACACTGTATGTATGTCACAGGAGAGCTAATTTCCTAATCCTCTTTTTCCTGCACCAATATTAATCCAAATAATCAAGTATCCCTAGGACACGTTAAAAGAATTGTCAGTAGGAGACAAGGCTGATGAATTACATCCCTTGCGGAAATAAGAATTCACTAGAAGCACTCTGGAGCTCTGCCCTGCATTACTGAACACGATTTAAATTTGCCTTGTAAAATTGATAGATTATATTGCCTTAGGCTATATAACTACAGGTTTAGGAAGAAGAGGCACATTTAAGCTGATATTAATGTCCTAACGCTAACTCTGACGTGACAATGGAGCAATTCCCAAAGGCAACAGGTCGCAGTTTCAGCACTCAAGTGATTTACTCCCTGACCGGGAAACCGGCCACAAGATAACAGACCCACCTTTCCTGGCTGCCAGAGACAACAGCTGACACGGCACTTCTCAGCCCACAGCTTTATGGTGAAGGTGCTTGGTTTTAATACAAAGATCAAAATATTAAAGCGCAGCAGCATGGATGCGTGTTAAACTGCAAACATGCCACTGGCAAGCTTTACCACTGACGGCAGTCCCACAAGCATTTTAACCCCTCCTGGAGCCCTGCGGTCAGGCAGGGATCTGGTTGTTGTACCACACTGCTGACAAGCCAAGCCATACGAACAGCCTTCCTTGCGTGGCTCGGCGAGGCTTACAGCCACCAGTGGTTTTTTTCTTTTTGAAGTTAATCCTCAGCGCTGCCTTACAGCTTTCCAAGCTCAGCTCCTCCGTACCTTGCTGTCCATCTTCCATGGTGACGATGAACGGCTGGCTGAGGCTGCTGGTGGGGACGGCTGTCTGCAGGGTGCCCAGGGGAACTCCGTCGGTTACAATGGTGATGACGCGCTGCCCTCCGCTACCCACCACTTGCTGTATGGCAGAATCAACAGAACTTGCTTCCACTATTTCCTCTGTATTACCTTGAGAAATAAAGTGCATGCCAAAAAAAAAAAAAAAAACAAAAAAAAAAACAAAAAACAGTCAGCATTTCCTTCTCTCTTCCTTGAATTGAGACTGAAGCCTAGGGAAAAAGCTCAAGCACACAGCATGAGAATCCTGGAGTGCTTGCTTATGAAAAACAAATCTGGAAATATAGTAAGTCTTAAAGAGCGGGGGGGGGGGGGGACACCAAAACAAAACAACAACAAAAAAAACCACACTAGGCTTCTGTAAAACAGTTTTTAAAAACAGTTATTTTTTTCCATAAATGAGTAAGATCAAAGCACTAGCATCCCACCACATTAATGAAGACTGGAGCTTAAGGCAGCTGTTAAGCAGACCTGGCTCTGCCAAGCTTCCTTAAATGACCTTTCCCCCAACTCTAACAAAGACAAACCACACACAAAACTCTTCGTGCTGCAAAGGAGACCACCCCACAAGCACAGCCAAAGCAAGCAGCCGTAAGGAGGCTGTCAGGTTGGGCTGGGTGTCTGCAGACCTGCTCAGCTCTCTGGGACATTTACGGCTTGCACAAATAATCAGGATTGCAGACCCTGGGCTGCTTCCTGCTCCAGCACACACTGCAAGCACAGGAAACAGAGCGTATCTGACCACTACACACGTGCTGGGTACCCAAAAGGAAAACCTTCAGGCTCCAAAGGACAAGGAAGCAGTCTTATGGCACCAACTGCTTAAAGTCAAATCACTCATCTCTAGACTCTAGGAAAAATGCTTAGCTTTGGGGAAAGAAATAAATTCCAAGGTGAATTAAACTTTAATTATCAAATTCCTACATATTAAGTCAATTAAAGGTCAAACATGACGCTGTACAAACATAACAACAGATCTTTTAGAACAAAAAGCAAACAAACAAAAAAAAATAAAAGAAAACTGCCAGCACTTTCTGTAAGAAAAAGTTACCAGAGCCTCAAGAGACTTAAAACATCGGCTGACTACCAAGATTTTATAGGGATGAGAAGCTGAGCAACTGCAGACAAGGAAACATTTCAGACAATTTCCTTATTAAACAAATATTTATCTACACTTATGTATTAAAGTAAATCCATATTCTGAAGGGGTTTTCTTCTTTTTTTTTCTTTAACTGATAAAGCAAGCCAAGAGCAACATATGTGATGCCATGGCAAGGCTGGCTGCTTAATAAACGCAGAGTTATTTCTATTAATAACAGTTGCTGGGTTTTGAATTAAGTTTGAAATGCGATTAGAAATAAATAAATAAATAGAATCAACAACCCACTGCTTCGCAAATATTTATCATCATCTCTTATTTACCCAGAAAAAAGGCAAACTCACAGGTATCTTAAATTGCCTTCAATTTCCTGGCAAGAGACTCTCTAGAACTGCACGAATTTGAATGGGCATCCAACTGCTCTCCCCTACCTGTAGCTCTGTTTGAGTTGGAAAGAGGTGCTGATGCTTCAGCAAGGGCTGCAAGCGTGGCGAGCACAGAGGTTGTTGAATTGGAAAACTGCACCGTGGATACGTGTGAGTCACCTGCTGGAGAAAGATGGGGGAAAACTGAAGAATTTTCAGGGCCTGCTGTATCTGAAGAGGAAATACAGCAGTCAGATTGCAACGATTTTGTCACCCAGAGATCAAGATATCAGATGTGAAAGGGAAGTGGAACAGATCATTTGTCATGAGAAGTGCCTTTCCTACGACTAACTGTAAAAAGGGCTTTGATATTTAGGACAGACCATGTTCAATCTGAATACTTTATGATAATTTTAATCCAATTTAAACACAAATTTCATTAATTTATTATTTATCTTTGTAACAAAAAGAGCGGCAACGTGAACTGATTTGCTCCAGCATCATTGTAGGAATTACAGAAAGGCAGACTGTCTGCTGGGCTACTTGGCATGCCGAGCTTCGATCTGGAGACGTGGATGTTTTTTCAAGATGTAGCCGTGCTGCCTGATGCCACTCACAGTAGTGCTGAGCTCTGATTGCTGTGATATTATGCAGAGTGGTTGCTATGTGCATAATTACTTGGCTTTGCACCTTATCATTGTAACTTTCAAAATTGCAAATCCTAAGGAATATATTGAACTATATCAACTATGTCAACAGAGCCTTTTGCTCAAATTTATAAATTGGCTAAGTATATCCCTTTAGGTCAACGTACTGGGCATACTGGTCCTTTTTTTCTCCCTTCTCAGGTCTAGTAATGAAAAGCACAAGGTTACTTAAATGGTGTATTGATTTGAATGAGATAAGCAAGTCTTCTCAATTCCAAAAACAATGTTTCTTCCTCCAATTGACCACAGTAATTCCTATTCAAAGCAGACTTAATAAGAATGGAACAGGAAACTGAGGTCAATGGGCGCAAACTCCGTATTTTATTTGCATGCATGTAACCTACAATCTCCCCACCCCGCCAGAAAAAAAAAAAAAAGTGAGATCCTGTACCTCACTGCCAGCATAGATTGTAAATACACGAAGGGAAGTTCATCTAAAGTGTCCCTGCCTTAACCCCTGCAGCCCATTTTCTCTTTCACACACTGGCTCCTTGATTTTATGAAGGTTATCAACTGATTTATTTTCAAAGAAAAATGCCTCCAAAAAGGATACGGCCTAGGCACACGAAAATGCTGTGGGGCTTAGTAAATGTTTTCAGCAACTTGTAATCAGATTTCTTCAGACTAGCTAAATATGCTTATTCCCATTTAAAAACCTTTTCAGTAACTGGAGACATAAAGAACTGAAGAGAAGTGAGAGGAATTACTAGCTGTAAAAGCCTTGTAGGAGAGGGATTATTATTTTTTGTTGGTGTTATGATAGTGCAGTCATTGACGCCCTCCTGTGGGCAATGAGAAAAAAATCTGACATGGCCTAGAGCTGGAGCAGCTCAGGACCGTCTGTTTTCACACTGCCCAGCTACTGACGATGCTGGAAATGTTATGGGGGGAATAACCCCGGGTACTTTAGTCAAGTCACACGTGGGCAGTAAGTCCACATCACCACTGTGATGTGGCACTGAGAAGGCAAGGGCATTGGCCTCAGATGTCTACCGGGCTCCAAGACAGCGCTCAACATGGACTGTGGCAAGAGGATCATCCAGCACGCAACCTTTCGAGGGGCCTTTTGAGCCTTAGGCCCCTCTGAGTTCAGGGAATAGCCTTCACCGAAGATGCTGTGTGCCAGTCACGTTGTGTTTTCCTCACAGATGTAACACAACTCTTCTAATCATTTTGCCCCTTCTAAATCAGGATGTCAGTGCAAAGCTATGAGCAGCACTGAAAGCTTTGAGATTAAGTCCAGTGTTGCTGAATTCACTGTGGCCAAACACAGGCAGAGAGGTCTGGGTGGGACTGCAGAACATCATTATCCAAGATTTTTAAAGCACTCTAGTTAATAAGCATTCATGCATGTGAACAGTCCCACTAACCAAAGAATTACTCACATGCAGAAGTGTTTGCAGGATGAGGCCAAATAGCTTCACAAAACTTGTGTTTAGTAGCCTCCTTGTGACTGAAAACAATGGTTTGGATTTCCCCAAATACAGAAAATTAACTTTAGAGTTATTATGAAAATTGGAATTATACAAAAAAGAATTTGCGCTCAGCCTTAAGTTAAAGTGTTCTCCCCACTAAGCTAGGGCTTACAGGACAATGAGGAACCTAATTATTCCCATCTAACACGTGGGGGGAGGGAATGGTGGAGAATGAGTAATATGCGTATCCCATAGACCTGCTTATTGTGAGAAAACTTTTCACTGGTTCCTTACTCAACATTACGTATACCAAAATATCCATGCAACTCCTTTAGCCAACAAAGAACAAAGCCAGCCATTCCCCAACAGCTCTCTAATGCTACAGATCTGGCACAGACAATAGTTTCCATTACTCGTCTGTTGCAATCATCCAAATCCATTTTCCCAAGCTCTGGTGCTTTTAACAGACCTGAAGCAGAGCCACAGCTGAGCTCAGCAGAGCTTCACCACTTACAGTAGAACTACCCTTACTTACATCAGCTAGAAGTTTGCTTTGCTGCCTTCAACAGGAAAATTATACATATATTCTGGGGCAAGAAGCAGTAGTTTGGTGCATTTGGCTGTGCTTCACCACTTTTCCTCTACTAAATGACCCTCTGCCCCCTGCTGGTAAGCAGTCTGCATCCCTATGAACCTCATAGAGGAAAAGTTTTCTCAAGGCTTTCCCATGCAAGGTCCCATAAAACCTCACCTGAGGTTGTTTTGGCATTTGCTGACGAGACGAGACTAGCAAGATTGAGAACTTCCCCTGGTGCAAGAATAAATGGTGAGGTGACAGTCAGGGTGTTTGTGACAGGATGTGCTCTCTCTGGATGCGTGTTCACCTGGTTCTGCATCGCTTCCTAGGAAAGACATTGGGGTTAAGCGTGTACTACCTTATGCCTTCTGTGGTAAACAGGAGTATTCGGCATCCTTGTAACATCTCAGAGGCAGATTATTTCTCTCTGCAGCACATCAGTGACACCAGTGCAAAAGCCGTTGCAAAACTGCCATCTAAATTGGCAGCACACACTATTGTGGCATGTTATTGTGCAAGATGTGTGCAATTCAAATCCTATCAGCCAATTTAGTCCTTGTAGGCACACACTGGTTGGTTGGGAAATAATAATAATTAAAAAAATCTACCTCCTTATCTCCACTTTTTTCTAACAGAAAATGATTCCATCAGATGCAACAGGATCCCTCTCCCCTTAGCGCAGATCTGCCTGAGGTAGACACACAGATTCCCTTCCAGATCAACAGGGAGAAACACACATTTCTGGAAAGTGAGTCACCCAGCCTATTTGGACTCCTACCTTGGGATACTGTGATTCATCTCCCAGAGGCAATCATTTCACTGATTTCACACAAAAAGGAGTTCATGAAGTCAGCCCAGACAGATTCTGCACTGGTGACATCTGAACCAAGAGCTGGCATTTGCCAAGCCATGTGTCTTGGTTTCAGCTAGGACAGAGGTAATTTTCCTCCTAGTGGCTGGTACGGTGCTGTGTTTTGGGTTTAGGATATGAATAATGTTGATAACGCGCTGATGTTTTAACTTTTACTGAGCAGCCGACCCAAACTGGCCAAAGGGATATTCCGTACCATGCGATGTCATGCTGAACAGTTAGTATAGGTGGCTGGACGGGTTCGGGGGGAACCACTGGGATGGGATGGACATTGGTCAGCGGGTGGTGAGCAGTTGCATTGCGTATCACTTGCTTTGAACACCTTATTATTACTATTATTATTTCTCTTCCTTTTCTTTGCTATTAAACCATCTTTATCTCAACCCACAAGCTTTTAATTTTTTTTCCCCCCGATTCTCTCCCCCATCCCACTGGGAGGGGAGCGAACAGCTACATGGTGCTGAACTGCCTGCTGGGTTAAAACACAACACCATGTGAGGCTGCCACATTATAAAAGTTAACTTAGCACTTCTAGTCTGAGCATCAGAGTTTCCATAAGAAACATCTGTTCTAGTTTTTCCGGCAGTTGTGGGTCACAAAATTACCAGCAAGTTTCTCCTTCCTCGGCCTACCTGTAGTATTACCAGAGTCTCTGGATTGTTCTTGTCCAAAGCAATATCAAAAGCTGACTTATCAAACTTGCTGAAAGCGTGGACATCAGCTCCATATTTGATGAGCAACTCTACAACGTCTCGGTGGTTATGCTCTGTCGCCCAGTGTAAAGCAGTCATTTTCAGCATGTCCTTGGCATTTACATCAGCTCCATTCTAAAAGAGAGAGATGTTACTTGTCAGCACGCTGTCTTTTCTCAATACAAAGCATCAATGAGCAGATGTAACAGACCCCTGTCAAAGAGCTCGGTTGTACTCTTCTGATTTTAACCTCAACCACTGTCATCTGGATTATTCACAAAATAGCTGGTAAAACAAAACTCTGACATGGTCATGAAGTTCTCACAGCACCACTTTAACTTCAGCATTCACAGGATGTTTCCTTCTGTCCTGCAGGAGATATTTTACTGTGTCTTAAAGGTGGTACCTGTGCTAGCATTTAAACAGGGACATCAACACTTAGATTCCCAGGCCATTTAGACCTGCCTGAAAGTTATACCTGATTTACTGTACTTACCCTAATTAACAATTCTACAATATGAGTGTGTCCATCAGCTGCAGCCATGTGTAGTGGAGTCCGGTCCACTTTTGTTCGGGCATCTCTGCTAACACCAGCTCGAAGTAGCACCTCTGCTGTTGAATAGTGGCCGTACTGGGCAGCAAGGTGAAGAGGCGACGTCCCAAGCTGCATGTTAATTTGGGAGAGTTACCGTTGATGCACGGCAAGAGAGGGTAAGCAAAGTAATCATCGCACACATGTCCAGCAGTAATGAGAATGACAAAGTTTCTAGAAAAAATTAATCTTTTTTTCCTCCACTCAGAAATAGAGGGCTGCACACCCAAAATATTTTTATGGCAAGCATTAAGTTATCTGCCAACCCAGACTCTTTATTTTACTTGGTTACAGGGTTGCTTTTACTTATTTTACTGGGTTATAACATTATTTTATTTTACTGCTCCCACTTTCATTTCTATCCTTTAGCACCAAAGAGTGCAACACATCTCACAAAGAAAGCCAACGTCTGTATCCCTCCGACATACCCAGTCAGTGGTGAAAGGAGCACCATTTGCCATCAACGTTCGCACTTCGTCATCTTCGCCTTTGCGAGCTGCTTCTAGCAACCTCTTCCCTAGGTCCACTAAGGACATCTTTATACATGGGAACAAGTATTTGCTGAAAGCTGCTTTAAAAGGTGGGAGCAAGAAATGGAAAACAAATGAAGAAACAGAAGACAGTGAGGCACAGACATCAAAACCCAGTACAACTAAGGCCTGGCTGGCCAGCTAGCAGACACACAGAACTAGGCCCAACCCCATACAAAACAGGCAAAAGTATCTATCCGTTTTTCAGTTCCACACCTCAAACATCAAGGGAAGGCAACACAGTCTCAGACTGCTGGCAGACCAGACCTTACAAGGCCCCAGAGCTCCTGCAAAATCCCACTTACCTCAACAGCACCTTGTGCAGACACAAAGACTTGCCCATGTGGATCCCGTTTCACGAGCAGAACCTATAAAAGCAACAGCAAAGCAGTTCCTGCTTATTGCACAACATCACTTTGATTTTCCAAGTGCTTTAATCTCCAAGACTCTCTCTGACCCCAGCACTTAGGGCTAAGCGTGGGGGAACCACCCCTGCTCTCTGCCAGGAGAGAATAAAACAAACCTCGGTGACTCCAGTGACTTGGTCAAGGTCATAAAAGGAGCAGAACTCAAAAGCTCCCAGTCCTGCAGCCAGCCTACCAGACAACAGCGTCTCTATTTATTCCCAACTACATTCAGCATACCATGGTTATGGCAGTGAACTACAGCATTTTTCTCCACAATAGGGTTACGCTGGTAGCCAGTCCTATGAAAGACTGACTTTAAAGTCAATCCACTAACTCTTTACAACGTTCATTTAGCGACTACAAACGCCAGTCTGTGCAACTGTGTGCTGGGCCACACAGCACAACAGTGACTCCAACAGCACTGAAGCCCGTAAATGATTTTTTTAATTTCCTTCAACTGCAGTTCTCTGAAATCGTTGGAAGGCTCTACAAGAGGGTCTTTCTTGAATGAAGAATTCAAGAGAAGTGTCCCACTCTTTCCTCAGTGATGGACTGCGTGCAGACAGCCATCAGCAAAACAAGCCCCTGAACGGAAAGCTGAACAGCGAGCCCTAAACCTCCTCTGGCAACGCTATTTATTAACTTCTCCCTCCAAAAACACATCACACTTTGTAATATTATTCCAAACTCGCAGCTCTTTCTAAGAGAGAAGTGCAGCACTCGAGTCTTGGAAGTCAGGAACCAAGTGATGCTGAGTGCACAAGAACACTTCCAGAACTGTGAGCGTGAGAAAAAATATAATAATCATAAAAAAATCTAGCTGTTCCTACAGGTGCGACAGGGAAGGGTTAGGATTCCTCTGGACCTGTCCCCGACCACTGCCCAGCGCCAGCGCCCAGGAGGTCCCCGGGGGGATGAGCTCGGGACTCAGCCCTCACTTGTGCCGGGTGCTCCGGACCTTGGCAGCATTTAGGACGCCTGTGTTTGAGCACCACAGCCCCCTGCCCTTTAGGAACTTCCCGGTTTGTTTTTCTCTGACTTCTCGTGGGCCAGACACTATTTTCCGGGGCTCCTTCTCGTTGCCCACGTCGAACACAACTTCGCCAGGCATCGGTGGTTGCCCCGCGCCTGCTGGGTTCCCTGCACGGTTACGGGGCCAGGGCTCAGCACTCCGTGTGAGGAAAGGAGAGGAAAAAGGAAAAAGGAAAGAAAGGAAAGGAGGCAGCGGGTGGTTAACCGAGCCCGCCGGCTTCCCCGCTCTGACTAGGTTTCGATGCAGAGCTCAGGGATTCGGATCAGTGGGGGCTGTGAGTGTCAGAGGCTGGGCTCGGTGATGCCGAGGTCTCTCCCAACCTCACTCTGTGACTCTGTGACTCGGGATCCCGGTCCCGTTCGTTCTCAGAGGCCTCTCCGCCCGCTCCCGCCCCCCCGGCAGCCCCCAGCCCCCAGCCCCCAGCCCCGGGTTTTTATTTTTCAAGCCCTCCGCGTCCCCCCCAGCCGGACAGCGCTGTCAGGCTCCCGCCCCGCTCCCCTCACGGCTCCTTTCCCCCCCCCCCGAGTGCTCCGAGCCCCCCGGGCTTCGGCGGGGACCCCGCTGCCCCCCCCCAGCCCCCCCCCTGAGCGCTGCTCCCCGCCAGGACCCCCGCCAGGGGCCCCTCCGAGCCCCCTCCCCTCCCCCCCGGGCACCCCGATACCTCCCCCGTGCCTCGCCGCCCCCCCCCCCCCCCGCGCCCCCTCCCCTCGGGCACGCGCGCAGCCGACGCACGCGCGCCCCCAGCCCCAGCCCCCCCCCAGCCCCACTCACGCTCCGGCTCGGGCCCCCCCCCCCCCGGGCTCTCTCGGCTGTTCCCGCGCTCAGCACCGCCCCCTCCTCGCTCGCCCGCCCCCTCCCCTCCCGGCTCTTCCCGCCCCTCCCGCCGCGGCCGCACAAAATGGCCGACGCGGAGGCGAAACGGCGGAGGGATAAGGTACCAGCGACCACAAAGAGTCCGCTGAGGGAGGGCAAGAGGGGTGGGCTAAGAGGTTCCTCCGTCTCCTCCTCATCCTTCTCCTCCTCACACGGGCCGGGACGGAGGGAGGGTGGCGAAGTGCCGAGCGGCGGGGCAGCCGGGAACGGGACTATTTTCTCTAGCTAAGGTATTGCAGCTGCCGGAGGCGGAGGAATACGCGCACCGCAGGTAGTTCCGGCAGAGGCGTTTGGGCGCCAAGTATAAAAGGGCGGCGGCGGAGCCCGGAGGCTGTGGCGCCGCCCTGAGGCAGCGGTGGGGGCCGCGAGTGCGGCTCTTCGGCGTGAGGCTGGGTCCCCGGCCTCTGATGCCGCTGTGTACATAAATATATTTCGTGTGGTGTGCGCGTGTCTTTTCTGAGCGCCTTTCTGCCTCCGAGATGGCTTCCACCCGTAGAAGGGCGCCCTGTGCCATGCTGTGTAGCGATGTACCACCATCAGCCGCCTCTGATGGGTTTTGATCACCTCTTTGGAGGTGGGCGTGAGGCACTGGATCTCCTCCCGGTCACTGCTGGGTCCTGTGCCTGTGTGTCTGCAACAGCCTGCGCTTAATTGACGTTACGGAACCCTTTAGGTTGAAAGAGACCTCCGAGATCACCTAAAATGACAAAGTTACCCCTGGGGACGGGCTGCCGGCTGGTGCCAGGCCCGGGAGCCCCTCAGCAGGGCTGGAGCCTGTCCTGGGATGGCTGTGACGGCCCTGCCGGGCTGCAGGCTCAGGCAGCTGGGAACCAAAGGGGGTTTTGGTCTGTAGAGGAGGCAGGATGATTTTTTACCGCTGTAATCAGCCGGTTCAAAGCTGTCCCTATCAGCGTTTACCCAGCTGCATGGCCCCAGTCTCCCTGCCCAGTGTTTTGTGCAAGGCTCAGCACAAAACATCCACGCCAAGCAGCATTTTGCACCTACTTTGCACTTGTGTCTGTTCCCATCTAGGTCCAGATTTAGCAAAATGTTATGCTTTACCCTAACTAATGATTTACAGTGTAAGTGTCTGAATACTGGAGGTGATCTGGAAATATAATGAATTAAAAAGGCTTCGGGAGGAAAAAGCCTTAAGGAGCAGAGGGCGTTGATAGGAACAAATCAGTGGAGCTGCTCCAATGTGAGGAGAGAGAGACTGGAGTCCAGGGTAAGAGTAACGTAATCCATTAGGTTACAAATTTATATTTTCTGAACTTAAACTCCCCAAATAACAGCCAGGATGGGGCGAGCAATCCACAGCATTTGCAAAGATGCTTTGTTTCATGTTTCCCCATTTCTGTGAAACAGAGGGAAAAAAAAAAAGATTATTTTATGTAGAGCTGTAGAAAAAGCTAAAATCTTTTGTTCTGAGAGGCTAAGGAATGCCAGGCATTTAAAGGCACAGCAAAAGCACCGTGTCTGAAAACGCCCCACTTGGTTCCTGCCATGAACTGCTGGATCGGAAAGGATCAAACCCTGATGCAACACTCACACAAGAGGACATTCAGCCTTTATTAACAGTTGTTAAAGGCAGCATAGTAAAGCAGCAGTGACAGATTGCCAGGTACAGCAACTGTTTACAGTCTGGGGCCTTGGGGTAAACCAGGGCACTTTGAAATATTGAAAAACAAAACAAAATATACTTCCATGGGGGTAATCAAGGGCAAGTGGTGGGTGAGTACAGCAGGTAGAGGTCAGAAAACATTGGCTTGTGAAGGCAAATCAGGTGTTACCTGCCTTGTACTTTTTATTTGATTCTGTTTCTTTCAGATGGATATAAGACACAAATTGGGTGTTACAGAAGGCTGGACACAAATGCCAAGTCTCGCGTGGGAGCCATTTGCTGGACCAGACTCGTTTGGCACAGCGTGGATGCTGTCGGGGCTAGAGGTGAACTGTTCCCTGCTTTTGGTTGCTGCCAGACTTGACCCTGCTGTGCTGTGCACCACGGCTGTCTTCGCTCAAACTCAGCACCCAGTACGGGTTATCAGGGACAGACAGGCACTTGTTTATCTGCCCCATGCTTATGGAGTACGTGGGCTTGAGCAGGACAGCTCGGTGGGGAACATAAGCGCACATTTCTAGGCAGTCTTATGGGCTTTGAAGACACGGTGCCACGTCCTGGAGACATTCCGGGAGTTTCTCCTCACTGCTGTTTTGCTCTTGGGATCATCGTATGAGAGAGACATGTGATTTTGATGTTTATTTTATGTTTTTAGAGCGTTTCTTTCTCGTCTTGGCGCCTGTTCAAGGTGTGCTGAGCACACAGCTGCCAAGCCTGCCTCTCCACCAGGGTGTGCCCTCCCTGCAGCGATCACAGCGGGCTTTTGGCTGCTTGGGCTGTAAGATGGTCCTGGCCAGCACCCGTGTCTTCCTCCTCCCCGATGCATGCCCCTAAACTCCTGGTCCAAAACCCGAGTGTCCAAAAGCTGTTAGCCAGCTCGCAGCCTGGCTCATGCCAACACCCACGGGTCACACACTGGAGCGGGGCTGAGGAGACCTTTTGCCAGGAGAAAACGGGGCTTGGTCAAAGCGCAGGTATTTGAGGGAAACTGGTACATCTTGCCGATGTTTTCGTTTGGAAGAAAGAATTAGCACTGGAGTGGAGCAACCCCCCAGTGGTGAATGTTCTGCTGCACACTCCTTAGAGAGGGGTGTTCCCATTCTCAGTTTCAAAGGCCTTTTTCATTGCACTCATATATATACGAATCTGTGCGCCTGTGCACAAATCTCGAAATCAATAATGATCGCTGTAAGTTGAAAAAATATTTTGTGCCAGCCTAAAGAATAAACTTACTTTTTCACAGATTCATTTTATAGGTGATTTCCAAAGCTTTTCTTCAAGTTTGATTTTTTGGGGGGAGATGGTGTCAAAATAGTCAAATGTTCCGGGGAAACAGAAAAACTTGTTCCTACAAGCCCTCTTGCACCCATACAATATTGATGTAAACAGTTCTGCCAGGTGCAGGGGACCCAGCAATAGGCCTCTCATTTAGCATTCTTTCCAACTTCCAGCATCCAAAAAAAAAAAGTTTTGTCCAAGGCTACATGTTATTGTTTCAGTTATCAGCTCACAGGAAAGACTTAAAACAATTTAATGGCAAATTACTGAAAGAACTCGATTCCAGTCTACCTGGGTTTTTAAGCGTCCACAGGACTGTGTACGTTTTTAAACCATATTATTTTAAATACCTCTCCTGTGGTTTTCACAGCTTGGAGCACAGAAATCACACAGCTTTGCACAGGGGAATTTACATTTTTCACCTCTGCCAGCAGGATGGGTAATTCCTGGAAGTGACAGGAGACCTGCTCTCCATAATGGAGGGCATGATTTTGCCAATATTTGCCTCTTTTTGGTGCCTTTTCAGCACTCGGGCTGCCTCTGGCCACCTGCCCCTGAACTCTTAAGACAATTTGGGGATGTTCCACATCACTACTTCACCAGGATCCGCTACAATTTCACAAAATGCCCCGTGGAACCACATCGAACCCCAAAAGCACATCCAAAAAGACAGGGCCCTCATGTTAGCTCTCCCAGAAAACAATTTTGGAAAATAAAAACGCGTAAAAGCCAACGTGATTCAGGATTTCTGATTTTTTTTTTTCCCCGCTTCAAGATGGCACTGAGAAATAAACCTGGGCCCACGGAGCAGGCATGCGAAAGCTGACCCCAAAGCCGACCCGGCGTCAGGGCCAGGCTCCTGCTGGAAGCCACGCAGTGGTTCCCGCTTGCCCCGGGCTTGCTCCGCTGCGATGCTTTCCAAAGGAAGAAGTGGAGCGAGGAGGCACGAGGCGAGGCCGGAGCTTGGCAGAGAGGATGCCGCCACCCGCCAGCAGGGCCGGGGCGAGCTGTGGGGTTCGACAGCAACGCTGAAAAGCGCCCAGAGACAAAGAAACGACACCGGACAGAACCAACAAAACCAAACCCTGGCATGCCTAGCGGGGAGGGGGGAGAGGGGCGAGGGGAGGACGTCAGATGAGGTCGAAATCGAAGGAGCTGATGCTGGCGATGGGAGCTCTCCAGAAGTTGAAGCTGTTGAAGGGCAGCAGGCTGTCCTCCTCGGCAGAGCTGCCCTGGGCAGCCGCCTCCCGCGGCCCCGGGAGCTTGGCACGGGGCGCGTAGAGGGGCCCCTCGCCCAGCCCCAGCCCCTCCAGCTCCGCCAGCTCCAGCCGCGGGATCGGCATCCTCCAGTAGATGAAGGAGTCGTACTGGTTGCTGATGGTGTCCAGCATCGTCAGGCTGCGAAGAGGGGAGAGGAGGAGGAACGCCCTGGGGCGGCCGCCCCAAAGCTGCCAACGCTCTTGGGCACTGTGGTGTTGGCCAAATCCCACCCCAGAATCAACCTGATGGGGAGGGCAGCCCGTCCTAAGCACAGGAATTCCCAAGGGAATCCCCCCCCCTGCACCTTGGGTGCTTTGGCAAGGTGGGGGGGGGACAGGGAAAAAACAGAGACTTTTTGGAGCAAGGAGGGGCTGCCCACCCCCCATCCATTCCCGCAGCAGGGACAGGAGCCAGGACCCACGAGGAGCCCTTTCTGACAAAAGGGTCTCGCCCCTTCCCTGCGCACAAAGCCAAAGGCATCGCCGTACCCTGGGGGTGCACAGCCAACCCCCCCCCGAAGGGTTCAAACCCACCGGCTGACCTGAAGGAGCCTCCTGCTCCCACCCGTGCTCCCATTTTATGCCCTGAATCCTGCAGGATGACTCAGGCGTACCTCGAACCCAGCCCCCCCCCGGCCCAGCTCTGCAGCAAGGGGCGACTGCCTGCTAAATTTAAGCTCCCCCATCGAACTCGGAGGCTATGAAAGGCTCCTGTGTCACCCCCGGGGAAGGCGAGCCGCAGCGGTTTTAAATAGCCTCCTCCTCAATGGGAGCATCTCCGGGCGCCTCCTGCCCCCTGCTATTTTGCGGTGACAGCAGCACCGTGGACAACGGGCTTAAAGCCCCGAAGGGAGGTGACGGAAGAGCAATCAAAATCACAAAATCTGCTCTGAAAAGGGCAACGGATGCGAGATAAGCCCCCCGCACCGTGTGTCGCCCAGAACAGTCGGGTGGGTGGGCGCAGCGTGCTCAGCGCTGCCCTTCGCCTCATCCCCGCTGCTCACCCCAAAAATCCCGGGGTCCCCACCCGCGCCCTTCCAGCACCCCCAGCCCTTTGCTGCTGTCCCTACCTGCGCGGGGAAGGAGGGCTGGAGGCCGGCCGCTCTTTGTGCTGACAGCCGCACCGCACCGCAGCAGCGTCGCTTTTGTCTGCTGGCGCGCCCGGGTCTGCAATGCAGCCCCTCGCAGCGCCCGCCGTGGGGGGGCCGTGGGCAGATGAGTCAGCAGCCCCCACCCGCGCTGGGATGGACGGACGGACGGACGCGGAGGCGGTGGCGGAGGCGCAGGAGGCGGCTGGGGATACGCTGGGCGTGCGGCGGGGACATGGCCCACCTGCCACGGCCCAGCCCTGTGGCCACCAGCTCACGGCCTGGGGGGGGGCAGCGCCCCCGTTTGCAGCCCCCCCCCCACCCTGGCTGAGGTTCTGTGCACGAGGCGAGGGGGTGCCCGGCACCCCCAGAGCGAGGGCTGCGGGCTGGCAGCTTGCAGGTGAGCGTGGGATGGGGGCCCGGGCGTGCCCGTGTCCCACCCAGGGTTTTGCAGCGCTGCCGGCGGTGGCACGAGATGCAAAATGTCAGGGTTTTGTCCCAAACCGGCCTGCGGGCTGGAAATGGGTGCGAAAGGAGGCGAGCGGCCGTTCCCTCCGAACCCCGGCCCCTGTCTGGGGCGGGTTGGAGGAGCCGCTTCCAACACAGCTGGGGGCACCCGGCCGGGACCCCGGCCCCTGCGGGATTTGGCCTGGGGGGCTGCGGGGGCAGCGGGGCCGTCGTGGCCCTTGGTGCTGCCGCAGCGGGCGCCGTGCAGGCGGAGGAGCCCGGTGGGGACGCGATGGGCCAGCCCGGGGGGGCTTCCAGGGCTTTGCTCCCTCGAGGGGCATCCGTGGAAAAAAAGGGGGGGCTCAGGGCTGGCAAACGGCCCCCCGGGGTGCAGCGGGACCCCGAGCCCTGCTCCCCACTGAGCCCCCCAGAGCCGCCGAGGCTCAGGACCCCCGGCCCTGGCGGTGCCCCCCGGCTGCGCTGAGCCCCGGTCGGGGGCCCCGCGGCTTCACGGGGCACCCCCAGTCCCGGCCCCCCCCATCCCAGCAGCACCCCCAGAGCCCCCCAGGCACCGTTGAGCCCCAGAAGCGGCCCCCAGGAGCTCTCCGGTCCCCTCCCGGTGCCCTCCCGGTCTCCTCCCGGTTCCCCCCGCCCCCCCCCCGCCCCCGGCTCCTGCAATGCTGCCGCCGTCCAGGGTGGGAGCTGTGCGCCGGGCTGGGCCGGGCCGTGCCGGGCGGCGGGGGAGCGCCGCGTCCTGCAGCCGCCGGGGCCTCTCCGAGCCGGGCTCCGGGAACCGGCACCGCCCCGGGACCCCGCAGCGGCACCGAGCGCAGGTAACGGGGCTGCTGCCGGGACCACGGCCCCGCGGGGGGACGGGGGGGGATGGAAGGGGGGGGGGAGACCCTGCGGAAGCCCCCCCCGAAAAAAAAGCGGCGGGGGCGGGAGCGGGGGGGGGGCGGTGAGGATCCGGTACCGGAGCTGGGGTGCGGCCCCCGGGGTCGTCCCCACCCCCCCGCCGCAGCACGGGGGCACCCCCGGGGAGCTGGGGGGGGGGGAGGCCCGGCCCGGCCCCGCTCCGGCCCCGCTCCGGCCCCGCTCCGGCCCAGCGCCCCGGGGCGGCTCCGGGTGGCTCCGGGCGGCTTCCCCCCCCCCCCCCCCGGTGCCCCCCGGTGCCCCCCGGTGCCCCCCACCCGCTGTGCGGGCCGAGACCCGGCCCAGCTCACGGCGGGGGCGGCCCCGGGCACCCCGCGGGGAGGCTGAGCCCCCCCCCCCTCACTGGGGGCCTCTCCCCCGGCACCAGGGACCCCCGCCTTGGGCTCAGGGCTGGGGGCGACCCCCCCCGGGTCTGGGGGGGCTGCGGGGGCTCCCTGCGGGCTGCCCCCGCCCTGGGCCCGGAGGCTTCGCTTTCGCTCCTGCGGCCTTCGGCCCCGCTCGGCCGCCGCCAGCTGCTCCTGGGGAGCGGGGCCGTGGCCCCCTCCCACACATTTCCCCCCCCCCCCCCAGTGTTGCCCCTCTCCCCGGGGCCGTTTTGCTGTATTATCCGTGCTGTGTCCCCCCCCCACCCCCCCCTCCGCCGTCTGCTCTTGGAGCTGAAGCGGAAGAGCTCAACCTCCGGCCCCTTTTCGGAAGGGCTGCGGATATTTATAGCTGCCTCGCTCAGGGGCTGGGATTTTCAGCGGTTCCCCGTACCCCCCCGCAGCATCCCCACGTGCATCCTGCGCCGGGGGGGGGCACAGGGGACAGATCTCAGCCCGGCCACGGGGCAGCTCCTCCAGGTTCCTTCGTGATGCCTGTGGGTCTCTGCTCTGAGGGTTGCAGAGTTGGTTTGGGGGGAGGGGGGGCAGGACTGCGGTTCTTCCCCCTCCAAACTCGCAGCTCCTTTCCACACCGTGCCTCAGTTTCCCTGCTCTGCCACATCACCTGGCTGTCCCAGCTGTCAGCCAGGGACCGATCCTGCCCCCCCGTCCCTGACACCACCATCTCGTGTCCCCCACTGAGCTGTGACTTGTGGACAAATCCTTCTCCCCTCCTCTGTCAGCCTCCCAGGTACCTCTCTGCCATCTTGGCCACCCTGAGCAGGTGCCGCGGGCCCCCCCCGCCCGTCCCCATGGAGTGAGAGCGCTCAGGGGTCTCTGCGCTGGCACAGCCCCCTGCGGGAGGGAAGCTGGAAGGCGACGCCAACATGAGTGACTTCTGGCACAAGCTGGGCTGCTGCGTTGTAGAGAAGCCACAGCCGGTGAGTAGCTGCGGGCCGGGGGTGGGGAGCTTGGTGTTGCGGAGCCGGGGGTGCCAGGGGACTGATGGCCTTCATCCACCCGCAGAAGAAGAGGAGGAGACGGATTGATCGCTCCATGATCGGCGAGCCCATGAACTTCGTGCACCTGACACACATCGGCTCTGGAGACATGGCTGCGGGCGAAGGCCTGCCCATGGTACGCCATCCGCATGCCGGGTTGGGCTGCTGGCCTGGGGGGATCGTGGCTGGGCGGTGGGTCTCACGGCTGGGGTGACGGCTCTCCGGGGTGGTCTGTAGGGGCCTTCTGCTTGGGAGGTGATGGTGTGTCCCGGGTGGGTGCCAGGTCTCGCAGCGGCGGTGACACTTCTCTGCCCCATCCCTGCAGACAGGCGCTGTCCAAGAGATGAGGTCCAAGGGCGGACGGGAGCGACAGTGGACCAGCTCCCGGGTGTTGTAGCATGTGAGTACGTGACCATCTGGGGAGCCGGGCCTGCAGGTGGCCACAGCAACCTGCTGTCACCATCCGAGGCACTGCAGCTAATTAACACTCCACCGTTTGTGCAGTTTTGTAACCCAACATCTCTTGAACTTTGCAGATTCCTGGCTATTTAAGCCCAGACTTGAACTGCCTGATCCCCACACCGGAGGAAAAGCCAACCTCGGGCGCTTTATTCCCGCAGTAACTTATGCAGACCAAGCCTCGTGCCTGTCCTGGTGGCTCTGGGTTGTCCCCCACGAATCCCTCCTTCCCCGAGGCACTGGGCCGGTGATGGTGACACGGGGAGGGAGCGAGGCCACCCCGCACCCAGCTGGGATTGCAGCCCAAAGGACGCCACCACCCACCTGCAGCGCACTGGGAGCTGCCAGGCGCAGTCAAGATGTGCCAAATCCTACCGCTTTCCCTTTTTTCCACAACCTGAACAGCACCGGTGTCTCCCATGGGCCCCTCTTGGCACTGGCCTCAGTTCCTCAGTTTTCCTGGGGAATGGCGGCGAGGCCAGGTCTGCTTTAGGGGCAAATCCAGAACGGCGTTAAAGACCCCAGCATTTCGGCGTCTCACAGGCAGCGGCTCAGCTCTGACACCGCCACAGAGCCTGTGTTTCCTCCAGCCTTCCGCTGGCATCGCCACCGCCAGCAAACCTCTGCCTTCCTTCTTTTTTAGGATATTTTTTAAGCTTGAAAACCACCTAGGCAGCCTCTGCCATCACTACCGGGCTTTGACCGGCATTGTCTGAGGCAGGACGGGGCCTGACCCAGCTGCTCCCCCTGGAAAGAGGGACTGGCTCGGGCTCCTGAATCTAGGCGCACGTGTATATAGTTCAAATAGCGCCAGGATTAAATATTAAAGAGCACGTGCTGGGAGCTGCGGCTGGCTGTCAGAGGGTTTCCCCTTCACCATGCTTCAGGTGACACAGGGATGCTCCTGTGCGGGGCCGGGCTCTCCCAGCCCAGCAGCGTGCCCAGTGCTTGCAAGCGAGCGCAGATGCTTGATTCAGTTTTTAACCCCACAGAAAACTCACCGGGAAAAACACACCTTTGAAATAAAACCTTCTGCTGGCCCAAGACGGGCGTCCACGGGCTGCCAGGATCTCCTCACCATTCTGCTGCTGGTGGGACCCAGACAGGGTGAGGGGTGCTGGGGGGGGCACCAGGCAGGTGCATCGGCTTTGGGGGGTGCTGGTCCCACCTTCCTCTGTCCCTGGGGACGTCCTCATCCTGCTGTTCCTCACTCAGGTCCAGGCTATCCCAACCACTGCCACCCTTATCACTGTCACCTGCCGACAGGCTTGGAACCCTTGTGGCAGACCCTGGGGACTCCGTGAACGGTGGCCCCGGGGGGGTGGTTCCAGTGGTGGTGGGTGGCTCACCCCAGCTGGTTCAGCTGCATTTGCAGCTGGCAAAGCCCCTAGGCACGACGGGTTCCCTCCCACCAGGCTGGATGCAGGGGCTTGGCTGCACTGAGTCCCTGACACACGGGGTGGCTTTTGGGGACAAAATGTTCTCCAGAATTCCCCTAACCCAGCTCAGCCCAAGAACAGGGGCTCTGCCTCCAGGAGGCCCATGCTGAGTACGTGGGCCCTTGGATCCCCCTGAAGAAGAGCCAAGAGCCAAGAGTGGAAGGAGAGGGAAATTTAATCCTCAGATTATGGATAACAGTCCTGAGCCGGTTGCGTCCACACCCAGCAATCCAGCCAGGGCCTCAGCAAGCACTCGTGCCCCCCACGGCCCCAGAAAGGGCCAGGAGGAGAAGAGCTATTAAAACCCCAGCGACTTTGTTAACAAGTGCTGCCCCACTCTTCGTGGGCCCCACGGCGCTGACTCCCATGCAGCGGGGGCAAATGGCATCAGGGAGGGGTCTGCGGCAGCGAGCAGAGCTTGGCTGGAGGAGGCTGCAGCTCGCCCGTGCTGGGGGTGCAACGTCTGTGGCAGCACCCCGAGCGGGCACTGCGGGTGCCAGGGACCCCTCACTTGTCAGGGTCAGGGGGCTGCTCGGCAGCCATGCGGCTGACCCGCTCCAGCACAGCCTGGGGGCAGAGAGGGGGCACAGCTTGTGCCAGTGGGCTCTCGTCCACCAGGCTGTTCATGGGGGTGGGCGGCGGGGCTGTGTCCTCCTCCAGCCCCGCCGTGGCCCCCAGCCCTCCAAGCGCAGCCCGGAGGATGGGCAGCACTTTCTTGCGTGAAGCCAGCGCGTTGCCCTGGGCGTAGGCGCTGACACAGGACCAGGGGCTGGGCAGGGGCTGGAGATGCAGGGATGGTGTCGTGGCCTCCTCCAGCACCTGGCAAACCTGGAAGGCACAGCACGGTGTCTGGGGCATGCTGGGCACCTCTGATCCCCCGTTCCCCTGAATCGGGGGTCTTTGGGGTGAATGTGTGTGGAAGACACACCCCTCCATGCATCCTCTCCCACCAGAGCCTTCTGCTAGGGGTGGGTGGGTTTGGGGGTCCCCACTCTGCTCACCATGCTCCGCAGGGCCTCGCGCTGGCTGTACACCGCCAGCTGCCGCGTGGGCTCGTAGCGCTCGTTAAAGGAGACCGTCATGGCCACCAGCCCAGCATAGCCCCGAGCCTGGCAGAAAGCTTCCAGGTCCTGCAGCAAGTTAGGGCGGTGCAGGAAGGTCTGGAGGAAGACAGATGCTGGTGTTGCCCCGCTGTGCCTGCTGAACTGCCCCATGCCTCAGTTTCCCCTCACTGCGCCTCACCTCTAGGTCTATGTAGATACCACTGATGGCGAGGACCAGTTCATCATTGGAGAGGGTTTTGAGGTCCTTCCGCAGCATCTGCTCTGTTGTCAGCTCTGGCAGGTGAGAGGGGCTGAGCAT